CCCCCTGGACCCCGCTCCACGCCCCCACCCCCAACCCCCACGGGCTTTTCGCAATAAAAAATAGTATACGCGCTTCGGCGTCGAGTGCTGAATTCAACGCCTTAGCACGTAATATACTATTCCGCACTCGTAATGAAATATACTATTTTGTGTCAGCAACTCCCATTTGCACCAATGTTAAATTGTTTTTTCCATCTTCTCGAACGACGTCATTTTTGACCCTATGAAGATCATTTTGGGCTCAAAATGTGCGGAATGTTATCAATATTATCAGAGTGCACATAACACCATATCGACAAAGTGGTTCCTTTTAATGCGGACGTCCACATATTATGAAAATCCAAATCGACTTCTGGGGATAAAAATTTGGTACACAAAATTAAGAGTCGATAATTAAGGGTCAGAGTAAGGGTCATAAGGGTCACAAGGTCCAGAATCAGGGTGATGAGAGTCAGAATAAGGGTCACGTGGGTCATAATAAGAGTCACAATGGTCAGGTTAAGGGTCACAAGGGCGAAAATAAGGGTGACGAGGGTCATAATAAGGGTGACGAGGGTCATAATAAGGGTCACGGCGGTCATAATAAGGGCTACAAGGGTCACAATAAGGGTCATAAGGGTTAAAATAAGAATGAGGGGGTCATATGGGGGTTGGCTAGCGGAGCGAGCAGGGGGCGTAGCCCGATAGTTAATAACTGAAATGATACTTCAATTATCTAGGATCTTCAATAAATTTTGCATCCCACGACAGTCTTAATTGTCGGCACTAGATTTTCATTTGTGGGAATTTTTATCTCGCGATTTTTTTCGTTGAAACAAGACTTATTTGAGAAAATATTTTTTTTCGCAGTGTACACTCTCCATCATCTTAGTGACAGCATGATATCAACGAATAATTAAGACAATAAATAGAAATTTATATTTCGTATATTCAACATCTGAGTTGATAGGATAGCTTGGTGATCTAAGGGTCGTGAGTTCGAATTCTGTTCGAAGATGACAAATCTCGCATTAATTTATTTTCATTTTTTCAGACATTGCCGAAAGGTCCACCACATTTGGCAATACGGGGACAGATGGAGAGACGGCGGCCACCGTTTCTCAGAGGCACTGCGAAAACCACCGAGGTAAATTAATCCTCAAATCCAGATAAAAAAAACATCGGTTATATGATGATAATAATGGCCCATTCAAATATTCTTGTTACATTACACATTTTGGAGTTGGAGCTTTTTGGGGGTCTGTAGTTTGGGACGAAGGGGGGATGGGGAATTGTTAACTTTCAGTTACAATTTCTTTAATATTTTCCTCTTAAAAATTAAAGTTACTAGTAGATAAATGCTAGAAATGTCTAGAATATTCTGTACTATTGTTTGAGCACCTCGAGAGTACATCGATGATGAAAGGGTCCCATAGGTAAGCTCTCAAATCAATCGAGAAGTTTTTATAAATTTTTACAGTAATGTTGCGATAAAATCATGCAAAGTTAATATAAATTCTTTCGCAGAAAACGAAAGAAGTTGGACAGCAATAAAAAAAAAAGAGGAAACGACCTATGGAGTGGGGATATTTTGATTATTTTTTATCACATTATAACTCTTTTCTGAAATATAAATATATTTCAAGTATTTTTTATTTTTTCTCGTGAAAATGGTCATTTTTTAAATTCCTCGATCCGAAAAATCGTATCTACGCCTACAATTTTTAATATTTTTGAACTTCTTTCTTTCAAATTTTCGATATGACCTCCCGCTCAATCAAGTGCATGGAATTTGGAATTACTCATCTCCTTATAGGAAAAAAAATAAATACTGTCGTAAAATTGAAATAATATGATGACTCATCCATGCACTTTTTTCATATCCAAAATAAAGTATAAATAAATCGGTAGTGGAGGATGGGGTAAAACGGACACTTCAGACTTTTTTAAAATTATTCATAACTCAGAAACAAATTGATCAATTGAGTTCAGTTTAGCCTGATCACAAAGGGAAAGAATTGTTCTTTGTATTGAAAAACAATTATTAAATTTTATCAACATTTCAACCCCTCAGTAACATTTTAAAAAAAGTCAAAAGTGTCCGTTTTACCCCAACCTTCCCTATAATTTTTCGCAAAACGGACACCTCAAATTATGTAGAGTAAGATGTTTATACTTCTTTAAATTCTCCGCTATTTTCATATCGCCGACAGAGACGCCTCTCGCTGGCCGCTTTCCGTACTGCGTTTAAAACGTAAACAAATTCATAACCTTACAAACGTCAGAATTTGAGACAAATTCGTATTTCGTAAATAAATAATAGAAATGGAACGAAAAAAATTGGATCAATTGTTTAATAAAATAATTAATTTTTTCACACACATGAGGGTGATAAAATGAATTCATGTTCAAGTTGAAATAGCGAGTGAACATGGCTCGACGGCGATTGGATTTATCTTTCTTTTCGGTAATAGAAAATTGATAAAATAATTTCTTCCTGGAGAAAATTACGGAATTTAACGGAATTGAAAAAGAAAATCTTTACATTTTTTGCTGACGAGTGATTCCAAGACAAAATATCGAAAACCATATTTTATTGCAGTTTTCAATATCGATGAAGAAGAGATTCAGACGTGAAAACAATTACTTGGCTGGTTGCGATCAATTAAATTCAAATCGACGCGTATGAAAAAATTTCATAGAAGAACCTAGCGAATTTGTTGCACAATTCTGTTGGATTTCTATTGCACTTTCTATTATTTTTTGGCCGATTCTATTGAAATGTTCACTAGAAAATATTCCATAGAAAATAATATATAGAATTTTATTTTTCTATAGAAGTCATTGTATTGAGATATTTTACATAGAACTTCCTCAGCTCAAATTTTCCAAGTTAATTTATTTGATTTTCTTGATGAAAAGAAAAGAAAAATAGAATGAAAAAAACTAAGAAAATTTGAGCCGTGAAAATTCTATAGAAAATATCTCAATAGAATAACTTGTATAGAAAAATCAAATTCTATAGCACTATTTTCTATTAAACATTTCACTAGAATTGGCCAAAAGTTAATAGAAAGTTCAATAAAAATCCAATAGAATTAGCCAACCGATTCACCAGCCAATTCACTAGATTTTTCTATAAAATTGTTTCATACGTGTGTATTTGTTTTACTGAGTGAAATGGAAGTGTTCAATAGAAAGTATTCTATAGAAAATAGCAGGGGTAGGGAGGGCAGAATGGGGCATGAAAACATAGAAGCTAATTATGAGTGTTTTTTGGTAAAAATTACTTATATTTGAGGTAAAATATGGCTCCAACATGAGTTGAAATCACATCAATTTTAAAAAAATAATTGAAGGACAATATGGGAATGCCCCAATTGAAATACCTCAAAATTGCGTTGATTGACTTTAATTATCAATAGTATGAAATTAATTAAAATGTATACTTATATGTTACGTATTTTTTCGATACATAATCGAAGTCGTCTCAGTGTGTTTTGACCAAATTCGCGGAATATCGACGAGAAAAAATTTAAAATAAAATGGGTCCAGGACGAAACCTAACTTGTTTGACAGCTCAAAATACTTTTTTTGATGACAAGAATTAATGAAAAAAATACGAGAAAAATAAAATGTGACATAATTTTGAAAATTCAAGTTTTTAAACTTTTTTTTATATTCATTATTATGAGCACTTAGGGATTGTAAAAAAAAATACTCAAAATATTCTTATAGATAGTAGAAAATGGAAAATTTTGGTGGGTTATAAATGAAAATTCAATGAATAGAACTGAACTTATTGACAAATGAAGAAAAAATCATATCTCTGAAATGGATTGTCGAAAAAATCTGAAAAAAATTGAGAGATAGTTTTTAATTAACTCATCTGGTAGTTATTTGATACTTTTCTCGCTAATTCATCATTATTTCAATTTTTGCGAAAATTTTGAGGCGCCCCATTTTGCCCACCCTGCCCCGTTTTGACCCACCCTCCCCTATATAGAATTTGATTTTTCTATAAAAGTTATTCTATTGAGATATTTCCTTAGCTCAAAGTTTTTTTTGTTTGATTTTCTTGATGAAAAGAAAAATAGAATAAAAAAAACTAAGAAAATTTGAGCCGAGGAAATTCTATAGAAAATATCTGAAATGAATAACTTCTATAGAAAGATCGGGTTCTATATGGGCGAATCCACCAATTTTCAATATGAAAAATGGCCTCAAAATTAAAAATTTTTTTTTCTACTTTTATCGAAAAGTATAGTTCAAAAGAAGAAAAATGAGCGCAATCGGAGCTCTCCAACTCAATTATTAGCGGAGATAGTGAAGTTTGAATCTTGTTTTCTTCTTTTCAATTCAAATTACGAGCCACTAAAAACGATAAAAAAAATTTGAACCCATAGATTTCGTCGGAAATGTTCTCATCTCTTCGAAAAATATATTGTTTTTTATGTATCTATGTATTTTGGCATAGAAAATTCAAAAAGAACGTTTTAAACGGATATTTGGAGTCGTTCCCAAACTTTTCCAATTTTTTTATTTTTTCATCGTAAGGTTCAAAACATTTCCTACCAAAAAGATATTTTCATTTTTGGTGCTCTCCCAAACTCAGAGGTAAAATGCAGAGAAAAACTAAATTTGTTCTTCCAAAAAACTAGTGTGTTAAATAAGTTTTTTCTGTAATTATTTTCCAAATTCAGATGACAACCGCTTGGCCCTAGCGATCTTCCGCAATTTTATAAACGTAGAAATAAAGTTGAAGCTAAATAATTCTTTGCGATGGTCCCACGTTTCGTCTTGCAGGGAAGACCTCATCAGGGTCTTCTTTATTAATCCAATGTTTTAAATCATTACAAATCAAACCAATTAAACCAGAGAAAAAACCTATTGCTCCAACAATTGCAATGTAAAAATGTTGATCCATACAATTTACATTACAGCCCATCGTTTTTCAAAAATATCTCGAAATCTAAACACAGAGAAATTTCTGAAAAAATCTTCTTTTCGAGCATTTATAATTAAGTAACGACTCCCCCCCGTCACCACCCCATTCCTAAAAATCTCTGTCTTCCAGCCGGGGAAAGGCGCGAGCAGGCTGGAGACGAGTGGTCCGACGCCCCTGGAGAGCCTGGGGAGCGACGAGGACTATTCCCCAGACGCCCTGGCCCGCCAGAACCACGAGTTACGCAGTCGCCTCGAGGAGGAGTCCAACAACTACAAACGTCGTTTGAGCACCTACCGCCAGGCCCAGCAGCACCAGGCGGCCCTGGTGTCGCGCCTGCAAGCCAAAGTCCTCCAGTACAAGCAGCGCTGCTCGGAGCTCGAGAGCCAAATGGTCGAGTCCCTCCCGATGCTGGAGACCACTCGTGTCCCCACACTCACCTCCTCCAGCACATCAGCCCTGGAGGCAGCCCACCAAACCCTCCGGGACATCCGAGAGGAGCAGATCCAGGACCTGGACACAGCCCTGCGAAAGCTGTCAGAGGAGCGCAGAAGATCCGAAAAGCTGATCGAGCTCAACGCAGCGCTGAAGCACCAGCTGGAGGAGTCAGTTCGAACGAACGAGGCCCTGACCAACGACCTCCAGAAGCTGGGGAACGACTGGGAGGTGCTCCGAGAAGAGATGAACATCAAAGAGGACGAGTGGAAAGAAGAGGAACTAGCCTTCAACGAGTACTACACCTCTGAGCACCATCGCCTGCTGAACCTCTGGCGTGACGTGGTCGCCCTGAAGCGCATCTTCTCGGACATGAAGTCCTCCACCGAGCGAGACCTCACGAAATTTCAGCACAATCTGACAGCAGCGACTAACGACATGACCTCTGCCTGCAGCGGAGTCAAGCTAGCCCTCCAGGTCCAAGCGTCTGCTGTCCAGCCGAGCCTCAGCCAGCAGTTCCAGCAGTGTCAGGAGTCCTCAGACCTCAAATCCGAGGTGACGAGCCTCAGGAATCAGCACGAGGCCGCCCTGAACGACGTCAGGATGAAGGACGAGAGGATAAACCAGCTGATTCGAGAGATTCACAATCTCGAGGAGAGGTGTGGCGAGGCTGAGGCGAATATCGGTCAGGCCAGCAGAATCCAGGAGGACATGGAGATCCTGGAGGCTGCACTCAGGGACATTGCTCACGCCGTCATCCAGGATGCTGAGAGCAGGGAGTCTGAGAACACTCAGGGCCAGCACGTCCACCTGTCCCAGAGTGCGCCGATACCCCAGAAGTCCCCCAAGAGGTCCAGGAGCAACACCATCCCAGCTTTTGCTGAGAGCACGATCAGCGCGGTGCAGGCCTCTCTGCACAAGTATCAGCTGACGATTCACGAGCTGCAGGTGAAGCTCCAGACCAGCCGAGAGCAACTGGCCCTGACGAAGAAGCAGTGCGACTCTGCTGAGGAGAACGTCCAGATTCTCGAGGAACGGAGCACCGAGCTGATTGTCCAGCTGGACAACTGCAGGGTCCAGTGTGCTCAGCTCGTTCAGGAACGAGACATGCTGCAGAAGAGCCTCGATCAGGCGCGAGGGGACAAGAATGCCCTGGAGAAGGGCAAAATCGAAATGAGTCATACGATCGAGGAGCTGAATAACGACTATGAGAAGCTCCAGAAGATTAACAGCAAACTCCAGAAGTGCTGTGACAGCCTGGAGGACGATAAGCTGTACCTCCAGAGTGAACTGGACAGGATGAACAAGGACAGTGAACTTCGAGAGATGAGTTTCAGGGCTGAGGAGGAGCGCTGCAGCAGGATGAGGGAGGAGCTGCTGACTGTCAGGGAGGAGCTCAACAGGACGTATCTGTCTCGAGACATGCTGGAGCAGCAGAAGTTGGAAGGGGAGAATCTCCTCTCAGTTATTGAGAAGAACAAGGGGGATGTGGAGCTGGAGCTGGAGAAGATCCTCCTGGAGAAGTCAGATCTGCAGGACGAGCTGATGAAGATGGAAGCCATCTGTGGGAATCACGAGAAGGACAAACAGAGACTTGCTGACGACGTCAAACGGCTGGAGGAGGACAGGGCGAAATTGATGAACCAGTGCAGCGATCAGTCTGGAGACTTGGGATCCCTCAGGAAGGAGCTTCTGCAGGCCGAGCAGGCTCGCTTAGACCTGGAGTCCGACAAGGTGACCCTGAACGAGAAGATCAAGTTCCTGGAGATTGAGAAGGAAAAAGTGGAGATTGAACTGGGCCAGGTGACGAGGGAAAGGGGGGACTTGTCGAACCAGTTATCAGTCCTAGCACGAAAGAAGGAGTCGTTGAACGAGGAGCTGATGAGGATCAGGCAGAGGCTCGAGCAGGCGAACGAGATGAACGCGAGATTGAACAGAAATCTGGAGGAACTGGTGAAGGATAACGAGGAGAAGCAGGTGCTGCTGGAGACAAACGAGAAAGAATTCCAGAGGATGCAGGAGTTGCTGGCGTCGATGAGAACTGAGAAGGAGACCCTGGAGGGAGTTCTCTTCGATACCCAGACGAATTTGGAGTCGACTCATGCGAAGAAGGTGCAGCTGGAGAAGGACCAGCAGGAGCTGCTGGTGAAGCAGGAGAGCCTGAAGGGCCAAATCACGAGGCTGACGAAGGACCTGGAGAACAGTGAGAAGAGGTCCCAGGAGATCAAGCACAATCTGACGCAGCAGAGGGGCAACCAGGAGGCGGAGTTCCAGGGGATCATCGCTAACCTGAAGAAGAACAGCGAGGACACTTACAAAAAGCTGAACGAGGAGAAGGAGCAAGTGCGATTGTCACTGGAGAAGCGCCTGCAGCAGACGATAACTTCCCTGGAGTCCCAAAAGGAGGAAGAGGTCAACCAACTGCAGATCAGAATCGAGGAGCTGCAGCAGCACATCGACAATCTGTGCCAGCAGCACGAGGAGGCGCTCCTCCGCGCCGAGAACGACAAGCAGCAGTCCCTCCTGATCGCCCACCACGACCAGCAGGCCTTGATGGAAAAGCTGGAAAATCTCTACCGAGAGCTGGAGGAGGAGCGCAGCACGCTGGAGCGCCTGCGGAGGGAAGCCAACTCTCGCGCTGAACAGGACCGCAACAACATAAATCAACTTCGCGACGAGCTCAACCGAATGCGAACGAAGCTGGAGGAGACGAAATTGCAGGACGACGAGGAGAAGATGCGACTGGAATTGAAGATCGAGGACATCTGGAAGGAGCGAGAGACCGTGCAGAAGGAGTGCGAGGAGCTGCGCGTGCAGCTGCACGTCGCCGAGGACAAGGTGGAGAGCCTCCAGAGTCACCTCCAGGAGACAGTGCGCAAGCTGAAGGACGCCGACAACACGATCGAAGCCCTTCGAAAGGAGCTCGTGGACGTGAGGCGACAGCTCACCGACTCCAACTACGCGATCGAAAAATACGCTAACACGAACAAGGACCTGAGAGACCACGTGAAGCGGATTGAGGGGGAGAAGCGAGAGCAGGCGAGGAGTCTGGAGGAGTCCTACCAGAAGATGGCGTCGATGGAGGACGCGAAGACGAACCTCGAGGCGGAGAAGAACCGCGTGCAGTCCCAGCTGCGCGACATGGAGCACGAGTTGATTCAGCTCCAGCAGCAGCTCCGTTTCACCCAGGACGAGCTGCAGAAGAGCCACTCGGCGAACTCCCAGGCGCAGACGGAGGAGCGGGAGCTGCAGGCGAGACTGGCGAACGAGACTGAAGAGCGCGAGCGGCTGCAGCTGCAGCTGCACCAGCTGAAGAAGCAGGTTGTGGACCTGGACAACAGCCTGGAGATGACGAGGACGGAGCTGGGGAGGCTGAGGTCGCGAGCCGACGAGGAGGACGAGAGATGGAGGGGACGGGAGCAGGAGTTGCTGATGAGGCTCGAGGACAGCCGCTGCAGGGAGCGAAAGCTGGAGGACCAGAAGCACAACCTGGAGGTCTGCTTGGCGGACGCCTCCCAGCAGCTGCAGGAGCTGAAAGCCCGCCTGGGGGGGTCTGAGGGGAGGGTCCGGGCGCTGGACGGTCACCTGAGCCAGCTGGAGGCTGCGAAGAAGGAGGTGGAGCAGAAGCTGAGCAGTGTGGGCTCAACACTGAGGAGAATCGCTGGGATCCAGCTGGACGGCACCGTCAACATGCCCTTCAAACTGATGAGCCCTTCGCGAAGATGGAGCCCGGTGCGCTCCCACCAGGACCACGAGGGCAAGTGCGACGTGATCCTGGACGTGGACCCCGAGGCGGTGAGGAAGGGGGTGCGATCGCTGATGCAGCAGGTGGCGCAGATCGAGCGTGAGCGCGACGACTGCAGGATCGAGCTGAGCAGCGTGAAGAAGCAGGTGGCGGAGGCCGCCGATCACCAGAGCAAAAGCGACTCCAAGCTCAGCAGCTTAACTGCATCATTGCGAGCCCTTCAGGACGAGAAGGCAGCGCTGGAGGCTAAACTGTCGCAGAGGCAGGCGGCGTATCAGGCGCAGCACGAGGCCCTGCACTGCAAGAGTCACGAGGTGGAGGGCCTGCGGGAGAAGGTGACGTCCCTCGAGCTCGCGGTGAGCAGCGAGTCCGACGAGAAGCTGCAGTACGAGGAGAAGCTGGAGAAGATGAAGCAGGCGGTGAACAGGCTGGAGAACGAGAAGCGAGGGCTGCAGGAGGACTTGGGGCGGTCGGAGGCGAGAGCGACGAAGCTGGAGCTCCAGCGGATGTCCCTGGAGGGCGACCTCCAGCGGCTGCAGATGGTCCTCCAGGAGAAGGACGGAAATCTCCAGAAGCTGCAGGACCGCCTCGACGTGCAGCTGCGGACGTCCACGGGGTTGGAGGAGCGCTGCGCCTCGCTGAAATCCACGATTGAACAGGTGAACCTGGCGCTGGAGAGGGCGGCTGCGGCGGAGGCGGAACTGAAGAGCGAGATTGGAGTGCTGAGGCGCTCCAGCATGGAGCACAATGCGATTAACCACGGGAATAATGAGAGGCTGAAGCAGCTGCAGAAGCAGCTGGCGACTGCTGAGAATGAGCGGAGGGTCCTCTCGGAGCGACTGGACGGTGCGCAGCAGACGGTGATGGAGCTGAAGCATGGTAATCAGTCCCTGATGGAGCAGAACGCAAGATTGCAGAGTGATCTGGCGAATAATGAGGTCCAGCGCGCGGGGCTGGAGTCCCAGCTGCGGCTGGCGAGCTGGCCGCAGGAGGGGGGGTCGAATAAGGACGAGGAAGTGGTGAGGCAGCTGCAGATAGCCCAGAGGGACAGAAGCGAAATGCGGGGGAAGGTCGATGCACTGAACGACAAGGTTCGGCTTCTGGAGGCGGACAAGAGGAATCTCGAGAGGCAGCTGCAGTCGGTGAAGGCGAGTGGTGGTCGCAGCAAGAGCTACGAGCGCCCGGAGAAGGCGCACATGGAGCTGGCGGGCTCCAGCATCAGCATGGAGATCCTCGAGCAGGAAAATCGAGAGCTCAGGATGAAGATCAGGCGGCTGGAGGCGCAACTGGCGGAGAAGGAGGCTGAAGTCATGAAGTGCAAGACTCTGCACTCGCACTCGCACTCGCACTCGGCGTTGGACTCCGGGAGGGACCGGATGGCGGAGGTCGAGAGGCTGAGGGCTGCACAGCTGCAGGCGGAGAAGCTCCTGGAGGCCAGGGAGCAGAGCCATCGACAGCAGGTCTCCAGGCTGGAGAGCCAGATTCAACTGCTGAGGGAACAGCTGAATCAGGAGATCAAGCGGCGGCAGCTTTATGTGCTGAGGAGCTCCAGGGCGGGGAGGGAGATGCAGCACTTGAGGCAGGCCCTTGGGGATTCTCTGAGGACTGTGGCGCAGGATCCCTCGTTGGATGCCATTCTGCTTGAGCATGAGGCCAGGAAGCTGGATACCACTGTCACGAGCACCACTAGTCTACCTCCATCTCTGGCACTGCCGCCACCTCCCTCTTCTTATGAGCGCAGGTCTCCTCTTCCTTGAATTATTCGCCGGAGTCTTTTTTCACCGTTGAGAAATTTCCGGAATTTTTTTCCCCGGCGATTTTTTCCCTGGAACTTATTTCCCCTTACTAATTTTTCTCAGGTAGAATTCAGTAGTGAAGTGGTAAACGAGATAAGTCGACTTAACTCCCAGTTGAGTTTTCGATCAATATTTCCGAATCTAAGGGAGATAGCGAAATTTTCGTAATTACATCTGTTGTAGCACTCAATCGGCTACACAAAAAAGGTTATAACAAAAATTTTGCCAACTTCCTTAGATTCTGAGATATTGATTGAAAACTGGGCAATAGTCAAACTTAACTTATCTCCTTTTACCACTTCGCTGCTGAATTCAGTAGCGAAGGGGTAATCTGGGTTAAGTCAATTTTGACTATTGGCCAGTTTTTGACGGATATCTCGGAATCTAAAAGAGATAGAAAAATTTTTGTTATGACCTTTCTTGTAGGGCCAATTGAGGCTTATAAAAATGGTCATTAAAAAATTTTTGCTATCTCTCTTAGAACTCGAGATATTCATCAAAAACTGACCAAAAGTCTGAATTTTCCCCCGGGGTTTTTTCCCCCGTTGAAAAATTCTCGGAATTTTTTCCCCGTTAATCCTGTCTCGACGAATTGTTCTCACTGAGGTTAATTTTCCTGACGAATTTCTTTCATGTGGGATTTTGTTTGGAGTTTTTCTTCAGAAAATGCTAATTAAATTTGTCTTTTTTCTCTTAGAAGGAGATAAATGAAAAAATTGATGAAAAAAATCGTTGTTTTTTTTATTCGCGATTGTTTAGTCAATTCATTGTTTACCGACCAATGTTGATATGTAAATTTTGAATTCACGTTCAATTTTTTGTGTTGCTGATTATATTCAAAATTAATAATTTTAGCTTTTTGGAATGTCAGTCATTTTGTGTGTTTGTAGATGTTTTACTTGAAGAATTGAATCCTATTTTGACGAAATGGTGTGTTTAAATTGTTCATGATGTTCAGAAATGATCAACTTCATGAAAATAATGTGTCTGATTTCATATTTTCCAGGGAAATTTGATGTAGATTTTTTTCTTGGGAACTTTTCGGGCGAACATTTTTTCGGGGGAAAAATTTTCCAAGGGAAAAAGTTTTCGGGGCATTTTTCACGAGGAAAAAAATTTGGGAACGGAATGATCGATGCGCGGGAGATGCTGGCAGGGGAGTGGAGGACTCATGTGTGAAAAAATTTGGCAGGATAATCGAGGGCATTCGCTAGAGAATTCTTTTGGATTTCTAGTAAACTTTCTATCAGTTTTGGCAGATTCTGTCGAAATGGTCAATAGATAATATTCAGTGGAAAAAGTAAATAGAATTCTGTTGAGATGTTTTCTATAGAGTTTTCCAGGAATCAGCATCAATGACTGAATTATTAATATTAAAAAGAGTTGCATCTTAAAATAATTACATTGAGAGAAAAACAAACAGGTTCTCGAACAAGTCTTGGTCGGTCCAAAAAAATTGTTAGTTGAAAACTTCTAATTTTTTTGTTCAATTTTCTTGATGAAATGAAAAGAAATAGGAGGAAAAAACGTAGAAAATTTGAGCTGAGGAAATTCTATAGAAAATATCTCAATAGAATAACTTCGATAGAAAAATAGATCTTTCTGTCTAATTTTTCTATAAAAATAATTCAAAAGTAGAAATCTATTGAATTAAAATTTAATAGAATTCTATTTTTCTACAAAATCGGCCAAAACCAATAGAAAATTCAATAGAAATCCAACAGAATTGTCTACCAAATTCGCTGATTTTTTCTATAAAATTTTTTCTCACGTGGTTTATGGTGTTCAGTACTTTATCGATATTTTATAATTTGAAGAATTTTTATACCAATGACTTCATTAGTTTTTTCAAATTTCTACATTTCCATGTGATGGCGACGAGTCGCAGGGCATACTCATACCAAATATTTTTTTCACTAGGTTTTAAGAGAATCCAGTCATTTTTAAGGTTCATCCAGTAACGATAAGGCCTCAGTATTGATTTTATATTTTATTAAGATAAGTATTTGCCTTTATTACATCAGGAGTCTATGAACGAAGGAGTAGATAATCCGTCCAATGAGAGGAGAATGCTACGTTTGGTCTTGATCACGAGACCAATATCGTAAATCCTAGCGAAGTGCATCGTAGAGATAAGCTTTTACTTTGTGGTGAATAAAAAATTAATGACGATCTGATCTGATCTGAGGGAATGCTGAGAGTTATTCATCTGGATTTTAAGGAAAGAATCTTTAGAGAGTTGGGCAGAGATTTTTTTAGTGATGGGTGTTCTAGAGGAAATATAGAGTTAATGGGGACTGCGTCGGTTCTCAGGTACTGAGAGCAGTAGACGTCTAGTCTCAACAATAATTACAGAAATCACGGTTTAGTCTTGGAGACAGATGTGACTGCATCGAATGGCTTACGGATTATGATATTTATTTACTTACTTTTCTGATGTTTCACTGTTGGTACAAAATATCGTCATGATCAATCACAGACTCATTCCATTTAATCGTTGTATTTTCGAACAGAAAGTATGAAACTGTCATTTTATTCGATTCAGGAATCGAAATTCATTCTGCATAATCAACGCCATTGATCAATCATCAAATGTTTTTACACTTCGAGTGGTGGTAGGGTGAATCGATTACTTATACAAAACCAAAGATTTAATGATGCAAAGTGTGTACTCTAGATTATTTATTCTAAATGTAGTAATTTATTGTTATAATTTTGATTTTTGTTAATACCTAGTTGGTAGTGAGTAATTGTAGAGATGAATAAATAGGAGATGATAAAGATGTCATTGAACGACGAGGAGTGTTTTTTATCTAGCTTATTTTTTATTTACAGGACAGACAGGCCTTTTAGTTTTAAATAAATAATCGGCGATACAAATGTGAATTGGACTGCAGTAAATAAATTGGGTGAAGGCGTATACCTGGCGCGGCCAGGGCCAAGGGCTGCCAGGGCTCAAGAAAATCCACTAGCTCGCAATTTTATTCCAACATCTTAACCAATTAATTGGGCGTCAGCTAGTTTATCGTCAACTAACAACGTTTACGCTAATTTTTTTATTCGATTTTTTTTTCAGTAAGAAAATCAAACAAAAAAAAATAGAAAATTTAGGCCGAGAGAATTCTCTAGAAAATATCTCAATCGAATAAGTTATATAGAAAAATCGAATTCTACTGACTTTTTCTATTGAACTAGGAAAAACGGGCTAGTTACCACGGAGAGAAATATTCAATAAAACTTACGTATCTTTTCCGTAATTCCGGAGCGAAATATGGTTGTAGGAAATTTTACGGAACTCACGGAGTTTTTTCGGAGCGTTCCGTAATTTTTATCTGAATCTCCTGTCACAAATTACGATACCGTCACTTAAATTTTGTCAGTCGATTCCGTAGTCGGTGAGTGAATTGAGAGTTCCATAATTTTTACTGAACCAATAGACACGAAGAAGAGGTGAAAGCAGGGCTCAGCAGGAGCCTCTCCCGAAGAGAGGCTCCTGCTGAGCCTCCTCGGGATCAACGAAGCCGCGATGGTTGAGGAAATGATCGAAGTACTTGACAGTTATGTTCTTCACGAGATCGTTGTCGCGAGTCATCACGACTGGACAGCCAAAGTCGAAGTATCCCACGTACTTGGCGTCCTTATTCAAATTGTAAATTCGGTGGAGAATCTTCACCATCGACACCTGGCGGACAAGCGCCGGCGCCAAATTCCCTAGGAAGGGAACGGGCTAGTGGGGAATCCCATTTTTAGCGAAATAGTTTTCTGGGCTGAGGAAGTAGTAGAGGAGCAGCGCCAAGAGGAGTGTTGCTAGTACCGTCCAGAGGTCCATGGTAGAATTCTGCGAGTGGTGTTGAACACTGGAGGCAGTACTGGAGCCTCCTTACGTAGTGAGGTTTGCGCAGCAGAGAGAATATTATTTTTCAATCAAAAAATTGAGTTCGACATCAGAGTAACAAAAAACAAAGAATTTTGCAGTGTGCCTGGCTGCAATAGTTCAGTCTATCGTAATCCTACAATGAGATTTGTCCAATTTCCGTGAAATAAACAAGAGTTTCGTAAAATTGAAGACGAAATTCGGTGAAGAGGAAACAGTTGATCCTCCAATTACTTGGAAAAAAATCTTGAGAATCGGAAAGCCAGTGACAAAATCAATGAAAGTGTGTTCGTTACATTTTAACAAAGACGACTTCTTCACTCAATGTAAGTGCAGCTGAGAATCTAACGAAATTATTCAATTTTCTATTTTCAGTTGATTTTTCTGTGATAAAGTACAATGATATCATTTTTTATCTTATCACTTCAAGGCCCGGCTCCATGATTTCAGTATGCAACAGCAGCCACAAATATTATAATCGTCTACCATTTTATTTTCATATTTATTTTTCAAATTAATGTATTTTCTATCAATTTTTCTATTAAATTTTTTATGAGTGTTTTGTTGGACGTAAAAAGTTATTTTCGTCTCGGTTGAACCTCCAACCAGAACCCGCCCCTCGCATTTATCGCAAACGTATAGATATCCAACTTTACTGGCGTAATCATTCTCTTCCCAGGCTTCACTGAACACTTTCTCAAAACATGAACCAACAGTAGTTTAGTCTCCAGAATCGCAAATCTGTGCCCAATGCACATTCTGGGTCCGAAGCCAAACGCTAAGGAGGCGATTGCGTGGGCTGATGTCTGCCCATCACTGATGAATCTTTCGGGATTGAAGACATTAGGATCAGGATATTGATACGGATCTCTCAAAAGCGCGTAAAATGGAATCCACACCACGGACCCTGGCTTCAACATGACCGGCTTTCTCCCAGGGAGCGGTGGTGGTAGCTCGTATTCTTTAGCGCAGACCCTATCCATCATTGTGTTGATGGGATACAGCCGCAGTGTTTCATTGACAACGGCATCGAGATAAACCATATTATTGACGGTTTCGTACGACGGATTGTCTCCTTCCTTATCAAACACCTCATCCACCTCTCTCTGGAGTCTCCCCTGAATCTCGGGATTCTCCGCCATCATCTGCATCACAAAACAAATCAATGTTGACGTCGACTCGAATCCCCCGGAGAAGAAGACGAACGCTTGTGCCGTCATCTCCGGAATCGTCAGTACGACATCTTCATTGCCTTCGTTATTTCGTGCCTCCATCATCAGTTGAATCATATCCGGTCGACTAATACCTTTCTCATCCCTCATTGCGATAGTATCCCTCACCAATTCAGTGAAGAATTTCTCAACGTCATCACCCACTACTTTAATGTTGAATAATGCCGCAAGTCTTGGGAGTTTTTTTGCAATAAACATTTTCGTAAGGTTTAATCCTCCGAAATTCGTCGACTTTCGTCCAAGAATGTAAAACTCATTGTTTGGATTTTTCAGCGAGTCGATTTTCACTCCAAAAGCACACGTACCGATGACGTCATTTGCGTAACGAGTGAACACGTCTTTAGAATCTATTTGAAGGGGTTTTTGGTGGGATTGATTGGCGAGATAATCCGCGAAATTAGCCGCACATTCAGACATGAGCTTGAACATTCCTTTCAACTTGCTGGATGTGAAGGCGGGGGTCAACAGGTTCCTTACCTCGCGCCACTTGTTGTCCTCGAGGAAGAAGAGATTGTTTCCGAAGATGGGCTCGTGCTTTGGCATGATGAAGCCGTCATGATTGACGAAGTAGTCGAAGTTGTTGATGGTTATTTGTTTGGTGAGTTCCCAGTCGCAGATCATCAGTGCTGATGTCATCAGAAATTTCGTTGAAACATATTTGACATTTTCGTTCACCCCGTAGAATTGACTGATACTCTCCGCCACGGATACACCTCGCAGAAAATTGAAGATAAAGCCAATCAGGGCATTGAGAGCTTTCACCTGAGGAACCCCATCTTTCTCGTAAAGAATTTCCTTCTTGAAGAGGATTTGGTAGAGGTGGTAGAAAAGGAAGATGATGACGGTCGTTAATAGAAAGGTGCACAGAAACATGATCACTCTGATGCAATAGGAGAAAATTGCACCAGTGGCTTCATTAAATACAGCCCACACTGCTCGACTGGACGGTAATCTCTTGCATCATCCAAGATAGTACAATGATCTCCTTGACGATTTGAGTGAATGTGTGGATTTGTCTCGTCGGTTGGTGCCAAAGATCGTGCCATCAATTTGGATAATAAATTGTTTGAATTTTGCTGATCATATCGTCTTCTCCATTCAATGCAGTCGGGCGAAGGCATTGGATGTCCTATCGATTCCAATCAATCTCATCCCTCGATATCGAATGAGAGAGAAGATATAGATTTTTTATGTGGACTTTGATTTTCAGGGTTACATTGCAGGTTGGATCCACGTGGCTCACACGCAACGCTGAGTTTTGTCGCAGTTTTTCTCACCCCGGTTTGGCAGTAGAGGAACATAATTCATAATGATCTATTGCGTATTGAATGCTCAATCGATTGCCATCATTTCCATTCCGCCATCTCAAGTGACAGAGAAGATTCGGATTTTTCGTGGAAGGGTGTTTATATTTGCGACTGATCTTCGCTTTTTAAATAAATAACTCTTAAATAAAGCGTTGGAGAGAAAAATGTTATCAGTTTTCATCTCCTTCAAATGAGCCCCCCGAACTACTCTCTCGAGGATGACATTTCATTTTGGGACACCCTGTACATAATCGGTTGTCTTTTTTACGGTTCTATCTCAACCCTCAGCCCTTCGATAAAATGTTAATAGAAAATTTTTATTTATACGTACTTGAATGCATTTGAAACATCACATTTGGAGACATCATCAGAAAGCAAACTTTCAGTGAAATTCATGAAAAATTCCAAATTCTCAACAATCATCATAAAAATCAAATCAACCAATATAGCTATCATAATATGGATTTATTTATAACAAACAAATTATTCACCAAATCGAAATTTAAATTCTGCCGTTCCATAGAAGGATCATTAAAGTATTTTTAGTAAAAATTTCAAAATTTTTGGGGGAAATTTTGGCGATAAACGAGATGATTTAATATGATTGAATCGGTTCGATGTAAAATTTTCATCTACAAGTTTTGTTCATAGAAAAAATATTATGAATGCATTGAAAAAAAAAATTGTTCACTGCAGAGACAATTCCTTTGACTTTTCAAATATCTTTTCCAAATACCAATAGGTCTTTTAGAATTTGAGAAAATGATTTTTTACTGTTGATAGAAAGGGTCGATATCATGCATTGACTCATGGTATCGACGCCGTACTTGAGGGTTTAAACAATGAAATATGATCAGGGAACGTCAAGTAAACAATTTCCAATCAATTTTAGGCATTGCAACAATTTATTATCAACAATTTAATTATTCAAATCGCCCTAGCGCCCAAACTCTGAAAGATATACGAAATTTTTCGGATCACAAATCATTTAGAATTGAATAAGGAATAATTTTTGTCTTTTGTCAATTTTATATATTAATTTTAAATTTCGAGAAAGATACGAGCAAGGAAAGAGTTGTCTGGCCCAACACAGCGTTCTCGGCGTCCACCCCGCGCCCCGAGCAGAGAGCGCCATGTCGGGTCGCGTGTCCTATTTTTCTCTTCTTCTCGCCAAGAAAATANTAGTGCCCTATGTCGGCTAAGTACCTGGAGGTCAACCCCTACTACCTGAGTCTAGTTACAGATAGTTGAAGATATAGTGAGGTAAGATCTAGTGAGAATTACCAACTTCATAAGAGAAATGTATGCCCTAGACAGATGGATAATAATCGAAACCCGAAAAATGTGCATAATAGCTCGTTGCTATGTGGCTATCTTTGTTAATATTCAACTAATTCAACCGATAATTGCATCAGTGGAAAGCTGATACGCGATTTATATAATGTAACTAAGGCCAGTTTTTATCTAAATGATCGCGTGAATTGATTATTAAAAAAAAAATAGATTGGTGGTTGTGGAGGGGGAAGTTGTGTGGTGTATAGATACTTGGTCGCTCTTGGTGATTTCGTGGACTTGGCCCGATACGCTCCCGCGTATCTCGATAAAAAAACTTGGAAAATTTGAGCTGAGGAAGTTCTATAGAAAATGTCTCAATAGAATAAATTGTATAGAAAAATCAGATTCTATTGACTTTCTCTTTAGAATATTTTACATTTGTAGGATCATAATCATGATGTCACAGGATATTTATTTTAATGGAACAAATGAACGTATATTTAAGTTAAAAATCGAATTAATAAAGATACACCGTCAAATGAGCTAAGTTTGCTCTACATCTTCACGCGACATTCGTTCGATTACAACTGAGTCTCGTCATTCCCTCATTCGGGCAAAACACTCTTTTCCTTCTCTATTTCAAAAATATCCTCTCCCTCGCACTCATTCCTAACGAATACACCCTTTGTCCCAAAAAATGACCTCACTGTTCGTTACACAGGCCACCCTCAGTCACTCAAGAAACTCTCTCCAACCAAACAGGACCGAAATAAAACTGTCACACAGCATAAATACATTTCATTTCACACTTCACTCGAGCATACCCTAAACCAACTTTTCTTTTCGACTCAGTATTTTCCAAAGAACTTATTGTCTCTAATATTTAGGCTATAATGAATTCTTACTCTAAATATTCTGCTGACACAGCGCCTTCTCATTCCTGCGAACCATTTCAAAGGATTCTTTATTCAAACCACAATACACATACATATTCACTGATTCCACATATTGAATATTTCAATGAAATCGGCCAAAAGCTAATAGAAAGTTCAACACAAATCCAATAGAATTGTCTAGCAAATTCGTTACGTTTTTAATTTTTTTCGTGCGTGTTCTCTCGGGCAGAAAAGTTATTTCTGTCTCGGTTGAACCTCTAACCAGAATCCGCCCTTCGCCTTCATCGCAAATGTGTAGGGATCCAACTTTACTGGAGTAATCATTCTATCCGCAGGCTTTACTGAACACTTCCTCAAAATATGAACCAACAGTACTTTAGTCTCCAGAATCGCAAATCTGTTCCCAATACACATTCTGGGTCCGAGTCCAAATGCTAAGGAGGCAGCCGCGTGTGCTGATGTCTTCCCATCACTGATGAACCTTTCGGGATTGAAGACATCAGGATCGGGATATTGACTCGGATCTCTCAAAAGAGCGTAGTATGGAATCCATACGACGAATCCTGGCTTCAACAGCACCGGCTTTTTCCCAGAGAGCGGTGGAGGTAGCTCGAATTCTTTAGTGCAGACTCTATCCATAACTGCATTTACGGGATACATCCGCAGGGTTTCATTGACAACGGCATCGAGATAAACCATATTATTGACGGCTTCGTACGGAGGATTGTCTCCTTCCTCATCAAACACCTCATCCACTTCACTCTGGAGTCTCACCTGAATCTCGGGATTCTCCGCCATCATCTGCATCGCAAAACACATGAATGTTGACGTCGACTCGAATCCCCCGAAGAAGAAGACAAACGCTTGTGCCGTCATCTCCGGAATCGTCAGCACGCGTCCATGTCCCTCATTATTTCGCGTCTCCATCATCAGTTGAATCACATCGGGTCGAGTAATACCTTTCTCATCCCTCATTGCGATAGTATCCCTCACCAATTGAATGAAGAACTTTTCGACGTCATCACTCACTATTCTAATGCCCAATAATTTGGCAAGCCGTGGGACTTTTTGAACAAAAATCAATTTCAGAACGTTTAATCCTCCGAAATTCGTCGCCTTTCGTCCGAGAATGTAAAATTCATTGTTTGGATTTCTCATCGAGTCGACTTTCACTCCAAATGCACATGTACCGATGAGGTCATTGGCGTAACGAGTGAAGACGTCTTTGGAATCTATTTCAAGGGGTTTTTGGTGGGATCGTTCGGCGAGATAATCAGCGAAGGCAGCCGCACATTCAGACATGAGCTTGAACATTCCTTTCAACTTGCTGGAGGTGAAGGCTGGGGTCAACAGGTTCCTCACCTCCCGCCACTTGTTGTCGTGAAGGAAGAAGAGATTGTTTCCGAAGATGGGCTCGTCAGTTGGATCGACGAAGCCGTCATGATTGACGAAGTGGTCGAAGTACTTGACGGTTATTTGTTTGGTGAGTTCCAAGTCGCAGATCATCAGTGCCGAAGTCATCAGGAAACTCGTTCCAGCGTACTTGACCTTTGAATTCGCATTGTAGAATTCACTGACGCTCTCCGCTAAGGACACACCTCGCACCAAATTGCAGACTGAACCGGCCACTGCGGTGAGAGGTTTCACATGGGGAATCCCATTTTTCTCGAAAAAATTTTCCTTCTTCAGGAAGAAGTGGTAGAGGAGGTAGACGATGACGGTCGTTAGTAGAAAGGTGCACAGCTCCATGATCACTTTAACGCAATAGGAGAAAATTGCACGGGTGGGTCCAGTAGGTACGGGGCACAGTAGTTGACTGCTCCACTGGATGGTAATCTCGCGTGTCATCCAAGATAATACAGCGATCTCCTTGTCGATGCGGGGAATGTGTGGGTTGAGCTCGTTAGGTGGTACTACATATGCTTCCACCAAGATTCGCGAGAATTGTGGAATATTTTGAGATTCTTCTACCACGCACAAAAAAATTCAATTGATTTCTAATGAAATTTCTATTAACTTTTGGCCGAGTCTATTGAAATGTTCAGTAGAAAATTTTCCATACGAAAAGTCAATAGTTTTCAATTTTTCCGTACTATTTAGTTTATCGAGATGTTTTTTAGAGAATTTTGTTATCTTAAATTTTCAAAATTTTTTGTTTTCCAATGGAAATTTTGAAAGCGTTCAAATTTAAATTTTGGATTTTTTGTGTCATATGGACTCAGTATGAATGAAAAAGTCCGAATATGTAATTTGCAGACCAGGTATTTAGGTATTGTTGAATCCTATCGATCGGCATTAATTAAAATTTAATTCGAGTCGTTTTTTTAATTTTTAATTTTTTAATTTTTTTAAAAATCGGTTGTCCCACAATAACTTAAAAAAATGTTCTGAATTGATCGAATGATGGCTTAAAAAAATTGTTTCTGTCCTTTTGACCGAATGCAAAGATGAAGGCGATACAAATAATCGTTATTTTGATTTTTTTGAATATTTGTAAAAAAAATTTTTTTTGGAAAATCAAAATTGCGGGGATATCTTTGAATATCATGCTTCAAATGAATTCAATCATAGCTTAAAATATTTGCTTGAATGCCATTAAGTCGAAGTTGAAAGATGATTACGATAGCTATATTGATTGATTTGATTTTTGTGATGATACTAGAAAATTTCCAATTTTTCGCGAATTTCTCAGAAAGCTTTTTTTTGAGAAATTCGCGAAATAAAAAGAAACCTCCATAAAATTGGCATGAAAAGTATAAAAACTTTCAAAATAATATTCAATTGGCAAATACTAGAAAATCAATCACTCTAGAGTTGAATGATAAGTTCCTTTTAATCGAAGAATGTATTCCCGAAATTGTAGATACGCCGCAATTTCTAATACTTTGCTCCGCTTTTGAAAATGTATTCTGATGCATTTTTCAAAGAACATGAGTGACTTTAATTTTGTTAAAAATAATTGAGAAATTGCATAAATTAGCAGATGAAAAAATTAAAATAGGGATTCAAAATTTTCTTGCAGGGAAAAATATATCGCCAAATTAGTTTTATTCATCATAATTTGTTAAATCATCTCCTACAATCCCATTAAAGCGTTAATAATCACGAAGCACTCATATGATAAGGCAATCTTCTCTTCTTATTTCAGTAGACACCGACGCTGATTTATACATTGATATAAGAGTATTCTTTGTAGTATGAGGGAAAAAATTGGCCGTCTTGTTGACATTAATGAAGTTGTCGATGACATCACGATAACCTTGACGATGGGAAGAGACACCGCCTTCGCCTGGATTCTCAATGTAGATTCATCGATGATTCATTTTTCTCACAGCCATGATAGACAAATATATATGAACGTGCATTTTTTTTGCAGCAGCGATTATTACATCATTTGATATTAAACAATTATTTTTTAGTCCATAACAGTATCATCTTCAACATATCTTTAGAAAAAATTTCCCCGAAATCATGTTGAAATCGCAAAACAATTTTTTGTAGTCCAGCGTTCTTTTTTATATGTTCCGCGGCTGGAATTCGACCCAAAAACCCCCCTCGGCAATCATAGCCAAACTGGTTTTACTCAACCGCAGTGGTAGAATCATCTTCCTCCCAGGTCTCAACGAACACTTTCGCAAAAGGTGTACCAACAGTACTTTAGTTTCCAAAAGCGCGAATCTGTTCCCAATGCACATTCTGGGTCCTTGGCCGAATGCCAAAGAGTTCGCTGAATTTCCGGATAACCGACCATTTTTGATGAAGCGCTCGGGATCGAAGACATCAGGATCGGAGTAATTCTCAGGATCCCTCTGATAGGAGTAAACTGGGATCCAAACATTTTGCCCTGGTTTCAGCATCACCGGTATCTTCCCCGGTAGAGCCGGAGGTAATTCAAATTCCGCATTACATACCCTGTCCAGAAGTGCCCCGATCGGATACATTCGGAGTGTTTCATTGATCACAGCTTCGAGGTAAATCATGTTGACGACAGCTTCGTATGGAGGGTCTCCATTATGTTTATCGAAAGCCTCATCTATTTCCCTGTGGAGTCTCTCCTGAATATCTGCCCTTCCCGCGATCTCCTGAGCCGCAAAACACATCAAATACGACACAGTGTCAAATCCCCCGAGGAAAAAAATGAAGGCTTGGGACGTCATCTCCTCAATCGTCAGCTTGGGTCCTTCCTTATTATTTCTCGTCTCCATCATCAGTTGTATCATATCTGGCCTAGATATTCCTTTTTCATCCCTCATTGCGATGGTATCTCTCACGAGGTTATTGAAGAAGTTATTAACGTCGCTAGAGATGAGTCTGATATTGAGCAAGTTCGACAATTTTGGAAAACTTCGCAACACCCAGAATTTCAGGGATTTCAGCCCTTCGAAGTTGGTTGCTTCCTTCCCCAGAACGTAGAACTCGTTATTTCGGTTCCTGATGGAATCAACTTCAATCCCAAATGCACATGTACCTATGACGTCATTGGTGTAGCGGGTAAATGCGTCTTTGGAGTTGACCTCGTATGGTTTGTCTCGAGATTGTTCAGCGAAATAATCAGCGTAATTAGCAGCACATCCAGAAATGAGTTTGAACATGACCTTCATTTTGCTGGAGGTGAACGCAGGGCTCAGCAGATTTCTGATTGACCGCCATCTCTCATCGTGCAAAGAGAAGAGATTGTTACCGAAGAGGGGCTCCTGCTCGGGATCAGCGAAACTACGATGATTGACGAAATGATTGAAGTACTTGATAGTTATATTTTTCGCTAGCTCTTGGTCACGTATCAGCACAACTGGGCATCCAAAATCGAAGACTCCCACGTACTTGGCGTCTTTATTCAAGTTGTAAATCTTATTAATGACGGTCAATATGGATGCCTGTCGAAAAATTATCGGCGCCATGTTCCCCAGGAAGGAGACCGGCTTGACGTAGAGAATTCCATTTTTATCGAAGAAATTCTCTCCGCTGGAGAAACAGTAGCAGAGGAACAACACTAACGCAATTGTTGCTAATATTATCCAGAAGTCCATGGTAGAATCCAAAAATTATTTGATGTTGAAAACACGCTCAACGCCGGAGGTACAGGCGTACTGGCAAAAATTAATCTTCGGGGGGAATATCACATAATGGTGGGGGAGCAGCAATTGAATGCTACCATCTCTCCAGTAAGATAATGCACGGTTGGCTCTTCCACTCTTGAATAAGGATGACCGATGTTTGTAGATTAATCGAACACATCAATTTTTCATTCGATGTTTTCAGCGGCCGATTAATCGATTTTCGATTTCTTTTTCCAAACATCGATCTTTCTCACCAAGCTAACAAAATTTTTCATTTTTTTTATCGAATAATAATGTTGATTGATTGAGAATGAACAAAATCATAATTTATCTGCAATCAGAAGTCATTATTTTCTACAGTAAGTGCGTTGTAAGTGATAAGTGAACAAGTCCAGTCGTCTATTAGTTTTTTAAAATGTAAATTTTTAAAAAATTTTCACAATTTAAATTTTTAACAATTATTGTAATATAACGTCCGGCCACGAAAAATATCCAATATTTTTTTTTTCAGTAAATACGAGAAAAAAATTATTTTTTTAAATTTGTTTTTTTTTCCTGTGTAAGAAAAACATACATTTTTTTATATTTGGTATTTTTTTTAGAACAATCGATTCCCAACAGCGATGCTTTTTAAAACATCGCCCATCCCTACTCCTGAACAGAGCTGGACGCTATTTCATGAAAATCAAATAGAAATACTAATTCAAATAGTTCAGTACGATGAAATACTATTGGAAATATATATTTAAAGTTAACTATTTCGAGAACTATTGAAATATGGAGAAGAACTATTGAAATAAAATGATTATTTGATATTTTATTTTAACGAAACAGAAAATGAAATACTATTTACTATTTTATTTCACTGTTTCACTATTTGGTTTTACATAAAATATTTTTTTTCCCTGCGAATATTTTCCTTTCCTACCTCTTATCACCTTCACTGATCTCTCGCAGTGACGTAATTGCAATGAATTACGAAAAATTTTTTGAATGGACGCATTATCGGCGTTCGTCCATTCCCACACCTGGGTCTTTCGAAGAAAACTTTTTTTTCTCCCCGAAACTTTGTCACTGATGCTTAACAAATTGCAGCGCCATCCTACCCAACGCTGTACCTCCCAAATATTTAATTTTTGGTTTCGAATAGAAGCTTTGTAATCGTCCAAATTTAAGCTTTGATTTTTTTTGTGTTATATCAACGTTGGATAGTGACAGGAATCTCGCCAGTTATTTTTATCGTCAAGTTATTCAAAAAATTAACGACAAAATTCGATGAAACTTCATGTCTGCACTTTTGAGTGTTTAAAATAGATAAATATAGTTTCCTTTATTGGCTAGCACATTGTCAACAGTGTGAGGGGTAAGGAAAAAATAGCGTTCATAAAGTGCTAGCAGACATTTAAATGATTAATTATAAATGATTGACACGATAAAACAATTCAGAATTTTTTTACAATTTTCCGTTTACCACTCTGGATTATTATTATTATGTGAGATATTTAGTTCGCTAGCACATTGTCGTTTTGTGGCCAAAATTACTCGGGAGACCCTTTAAAGGATTTAAAATCGATGAAGTAGCCAAATGAATAAAAAATAACTTTCTGTCGGGAAGTTAATGAGTTCCAGACCTGAAAGGATATATGAATTAGGAGAACACAATAATTTGAAGTGGCAAAAATGAAAAGAAGAATAATTAAATGAGGGACAAGTGGAATATCGGGACGAGGGACGATGTGGAGGAATATAGAATTTTCATCCAGTGTTATACAAACATGTGAATTTTTTCTTCGGCCTTCAAATTTTGCAATTTCAATAGACAACAGCATTGATACGTGGATACAAAAACTCAGCTTTATAGTTGAAAAAAAAGATTACCCATCTTTTTCGTTAATGAATGAATGACATTACAATAGCCTTGATGATAATAATAGACGCCGTCTTCGTACGAGTTTCCATTATACATTGGCATTGATTAGTCAATTATTTATTTTTCTCATAGTCATGGTAGAAAAATATATATGGGATGCGTATTTTTATTCTGTATCGGCGATTATTGCATGATCAGATGTGAAGCGATTATTTTTCAGTCCATAACAGGGTCATATTCATTCGTTTTTGTACAAAAATAGTTTATATTCCATGGACACGAGAAATAATAAGGAAGGACCCAAGTTGACAATTGCACGGAGAAAAAAAATTCCAGAAAAATTACTGTGCCAGTACGATAAAATGGGTTCCTTTGGACGGACCCGGAAAAATTTTCGTGTCAGCACCGGAAAATTTTCTGTGGAGTACAAGAATTTTTCACGGTAAATTCGAGAAAAATTTCTGTAGCGCACGTCAGAAATTCTGGTGCTGGCACGAGAATTTTTCCTGGTCCACCCAAATGAACCTATTTTACCGTGCTACCACAGTAATTTTTCTGAAATTTTTTTCTCCGTGTGAAGACATGACTTCAATCATCAGCTTCAACTCACGATTTTTTCGCGAGTTCAGGGCATTCTTTTTTATATATTTCGCAGCTGGAATTCCACCCAGAATCCCCCCTCGACATCCACAGCGAAAGTGGTCCGGCTCAACTGTAGTGGTAGAATCATCTTTTTTCCGAGTCTCAACGAACACTTTCTCAAAAGGTGCACCAACAGTACTTTAGTTTTCAAAAGAGCGAATCTGTTCCCAATGCACATTCTGGGCCCTTGGCCAAATGTCAAAGAGTTAGTTGCATTGACCGTTAACCGTCCATCTTCGGAATACTTCTCAGGATCCCTCAGGACAAGATAAACTGCAATCCACACGTTTTGTCCTGGTTTCAACATCACCGGTTTCTGCCCCGGTAGAGCTGGCGGTAATTCAAATTCCGTATTGCATACCCTATTCAGAAAAGCAGCCACCGGATACATTCGGAGTCAAAGTCGAAGAATCCCACGTACTTGGCGTCTTTATTCAATTTGTAAATGTCATTGATGTTCTCCACCATGGGTTTCTGTCGAAAAATCGTCGGTGCCATGTTTCCCAAGAGGGGAACCGGCTTGACGTAGAGAACTCCATTTATATGATACGTGCGTGTAACCGCATGGGTTTCAGTTGATTATAGTCAAATGAAATCCGAAATAATGCATGACGCGCATGCACGTCACCTATTAAAAGAGAATAACAAGGAAGGAAATCTAAACTCCGAATAGTGAATACATGGAATGACTGAAAAATGAAAAGGTGATTTTCGAAGCAGATAAAATGAGCCAAAATCGTATAATTCCTGATAGTGATGAAGAGTTAGGCAGTGAGGAGAATTTATTTACTGATGAGGAGGAGTTTATTGGTGATGTGACATTTGAAGAAAATGGAAATAAAATATTCTCCGATTTTTCAATTACGTTTTGTATCATATTTTTTTATAATTATAACTTTCTTTTTTTTGCGAATTCTTAATGATTTTAAAAAATTGTATTTTGTAATTATTATAATTAATTTTTTTCAATTAAAAATACTTCACAAGTTTTTTGAACTACATATTTAATGAATATAATTAATTTTTTTTTCAGAAGTTCCGCATAATTTTTAAATCACACTTTTTTATAATTATTATTTTAAATAAATGTGATCTTTTTTCTTCAGTGGGGGGGGCTTCGCCCCCAACCCCCCACCCCCGGGGGGTTCGCCCCCTGAACACCCTTTTCTCGTGGGGGGCTTCGCCCCCCCCCCTCCACCCCCAGACTTCATCACGCACTTATATAAAATAGTATACGTAACACGTGCGGACAGCAAGCGGTCTCGGGCGGCTGCGCCGCCCTCGTGAGTAACCGCCTGCTTTCCGCACTAGTTGCGTAATGTACTATTTTATCGAAGAAATTCTCGCCGCTTGAGAAGTAGTAGTAGATGAACAACACTAAAGCAATTGTTGCTAATATCACCCAGAAACCTATGGTGAAATCCGAAAATTATTTGGCTTCGCATGCAGTGCAATGTACTGCTACACTGAGCGAAAATGCACTCATAAATGGTCCTTTAACTTTCTCGGTGTGTCAACAATACTCCGCTGATGCTGAGATAACACGCATTTCTCTATTAGATAAGATACGATAATAATAGCGACTTGAGTAGCCTACTACTTTGTATTGCACAATTTGTCTTCCTTTGTATATGTAATTTTGCCTCCCATTAATATTCAGCAGCACGCGCGATTTGCTTTGTAAATCACATAACAAACACTTCATTGATACGTGTAAATGTGATGGAATTTTTGCCTGATGGACTGATCGGAGGTACTGCTTGCGTAGCAAGCGTTCACGTAGGAAAAAATTTCACAGGAAAACTTCGGGAATTCGCTGGGCATTAACCCTGCACGGAGAGAAAAATACACCATATTTCCGTGAGAGTCCCTCCAAAAATTAGTGTGCTACTCACTAATGCTGGGACATAACAGGGGGTCACCAGAAAATTCGTATGTGGCACCCTAAGTTTTACGGGCATCGCGCGAAGTAGTGGCGCAAGTCCCTCTAAAAATTGGGGTGCCACATTCGAATTTTTCGATGACCCCCTGTTATGTCCCAGCATTGATGAGTAGCACACTAATTTTTGAAACATTTTTTTCTCAGTGTGTGACTCGCAAACCGTACGAAACCGTGCGAGTATGATGACTGCGCGCTGCGCGATATGTTACAAAATGTTGCCAAAGAAGTAACCTCGATCTCACTGGTGGGGAGCACGAGCATAAGTGGGGATTTGGGTAGAGTAGGGGGATACGGCTGAGGTTACTCCTTTGGCAAGGAGCACTTTAGTGATGAAATTTCAATGTACATTTTATTTTGACAATGTCAAAGATTATATGAGGTATTCCACGCCAAATGAGTCAACCGTTGACCCTCACCCTCTTGGAAATTGATGGCAATTTTTTCTGCGATTGGTGGGGTCAAAAAACTATCTCTCAATTTTTTTTAGATTTTTCCGACTGCCCAGTTTAGAGATATGATTTTTTTCTCGTTTTTCCGATTTTGTTCAATCAGAAAATTTTGATGCTTAATAAATCAAAATTTTTCATTTTTTACTGCCTATAAGAAAATTTTTAGGAAATTGTTTTTTCGATCTTTAGATGCTCATGTGACTTCCGTCGAAAAATGTACTAATTCATTTTTCCTTTAATTTTCGACGTCCGTCGAAAAATTCATTACATTCATTATTCTCTTTGATTAAATAAAATATTTTGAGTAATTACTATATTTCTATCATTTTAATTACAACTGGACATCACTAGATGTTTTCATTCGTTTAAATATTTTTCTCACCAACTTGAATAGTTATTTTCCTACGACTCGAGAGTGCAGCTCCACAAAATAAATTATCAAGAGTACACGATTTTTAAGTACATTTCCGGGGAAACTCATAAAATGAAAAAATAAAGTTCGAATGATAAGCTGCCAAAACACTCTTCGAGTGTTTGTCCCTGGTGATATTTTGTATATTTTATGACTTGCAGGCGACTGCATGTCGCGGACGTAGGGTCTAAGGTCTGGTACCAGACCCTCTAAATCTTCAGAATTTTCCGTTGGACATGAAACTTTCTCACCCGCCTACGCCCTATGCACCCACCCGGCGAATAAGGGAGATAAACACGAAATTTCAACGGTCAAGGGACACGTGCATAATATTTCTAATTTCTGAATAATTCTTTTTACAAAATACTTTTTCATAACGATGATAATTGATCAAATCGAATTGAATAGTAAATTATTTTAAAATTCTCAATTCCGAGAATTTCGGATTATCAAAATAATATTCACTGAACTAAATTCAATTATAATGCGAACACCTTAAATTTTATTAATTGACTTCTTGAATTTTGGGATGAATGAATCCATCAATTAAATGAATTACTGTTTAATTGAAAATATTTGAATCTGTTAAATCAAGATGGGATTTTAATGTGAACTGAAAAATATCGTTTACTTTTAAATATTATACGACTGTGAACAATTTTATCATTAATTGTTCGGAGCTATACTCCAAAAATATTCTTTAAATATTTTGTATGCGTTTTCTAAATGATCAATTTATTATTTCATCGAATTTTTCCTTACGATAAATTTTGGTTTTAATAATTAATGAAATAAAATAATTAATTAATTAAAATTATTATTTCAAATGAAATGAGAATGTGGAAGGAAAAATAGAATTTCTTGAAACAATCCCGTTCGTCGTTGAAGGTAGAAAAGTCCGCCTACACCCCAACATCCTCATGTGGAAGGGATGGAGTTTAACCCTGAAACATTGGGACCAGATTAAAATTTAGACTCAGTAGAGTTAGGTTACTTAAAACATCTTCTATTTTCTTTGTAAACAAATACCTTGTGTTCACTCAAAACTATTTTTTGTTTTTCAAGAGTTCGATTAAATTGAGAGATAAAGTTACTGTCAAATCACCCATGATTTGATATAACACTCACAATAACGAATTTTCGAAAAAAAAAAGTTGAAAAAGTTGAATTTTGAAAATTATGTCACCTTTGATTTGTTTCATTTTTTTCAGTAATTTTTATAATCAAAACAAGTATTTTGAGCCGTCATACAAGTTGGGGATCCTCTTTGGATCTATTTTATTTTTAATTTTTTCTCTTCAAAATTCCGCAAATTTGGTCAAAACGCCCCAAACGACTTTGATTATGTATCAAAAAAATATGGAATATATAGCTATACAGTCAAATTCACTCCATACTGTCTATAATCAAAGTCAATCAGCGCCATTTTCGGGTGTTAATCGCGACGTACTTGTAAGATAAGGCAATCATTTTTATTTCAATAGACAACAACAATTGTAGTAGGAAAAACACATTACCCGTTCCTTCCATTAATGAGTGAATGACATTATAATTACCTTAAGGATAGTAGTAGATGCTTTTTTCGAATGAGTTACCAATGTACATTGACATTGATTCGTCAGTGATTGATTTTTCTCATAGTAATGGTAGAAAAATATATATGGAAGTGTTTTTTTATTTTATCTCAGCGATTATTACATCATTTGATATGAAGTAATTATCTTTCAGACTATAACAGGGTCATATTCATCAATTTTTAACAAAAATATCCACCCTGAATCATATTTACATCGCAAAACAATTTCTTGTATTCCAGCATTATTTATATCTTTCGCGGCTGTAATTCCACCCAGAATCCGCCCTCGGCAGCCATAGCGAAAGTGGTCCTGCTCAACCGTACTGGTAGAATCATCTTTTTACCAGGTCTCAACGAACACTTTCTCAAAAGGTGCACCAACAGTACTTTAGTTTCCAAAAGAGCGAATCTGTTCCCAATGCACATTCTGGGGCCCCGGCCGAATGTCAAAGAGTTAGCTGAATTGGCGGATGGCCGTCCATTTTTGATGAAGCGCTCGGGATCGAAGACCTCAGGATCGGGGTAATTTTCAGGATCTCTCTGGTACGAGTAAACTGGAATCCACACGTTTTGCCCTGGTTTCAACATCACCGGTTTCTTCCCCGGTAGAGCCGGAGGTAATTCAAATTCCGTATTGCATACCCTGTCCAGAAATGCACCGATCGGATACATTCGGAGTGCTTCATTGATTACAGCTTCGAGGTAAACCATGTTGGCGACAGCTTCATATGGAGGGTCTCCATCGTGATTATCGAAAACCTCATCTACTTCCCTCTGGAGCCTCTCCTGAATATCTGCTCGCCCTGCGATCTCCTGAGCCGCAAAACACATCAAGTTTGACGCAGTGTCAAATCCCCCGAAGAAAAAAACGAAGGCTTGAGAAGTCATTTCTTCAATCGTCAGCTTGGGTCCCTCTCCTTCCTTATTATTTCTCGTCTCCATCATCAGTTGGATCATATCTGGTCTAGATATTCCTCTTTCGTCCCTCATCGCGATAGTATCTCTCACAAGGTTATTGAAGAAGACATCAACGTCACTAGAGATGACTCTCATATTGAATAATTTTGTCAATTTTGGAAAACTTCGCACCGCGAAGAATTTTATAGATTGCAGCCCTTCAAAGGTGGTTGCTTTCCTACCCAAAACGTAGAACTCGTTATTTCGGCTCCTGATGGAATCAACTTTAACCCCAAATGCACATGTACCTATGACGTCATTGGTGTAGCGGGTAAAAGCGTCTTTGGAGTTGACCTCGTATGGTTTATCTCGAGATTGTTCAGCGAAATAATCAGCGTAAGTAGCAGCACACTCAGACATGAGTTTGAACATGGCCTTCATTTTGCTGGAGGTGAACGCGGGGCTCAGCAGATTTCTGATCGACCGCCATCTCTCATCGTGCAAAGAGAAGAGATTGTTACCGAAGAGGGGCTCCTGCTCAGGATCAACGAAGCCACGATGATTGACGAAATGGTCGAAGTACTTGACAGTTATATTTTTCGCTAGTTCTTGGTCACGTATCAGCACAACTGGGCATCCAAAGTCGAAGAATCCTACGTACTTGGCGTCTTTATTCAATTTGTAAATGTCATTGATGGTCTCCACCATGGGTTTCTGTCGAAAAATCATCGGCGCCATGTTCCCCAGGAAGGGAACCGGCTTGACGTAGAGAATTCCATTTTTATCAAAGAAATTCTCTCCGCTGGAGAAGTAGTAGTAGAAGAACAACACTAAGACGATTGTTGCTAATATTATCCAGAAGTCCATGGTGAAATCTGAAAATTATTTGATGTTGAACACTTTGAATGTCGGAGGTACACTGTTGGCTTGTTATGCCCTGAGATGCACTGTTTCACTGAGCATTACTGCACTCGTGTATGATCATTTAACTCAGTTGACGCATCAACACTACTCTGCTGACCGTGAGATAGAACGCAATTCTGTATAACGCAGGGAACGATGATGATATAGCGTGTCCGATCTACTGTTTTGTGCTGCACCATTTGTTTTCACTGCGTATGCCTTTTTTCTGTTGGTACTCAGTACCACGCGTAATTTGCCTTGTAAATCACACAAACAAACATTTGACTGATACTTGGAAATGCGGTGGAATTATCGATAAAAAACGTTCACCTTTGATTTTAGCTTTAAAAAAGTCGAAATCTTGTTGAAAAACATAAGTTCGAGGATCTTATCACCCACTGATATGATGACTCTTACCGAGTAACATGATGTTTCACTGAGTGAAATGTCACTGAGTGATGTTTTAATGCTTTTTCATCATCAATGCATTGATGGCGGGCCTCCAAACTTTATAGTTTTATGTTTCAGACCATTCGACGTCGTTTTCAAACACAATTGGAAAATGTGAAAATGGAACGATTACAATGCTTCCCTTCCGAAACAAAAACACGATGGAATGGATGATTGATTGTTGTAATGATTTACGCCTTCGATTTATTGTCCGCGATGGCAATAATTGTAATCAATAAATATTGGCTGTGAGTGATCGATAAATGACAAGTGCAAAAACTAATGTTATCTTTTAATTAACTTTATCAACAGCTATTTTTGATGTAGCAAGACTTGATAAGATCGAAAAACAACATGAGACTGAGAAAATTTATAGCATCAGTTTCCAACGAGTGTAACCTAGTATCAGCGGAAAATATAATATATGAATAAAGACAATTATGTAGTAAATCATCAGTACATTATCAATTCAATTATTCAACAAATAAACGACAAAATTTGATTAGACTTCATGCCCGTATTTTTTAGGGTTTAGTACAGATAAATATAGTTTCCTTTGTTGGCTAGCACATAGTCGACAGTGTGAGGGGTAAGGGACACAATAGCGTTCATAAAGCTCATGTGTATAAGCAGAGACTTGAATGATTAATTACAACCGAGCGAAAAGATAAAACTACTCAAAGTTTTTTTGTGACCCTTATTCTGACCCTCATGATCATTATTTTGACCCTCGTGACCGTTATTTTGAACCTTGCGAACCTTAATTGTGGAGTCTTAATTTCGAATCCAAATTTTTTTAATTTATATTGTTTTTCTAATTTTTTTAAATTGAAATTTTGTTAGATATTGGGTAATGAATTGGACTACCTCTCTATAAAATTTCAGCTCGATCGGTCCATTGGTTTTTGAGAAAGAGCAATTGGTTTTTGTTTGATTTTTCGTGAATATCTCAAAAAGTATGCAACCGATTTCAATATTTTTTTTCAAAATGTTCGTCTCGATGTCTTCTATCTCAATCAATCAAAATATGCATACCCGTTTATACAAAGTTTTTGAGATATTTCCATTTTACCGTTTTTTGTTTAAAATCCTTGTACGTCCGCGCTCTCGCTTTCGCAAAAGTCGAGATATCAACTTGAAATTTGGCATGGAGGTATCTCTTATCATTTTGATGTTTGGTATTGAACTTGGACTGAATCCGATGAATAGATCCTGAGATATTCAATTTTATATGATACGTGCGTGTAACCGCATGGGTTTCAGTTGACTATAGTCAACTGGAAAGTAGCGGTTTCAAACGTCTTCACACACTCAACTGAAACCCACTGTTCCNTCACACTTATTTATAATTATTTTTTAAAATAAATGTGATCTTTTTTCTTCAGTGGGGGGGGGCTTCGCCCCCTGGACCCCCTTTTCTCGTGGGGGGCTTCGCCCGTCACACTCCCTCCCCCTCCGCCCCCCGACTTTATCGCGCACTTATCATATAAAATAGTATACGCAACACATGCGAACAACAGGCGGTATCACTCGGGCGGCTGCGCCGCCCTCGTGAGTAACCGCCTGCTTTCCGCACTAGTTGCATAATGTACTATTGTATGAATTTATGTACTTCATTTAGTAAGTATACTATAATTACAGATTGATTTTCAATTTCCGTTCGTTTTTTGCTTCAGAATGGAAGCATTGCATTCGTTCAAAATGCCTGTAGGAGCTCTAACTCTTGAAAAAAACAAGATATTAACTCGAAATTTGGTACAGGTTTCTACTAAAAAAAATATCCTGCCCAAATCATTCGGAAGCTGACCATCAGTTTACTGATGGCAAAAAACGAGATTCACATACGACTTAGTAAAACATCTGCAGTCGCATACGCGCTGTCGTCTACTTGTTTTTCATTACACTGATAGACAGGATTAATTATTGTTAACATATGGATTTGGTTGGAGTCTAGGGTCTATTTCGTCTCACCAAATGTTCATTCGTTGATAGTTAACGAATCTCGTTTGGAATAAATGAATCATTCTATCAGTGTACAATTTATAAAATCACCTTTTACATTCATATAAAAGTGTCAATAATCGCGACGTAATTATAAGATAAGGCAATCCCTTTTTTAATTTTAGTAGACAATAACAATGATTCATACGTTGATATAAACACTCTATATTGCAGTAAAACATTGCCCGTTCTTTCCATTAATGAGTGAATGAAATTACAATAGCCTTGACCATAGTAATAGATGTTGTCTTCGGACGAGTTTTCAATGTACCTTGACATTGATTCGTCAGTAATTTATTTCTCTCACTCATGGTAGAAAAATATGTGGATGTAAATTTTTATTTTGTATCAGCGATAATTACATCATTTGATATGAAGCAATTTTTTTTCAATCCATAACAGTGTCATATGTAGTCATTTTTTACAATAATAATTACCCTAAATTATATTTACATCGCAGAACAATTTTTTGTATCCCAACATTCTTTTTTATATGTTTCGCGGCTGGAATTCCACCCAGAATCCCCCCTCGGCAGTCATAGCGAAAGTGGTTCTACTCAACCGTAACGGTAGAATCATCTTTTTCCCAGGTCTTAACGAACACTTCCGCAACAGGTGCACCAAGAGTACTTTAGTTTCCAAAAGCGCAAACCTGTTTCCAATGCACATCCTGGGTCCTTGGCCGAAGGTCAAAGAGTTGGCTGAATTGGCGGCTGACCGTCCATTTTTGATGAAGCGCTCGGGATCGAAGACGTCAGGATTGGAGTAATTCTCAGGATCTCTCTGGATAGGATACACTGGAATCCACACGTTTTGTCCTGGTTTCAACATCACCGGTTTCTTTCCCGGTAGAGCTGGCGGTAATTCAAATTCCGTATTGCATACCCTGTCCAGAAAAGCAGCCACCGGATACATTCGGAGTGCTTCATTGATTACAGCGTCGAGATAAACCATGTTGGCAACAGCTTCGTATGGAGGATCTCCATCATACTTATCGAAAGCCTCATCTATCTCCCTCTGGACCTTTTCCTGGATATCGGCCCTCGCTGCGATCTCGTGAGCCGCAAAACACATCAAGGTCGAAGAAGTGTCAAAGCCCCCGAAGAAGAAAATGAAGGCTTGAGAAGTCATCTCTTTAATCGTCAGCTTGGGTCCCTCTCCTTCCTTATTCTTCCTCGTCTCCATCATCAGTTGGATCATATCTGGTCTATATATTCCTTTTTCGTCCCTCATCGCGATGGTATCTCTCACAAGTTTATTGAAGAAGACGTCAACGTCACTAGAGATGACTCTGACATTGAAAAATTTCGACAATTTCGGAAAACTTCGTACCGCAAAGAATTTTATGGACTGTATCCCGTCAAAGTTAGTTGCTTTTCTGCCCAGAACGTAGAACTCGTTATTTCGGTTCCTGATGGAATCAATTTTAATTCCAAATGCACATGTACCGATGACGTCATTGGTGTAGCGGGTAAATGTGTCTTTGGAATTGACCTCGTATGGTTTGTCTCGAGATTGTTCAGCGAAATAATCAGCGTAAGTAGCAGCACACTCAGACATGAGTTTGAACATGCCCTTCATTTTGCTGGAGGTGAACGCAGGGCTCAGCAGATTTCTGATCGACCGCCATCTCTCATCGTGCAACGAGAAGAGATTGTTACCGAAGAGGGGCTCCTGCTCGGGATCCACGAAGCCACGATGATTGACAAAATGATCGAAGTACTTGACAGTTATATTTTTCGCGAGTTCTTGGTCACGTATCATCACAACTGGGCATCCAAAGTCGAAGAATCCCACGTACTTGGCGTCTTTATTCAATTTGTAAATGTTATTGATGTTCTCCACCATGGGTAGCTGCCGAAAAATTGTCGGTGCCATGTTTCCCAAAAAGGGAATCGGCTTGACGTAGAGAATCCCATGTTTATCGAAGAAATTCTCTTCGCTGGAGAAGTAGTAGTAGAGGAACAACACTAAGACAATTGTTGCTAATATCATCCAGAAGTACATGGTGAAATCCAGGAATTATTTGATGTTGAACACTTTGAATGTCGGAGGTGGACTGTTAGCTTCGTATGCAATGAAATGTACTGCTGCCCTGTCCAGTAATACACTCATAAATGATCATTCATGGTTATTTATGTGTTGGCGTATCAACACTACTCCGTTAACACTGAGATAACACTTATTTCTGTATCAGGTAAGGTACGATGATGATGACTTGCGTAATCTACAATTTTGTATTGCAAAAGTTGTCTTCGTTGGTATACGTAATTCTCCTTCCTACTGGTATTCAGTACCATTTGCAATTTGCCTTGTAAATCACACAATAAACACTTCACTGACACTTGGAAATGTAATGGAATTATTGGATGATGGAGTGGATTGCTTGCGTAGAAAACGGTCACGTAGTAAAAAATTTCACATGAAAACCTAGGGAATTCGCTGGGAATTCAACTCTATCAGTTTTTGGCCGATTCTATTAAACTATTTTCTATAGAAATTCCTTGGCTTAAATTTTTCAAGTTTCTGCCTCCGAATGGAAGTTTTGTCATCATTCAAATCCAAGTTTTGGATTTTTTGCGTTGTATCAACTCAGTATGATTCAAAAAATCCAAAAATTCAATTCTTCGACCTCATCCGTACCTGTGTGTATATACGTATATAACAAAGTTTTCCTATTGTTCGCTAATGAATGGATGAAATTGAATCTTTTTTTTTTTCAAATGTAGGTATTGTTGAGCCCTATTGATCGTCATTAATTAAAATTTAAATCATCCATTAAATTTTTCAATTTTCGAATTTTTTTCAAAAATTGGCTGTTCCATGCTAACTAAAAAAAATGTTCTGAATTGGTTGAATGATGACTTGAAAAATTTGTTTGGATGTCCTTTTGACTTCGTTCGGAGATGAAGGCGATAGCAATAATCGCTAATTTCATTTTTTTTGAAAAAATAAATGAAAAATTTTTTCATTTTTCGTATATCATGCTTTAAATGAATTCAATCATAGCTTAAAATGTTTGTTTTAATGCCATAAAGTCGATGTTTTTTTACGGCCTTTTGAGTCCCCTTTTCGGGTCTCATTTCGGCATACTCTGTCCAACCCTATGCATGCGGCTGTGGAGAGAAAAATACACGACAATCTCGTGGAAGGTCCCTCCAAAAATTAGTTTATGCCTCTAGGGACGGAAAACCGCGATTCTAACCTCGCTTTGCTCGATTAAATCGCGGTTTTCAGTCCTCGAGGCATAAAATATCGTGTGCCATCTGGCAGTAAAAGTATTTTCTGACGTCACATTCGTCAGAAAATACTTTTACTCCCCAGAGGCACAATATACTATTGCTACCCACCAACACGGAGACGTATCGGGGAGTACGCTAATAATAGAAATGTAACACTTCTATCATTCGGGGGAGCAAGGTAGAATACTAGGTGCCACTCGCTACGAAGTTGCGCGCTCGGGCATCCAAAAATTAGTGTCCACTAAAATTTGAACTCAATGCGATACTCCACGTGCATTGCGAGCCAAATACATCTTTTAAATCACAGAGGTCACCACTTAGTAATGGAGAGCAGACAAAAATTCAGTGAGTGGCACACTAAAATTTGGAGAGGGCCCAGCCAGTTTTTCATCTCTGGTTCCATAAAAATATGATTCCTAAAACTAGTTTCTAATGAGCGGAAAAAAGTCGGGTGCAGCACAGGAAAGTTTGGGGAGCGGTAGTCGAAATGATTGTCAGAATCCAATTTGTATAGAGTATTCTCCATTTTTTGTGCCCCCTTCAGGACGTCCCATGCGTTGGTGAGAAGGTACACTAATTCTTGAAAGATTTTTCTCTCCGTGTATAGAACATAGGATTAGCATGGGAAACCACAGGAAACCCGTGCCGGTACATGCGATGACTCCATTACCAATCTCCCGCTCGCCGGAGTCTTCCGTTGAAAAATCCAGTTCCACGGGGAATCGAACTCACAACTAACCTTTCGCATACTAGACTTCCGTCCAGCCCATTCGGCCACCGACATCGGTATAAAGTCGAAGTCAAAAGATGATTACGATAGCTATATTGGTTGATTTAATTTTCATAATTATGAAAATTTCAAAGGTAATAAAATACGCATCTGCTCATTTATTAAAAGCTCTCCATTTTTTGATTGAATACTGCCGACAAATGCTACTTAATTGAAATGAATTTTTCGTCAATTGATTTCATTCAACCACTGGCGGCGATGGCGGCAACTGTAAAAAAACGCAAAGAAATGATTTATTATTGCGATTTATTACACCTTCAATGCATTATCTGCGATGATATTAAGATTACGTTGACTCTTTCAATCAGCAAATCTCGTCTGCTAGTGTTCGATAAACGAACATTGCAAAAATCAACTTTGTCTGCATCAATAGCTATTTATCGATCTAGCAAAATTTGATAAGATGAGAACATAAGATTGAGGACGTAAGATTGAGGAAATTGATAAAATCATTTTCGAATGTGAAAATTTATTCTCTTCTTAACTGTTCTTTCACATACTCCTCGGTTGAAACTCCACCCAGAAGCCGCCCTTAGCCCTCATGAGAAAGCTCGTCTTGCTCAGCTTCAAGGGAGTAATCATTCTCTTACCCGGCTTTAGCGAGCACTTCCTCAGGAGATGAACAAACAGGATCTTAGTCTCCAGAAGTGCAAATCTGTTGGCAATGCACATTCTGGGTCCCTGCCCGAATGAGATGGAGTTGGCCGAGTTGACGGATGGTTTCCCATTTTTGATGAAGCGTTCGGGATCAAAGACATCCGGATCGGAAAAATTCTCCGGATCCCTTTGAAAGCAATAAACTGGAATCCACACGATGTCACCAGGTTTCAACATCACTGGATCCTTCCCAGGTAGGACTGGGGGTAATTCAAATTCTGCATTGCAAACCCTGTCCAGAAATGCAAAGACCGGATACATCCGCAGTGCTTCACTGATCACTGCATCAAGATAAACCATGTTATTAATAGCTTCGTATGTAGGCTCTCCGTCATGCTCTTCGTAAACCCGATCTACTTCCCTCCGGAGTTTCTCCTGAACATGCGGCTTCTCAGCTATCTCTTGTGCCACAAAACACATGAATGTTGAGGAAGTTTCGTAACCCCCGAAGAAGAAGCTGAATGCTTGAGAAGTCATCTCGAGGGTCGTCAGCTTGGCTCCATCTCCCCCCGCCTTATTTCTCGTTTCCATCATCAGTTGGACCATATCCGGTCTAGATATTCCCTTTTCGTCCCTCATTGCGATGGTGTCTTTAACAAGCTTGTTGAAGAAAGCGACAACGTCATCAGTGATGAACTTAATGTTGAATAATTTACAGAATGTCGGAACTAATCGTAATAAGACTACTCTGAATCCTGGCAATCCCTCAAAACTCGTCGATTTTTTGCCCACTGCGTAAAAGTAATTATTGCGATCTCTGATGGAATCAATGGTCACGCCGAAAGCAAAGGTTCCTATGACGTCGTTGGTATATCTTGCAAATGTATCTTTGGTGTTGAGCTCAAGTGGTCTGTCTCGAGATTGCTCAGCGAAGTAATCTACGTAATTCTTGGCGCACTCGGAAATAATCTTGAAGAGACCCTTCATTTTACTAGACGTGAAAGCCGGAGTCATCACGTTCCTGATCTCACGCCACTTGTGGTCATGCAAGTTGAAGAGAATATTCCCGAAAAGAGGATCTTGCTCGGATCTGATGAAGTCACGGTGATTGACGAAATAGTCGAAGTACTTGACAGTGATATTTTTAGCAAGTTCACGATCACGAATCATCACTATTGGAGTCTCAAAATCAAGGAATCCCACGTACTTGGCGTTCTTATTCAAATCGTAGGTTCTCTGCATTGTTTCGAAGAGGGACATCTGCTGGAATAAGAACATCGGCGCCATGTTCCCAAGTAGAGGTACAGGTTTGACGTAGGGGATGCCGTGTTTATCGAAGAAATTCTCTCGGGTGGAGAAGTAATAGTAGAGGAGCAGAATTACCAGAATTGTTGCGAAAATCGTCGAAAATTCCATAACAGATTGGTGCAGAACTTTTCACTGCTATCGGGACAAATTTTTATTTCAACTGTGCCATATTATCTCAGACCTTAATTTATAATTTGATCGCGAGGAAGATAATGCGATGTATACAATTATTATTACATGATAGGCGTTTTTGGGGAGACAGATAAAACGATCAGTCAAAAGTAAGCACTCGCGGTTATTTCTTTTTGTAATACTTGCCTGAAAAGTTCACTTTTCGAAACCGTTTAGTGTGTGTAAAGTGGTTGTTTTGTAAAAGTTGAGAGTCCGCGATCTCCCATATATCCACGGTAGAAATTACCTTGAATTCACAGGAAAACGTCTCGTATATCCACGGTCGAAGTTACCGTGGAGCGTGTGAATAGACACTGCCAATTAAAAATACTAATCTATGAATTGAATTTTAATTAACCCTTAAGTGGTCGCGCTTTTTTAGCGCCTCCCTCGCTCTATAGGCGACGTATGGTTTGGCGGGGATTCCCTCACGATGCGACCATTTAGGGTTAATGGCGATTGGTGGATCTCAACAATACCTACATTTGAAAAAAAAAAAATATTCAATTCCATCCATTCATTAGCGTACAATTGAAGAAAAACTTCATTCCATACGTACACACATACACATGCGTACGAACGAGGTCTAAAAATTCTATTTCCGGCCTTTTTGGAAAATGCTGGGTCGATATAACACAAAACATCGAAAACATAAATTTGAAAGATGACAAAGCTTCCATTCGAAAACAAAAATTAGTCACATATATAAACATAACATTCATGTGGTTTAAGAATAATCGGGCGAGCCTGGAGGGTTAGAAAAAAAGCAGCGATTTTTCTCTTTTATTTTTTACGTATTCTTTAAATGATGGAAAAGGCGTGTGCAAAGTTTCAGATTGCTGGGGTACATGGTTAATTTATTATGAATTTTTGAAAAAGTGGTGATTTAACCCGTGATCTTGTGGAAATTACAAAAAAAACTGCAAAACTCAAGGAAAAAAAGCAGCCAAAGTCATGAAACTTTGGACGCATTTAGAACATGTGATCAATGATTTTTTGAGTGAAAAAGATTGTCGCCTAGGAGCATTGTTTATTAATAATAGCGAAAAAAGTACTGAAAAATGAAATTTCTGCGCACGCAGCCCAAACGAGCAGCAACGTCTCAAGTACCGATCGGGTGGGGGGAGCGCGGTCAATTTAAACGTCTCTTGAGAGAGAGCGATGAAGCGCTGTGATTGGAGCTCCCTCGAGCCAGTGGTACCAGCTCCTGGTGAAAAAAAAAACACTACCGACGATGTTGCCACTTTTTCGCATGGATTAATATTTTTTCATTTATTAAAAAAAAAAACAATCTGAAAACCATTCAATGCGTGGAACAGATACAAATAAATTTGATTAGCTCCAAAAATAATTTTTAACCGGAGATACTCCCTAATATTGCCTGAATTTTGAATCCGAATGGGAAAAATTTTTTTGTTCAGCAATTGGTTTTCTGCAGGAAAACAATAGAAACCCCTCCGCCTCACCTCCTACATTTCCTCCTCGCCCGATTATCCTTAAAAACATCATATTGTGTTTCGTGAGCCTAAAATTAGTTATCCTCACAAAAATAATGAAACTCGGATCTTGAAGATTACAATGCCTCCATTCGAAAGCAAGAGAATTTCCCTATGAAATAAAAAATTATCATTAAGGTCTCCATACATTTCCAGAGGAGTGAGGGATACGTCCAGGGGAAAGACCTCGTACTCGTACAGAGCAAGTTTCTATTATATGATAGAAAGTATATTCCGCAGACCATTGATCCCTTCAACCCTCTTCAAAAATCGCAATCTGATGTGCCAGATGCAGGTCCTCCGCTGACCCCTGTCCAGGTGAAAATCGATTCTCCTTTCCACTCTTTTGCGCGAGTATTAATTCATAGAAGTGTGCAATAAATAAACATTTCAAAAATAAATTTGTATTTTTATCAACGATTATTTTCTCGCCGCACGAGGCAATTCTTTCGTGATATCAATTGACAAGAACAATGATTCGTAGATTGATATCAAGATTACAACTGAGATAAGTAGATACCAGCCATTTTGGGATCTGAAGTTCTTATATATTTGATAGCTTCATCGAAAATGAATTAAATATTTTTCGTGGTACACCGTCTGTGTGACGTCATTAGCGATTTCAAAGCGTTTGAAATATTCAACTTTTAACAATTAATTATTTATTAATGAGCAATATTTTGAATGTTTGTGCAGGGGGAAAGGAATTATTCAGGTCCCAAATTTGAGATTAGAAAATTGAAAAAAATTCCCGCAAGTTTTCTTATTAAATTTGTCATCACGTGCGCCGAAGGCGAGTGCTACCCTCCCAGTGGTCAAAGAGCACTTTTTCCACGAAGATCAAACCCTATTTTTCATTAAGATGTGTGTCAAAAAAGACTCAACACGCTCCACGTGCGTAAAATTTCACTTTGCGCACACGTGATGAAACAGAGTATTAAAGAATACTTAAGCTACCACGAATTCTTGTTTTTCCTATTGCGTCTTCATATATTCCTCGGTTGGAACTCCACCCAGAATCCCCCTTCAGCGGTCATAACGAAGCTCGTCTTGCTCACCCTCATCGGAGTGATCATCTTCTTGCCCGGCTTCAGCGAGCACTTCCTCAGTAGATGAACAAACAGTATCTTGGTCTCCAAAAGTGCAAATCTGTTCCCAATGCACATTCTAGGGCCCTGGCCGAACGTCAACGAGTTAGCCGAGTGGCCGGACGACTTATCATTCTTAATAAAGCGCTCGGGATCGAAGACGTCCGGATCTGGGAAATTCTCCGGATCCCTTTGGAAACTGTAGACTGGAATCCACACAATGTCACCTGGTTTCATCATGACTGGTTTACCCCCCGGTAGAGCTGGAGGTAATTCAAATTCCGCAGTGCAAATTCTGTCCAGGAATGGACCGATCGGATACATCCGGAGTGTCTCACTGATCACAGCATCGAGATAAACCATGTTATTAACAGCCTCGTACGGAGGGTCTTCCTCATGCTCTTCAAAAAGCTGATCCACTTCCCTCTGGAGTTTCTCCTGTACATGCGGCTTCTCAGCGATCTCTTGAGCCACAAAACACATGAGCGTTGAGGAAGTGTCGAAGCCCCCGAAGAAGAAGCCGTACGCCTGCGAAGTCATCTCAAGAAGCGTCAGCTTGGATCCCTCTCCCTCCTTATTATTCCTCGTTTCCATCATCAGTTGAATCATGTCCGGCCTAGATATTCCCTTCTCATCCCTCATTGCGATGGTGTCCTTAACAAGATTAGTGAAAAAAGCGACCGCATCGTCGGTGACAAATTTAATGTTAAATAATTTACACAAAGTCGGAACAAATCGCATCAACGTCAGTCTCCATGCTCCTACCCCCTCAAAACTCGTGGATTTTCTCCCTAGAACGTAGAAATCGTTATCTCGATTTCTTATCGAATCAATGGTAACTCCAAAGGCGAAGGTTCCGATGACGTCATTGGTGTAGCGTGTGAATGCATCTTTGGTATTGAATTCGGCTGGTTTTTCTTGAGACTGTTCGACGAAATAGTCGGCGTAATTAGAGGCACATTCAGCAACGAGTTTGTACGTGCCCTTCATCTTACTGGAGGTGAATGCCGGGGTCATCACTGCCCTGATCTTCCGCCACTTGTCGTCGCGCATTGTAAAGAGAAGATTTCCGAAGAGAGGATCCAGATCGGATGTGATGAAGTCACGGTGATTGACGAAATGGTCAAAGTTCTTGACAGTGATATTTTTAACGAGGTCACGGTCACGAAGCATCACTATTGGGGTTTTAAAGTCAAAGAATCCCACGTAGTTGGCGTTCTTATCCAAATAGTAGGTCTTCTGAATGAGCTCGAAGATGGACATTCTCCTCAGGAGTGTCGGCCCCATGTTGCCGAGGAGAGGAATAGGCTTGATGTGGGGAATGCCATGTTTACTGAAGTAGTCGTTCTGGTTGGAGAAATAATAGTAGATCAACAGAATCACTAGGAGTGTTCCCAAAATCGTCCAAAATTCCATGTCGAAATTTAACGGAGTTTTCTGAACTACGCTTCGATGGCTGTCGTGAAATGCTTCTGACACAAGATCTGATTTTCTACTGTACAACGTTTGCACATGACCGCTTAACGCCGTTCGCATATTAGCTGCCGCGTCATGGCCTCGGCAAACCATTCATCCTGGACATCTGTGTGAGTGACGAAGATGAGTCGTACAGTGTGTTAGCCTGTTATGATCAATTTGTTTTTGTTTGTGATGCGCATCCGTGTAGTTTCATTCGCTGGGTCGACCCGGAAAATGCGATTAAATTATTCTAATGATTGAGTAATTAGGTTTTTCACTTTTGGAATAAAAAAAATTAATACAAAAAATTGGTAATATCCCCCTACGGGAGGATTTTCTCAACACAATTTTTCAAATAAAAAATGAAAAAAAGAAAAATTTTCTTGAATGAAAAAAGTGAATAATTTTTTTGTGGAAAAAACAAAATTATTGGTTTAATTTTCAAATCAAACAAATGGCAAATTGCATTCGCCTCAACGTTGGTGGCCAACATTACCTCATCGTTGGCAGCCAACATTCCCCCAACATTGGTAACCAATATTGTCCCAGCGTTGGTAGCCAACATTGTCCCAACGTTAGCAGCCAGCATTACCTTTACGCTGGCAGCCAACATCACCTTAACGTTGGCAGCCAACATTGTACCAACGTTGACAGCCAACATTTCCCCAACGTTGGTAGCTAACATTGTCCCGGCGTTGGCAGCCAACATTGTCCCGGCGTTGGCAGCCAACATTGTCCCAACATTGGTAACCAATATTGTCATAGCGTTGGTAGCCAACATGACCGTAACACTGGCAGCCAACATTACTTCAACGTTGACCGGCAACATTGACCCAACGTTGATAGCCAACATTGTCCCAGCGTTGGTAGCCAACATTACCTTAACGTTGGCAGCCAACATTTCCCCGACGTTGCCCCAACATTACCCCAACGTAAAAAATTTTCACTTCTCGAATATTGGTTTCAATATAATTTTTTTCAACAACCGAGGATGCAATAAATCTCATGATCGAACTCGGTCAAGATTGTATTGGAAAGAATATTTTAAATCACAATTGGATTTATTTGAACAATTATCTTTCCAGTTATCGTCGAAAAACCATCGGTCATACACACATACATACATGCATACATCCGGACATGATCTAAAAATTTTTCTGACGCAAGAAATTGAAAATGTCGTATTTGATGAATACAATGCCTCCATTCGGAAGTAAAAAAAGAGATTCTATCCGGAGAGAAACTCTCCGACTACAGTTTGAGTCTGGGGAGAGACTGGTTTTTCTTTCATCACTGACTTTCACGCACGGAAGAATAAATTTGCTTTTGATAACGACGGAATTTAGAGATAAAAATTTATTTTGTTTTCTGAGGAACGCAATGGCATCTGGGGTTACACAAAAAAAAATATTGAAGAATAAATAAATAAGAATAAATAAATAAATAAGAATAAATAAGAATAAATAAATAAGTTGTTGCAGAATTTACCATCTTGGCTGTGTGGCGCACATGGTTGAGGTAGGGATCCATAATCTCAAGCGCCCAGGATCTAGTCCCGGGAAAACTAAATTCCTCACCAATTTTTTCATTAAAAATTTTCAAACCAAAATTTTACCCACTATTTCACGCAATCCTTGCGACCAAATCACGGATAAATTTGACAATTTTGAGATTTTCATAATAATTGTTGGATTTCATGGATCGAAATAGTATTCAAAAATCAGTCTCTACACAGCTCGACACATTTCAGTATCACCACATAAAATTCTTCAGACTGAGGTTTTTAAAGCTGTGTTTATGTTACATGGCGACCACATGGTGGACGGCTATGAATACTATGAACAAAACATAGAACAAAGGACAAAGAGAAAATCCAAGCGTCCCAAGTGGTCCAATGTACTGGCCCTTAATTTTCTGAAGTGAGTCTCCGATAGCCGGAGCTAGAGTAAAGATCGAGATGCGTCTCCTACGTGCGACTGAATAAAGAGACAGTCAAATTAAATTCACAGAGTTATTAATTCAATCCTACACATAAATCCAATAGTGATGTTCTCTTTAGAAAAAAAATAAGTAGGGGACCGAGCCCATTCAATAGAAGGCATGTGATCGGTATTTTTACTTTATTATTATTTGTTTGTATTTTCGCCAATTCGATTAATAGTAAAATTCCGAATGGATCCTTGGCAATTGCATAGTGAAAATGAGCAAGTGGGAAATCGATGAGAATTGTGTCCCATGATATTCTCCAATGGGTTGAACAAAGTTATTGTATACCCGCTATTTTCCCAAACCTTGTCTCTCTCTCCAGATGTCCACCAAATGTTTCCTTTCCTAAGATCTGTTCTCTCGAATATTTTATTACGGTTTTATTATTTTAATCCCTAAAACTCCAAATATCCAGACACCCAGACGAAAGGTTTTACTACCATATTCATGCTAGAACCTTCTAAATGGTTTCATTGCACCTCGGAACTTTCCCGTACCTCGTGTCACCAACCCCGTACTTTCCCAACGATTCATTTCCTAAAATCTCTCATCGAGACATACCTCTCCCTGACCTCCGTAAGTCCAACCCTCAAGGGTCATCCCTCATCGGTGAATTTCTGTGGTTCCCGGTAGCTTAGTCGGTAAGAGTGCCCGGCGCGTATCTGGGAGACCCGGGTTCGATTCCCGGCTGGGTGAAGCGGAAATTTTTTCTCTCTAAATTCTAATTCTCTTAGAATTCTTTAATGCCTAAAGGAGGTTAGGCGGTGTTTGAGGTGAATTTGAGAGTGAATTTCTGTGGTTCCCGGTAGCTTAGTCGGTAAGAGTGCCCGGCGCGTATCTGGGAGACCCGGGTTCGATTCCCGGCTGGGTGAAGCGGAAATTTTTTCTCTCTAAATTCTAATTCTCTTAGAATTTTTTTTTTTTTTTGTGGCCAATCAGCCACTTGGGCCTTTCTCCCTCCATACCCTCTAACCCCTACTTCTCACCCTCAAGAGACACCAACTCAAAATCCTCTTCCCTCCACCTCAGGCAGAATTAACCGAACACTGTCAGAAGTTACATCTAATCAGGAAGATATCCAAAGTACTTGTATTTTAGTCCTCTTAAATAAAGATTTCGTGTAATAGTTGGTTTAACTTGTTATTTCAATCCGGAATCCAACAAAGTTTATAAAGAAGGAATAGGAATAATCTATTTGGAATCGAAATACAAATATTGATTTATTCTCAGATTATCGATTTTAAAGAATTTTAATTTTGTGTTAGATAAATTTTCATTCAGATGGGAAAATAATTGATAAAATACGATTTGTCATTTAATTAGAATAAACGACTTTTGGATGACTGACTTATCGCAGAATGTTCTTAATCGCTCGACGCATAATTTTATAGGGTATGGCTCAATAATACTAATTAGGAGTCAAAATTTCAGATGACTATTGCAATTTTTAGGTATATTATGGAACGTCAAATCAACTTGCAGGTAAAAAAATAAGAAAAATCGCTAACATTCCAAAGACTTTGTAAAAGTGTTTTTTGGCCCACACGGAGAGAAATATACAATAAAAATTACGTATCTTTTCCGTAATTCCGGAATGTTTATGTATGACCACACAAAAGATAATAGTGTATTTAAGAATGAAAATTTCTCACATAAACAGATAAAACGAAAAGACTAAAAGGCACGAAGTGGAGAGCGACTGATTATTTCCTATAATAAAACAAGTTGCACCAGAAATTAGACAAAAATCTTCATTTTCTGTAAACGTTCCCAAAATATTCATCATTTCGGCGTGAAATGAGGCATCGGCACTGACGAAGACTGCAACGAATTAAAGTAAAACAAATGTTTTGCAAAAAATATTTTGACTGAATTCAAAAAAGAAAAATATTGAGAAATGAAATACACACAAAAAAGGTGATTAAACTATCGTCCATTATCAGCATTTGCAAATGTCAATAGCTCGTTATCCCAATAAACTTAACGATAATCGCCTGATTATGATATCTCTTCCTCTCGGCATTCATTGAGAAGCTGGCAATCTTATTTGACTTTTTCAGCACTAAATAAAATCCCAACGCGCAAGAACAATAAATCATTACGTCGTAGAACTCGTTTAGATACCCCTGCATGAAGTACACATTTTCAGTGATTCAATATGACATCTAGTACAGAGAAGTCAGTCGGATCTGGAGGTATCATCAAGCGAGAACTCTCCGCGCGTCGCATTGTGCTGCGCTCCGGTTCCAAAATTCTATCGGGACGTCCAATACCTCTTGGGATTTTCCATATATCAGTTTATATATATTCCAAGTGATAGCGTTATCTGTAATTCAAAGCGAATTCATTGGTATTTTCGGATTGTCGAACTGTGATGCTTGCGGAATAGAAGTTCAGCTGCATCTGTTGGATAAAAAGAGCGAAATGGGTGAGAAATTTCCCACAGAATATAATAATTGAATTTTAAAGAAGGTAAACTGTCAAACTTTTAGTGATAACAATCACGCACTTTCTAAATTTCATTCTAACGCCACCGGCGCATCTATTATTAGACGCGACGGTATTAAACACCAGAATATGCAAATTGTGTGGATGCCAAAAATTAATTAATACCGGTGTTAAGACGGATTTGTTGCCAGAAGCGTTAGCACCTGAGAGGGCGTTCCCCTCTGAACATTTCAGAAAAACTGTCTTTCCAAAACTAAATTCAATTCAGAGAAACATTTCAGTTTCTATTTATAATGTCGGAATCATCCAAAAATAAACGCAAATCTCCGTGTGATCGAATAAACCACTATCAGTCAAATAATAGAATCATCTGGCACCCCTCGGTTTAATAAATCTCAATGACATCATTGATACCCGTGGACTGAGTTCCACACAGTGAGGGTCAGATGAAATTGTCCTGTCCTCGTTCATGAATTACAGAATCCAATGTTTGAATGATAAGGGGCAATCACATTTTTTAAGACTAAATTATTCAATTTTCAGCTCTCAGAAACCAACACTTCTGGGGGGAGAGAATATCGAATTTAATAAAATGACAAAGTCAATATAGTAATGGAAATCCATTACAATATTGACATTGACCATTACTATATTGGGATTTTGTATACGCGGAGTGCAAAATCCCACTTTTCGCACATTATGACGAAAAATAAGCCTTCGGCGAGCGTTACATACCTCCCAGAGGTCAAAAAACACTTTTACGCACTCCTATCGCTACCCACCCAAGGATCAAAGAACACTTTTCCGATGTGCGGAATTCTGCGCACGCGGAGCGTGCGTAAAATGTTACTTTACGCACGAGTTACGAAAAAGTGTTTTTTGACCCGTGTGAGATGTTTAGCGCTCGCCAAAAGCGTGTGCTACCCTCCCAAGGGTCAAAGAACACTTTTCCCACAATTTCCGAGCCCTATTTTTCATCGCGACGTGCGGAATTCGGCGCACGCGGAGCGTACCTAAAATTTAACTTTACGCACAAGTGACGAAAAAGTGGTTTTTGATCCGTGTGAGGTGGGTAGCGCTTGCCGAAGGCGTGTGCTACCCTCCGAAGGGTCAAAGACCATTTTTCCCACGAGTGCCGAACCCTAGTTTTCATCACAATATGTGGAAAGTGGGATTTTGCGGACCGTGCGTAAAATTTTGCTTTACGCACTAGTGACGAAAAATAAATAATTTCAACTGTTTGAGTCGAACAGGGAAGGAAATACTCATGTGTCGAGATGTTTTGTGGATCCTCGTGTTTTGTGGCTTCGCTATAAACTACATGCTCAGGATAAACCTCAACCTGGCGATAGTGGCTATGGTCGTCCCAGGGACGAAAGGGCCCGCGATAGCTGAATGTTCACTCCACAATATCCCCTGGAACAGTCCCTCCAACAAATCTCTTTATATGTTAACGTTTCCTACAGTCGCTCAAAAGTCTAAGGTAGGAAATTTTCCTGATGTGTCTCAAATACATTTACATACGAAAATATTCCACAACAAGGACAACAAGCAGAAAAACAAGTTTTCCATTTTTTTTTCAACTAATCTAGTTGATATTCTGAGAATGCTAGCGGATCCTCTAGAAAAACGGACGACAAAATTTCATAGAAAAACCTATCGAATTCGTTAAAAAATTCTATTGAACTGTTCTACTAGTTTTTGGCCGATTCTATTGAAATGTTCAATAGAAAATATTCAGTAGAAAAAGTCAATAACATTCAATTTTTCTATATAACTTATTCTATTGAGATATTTTCTATAGAATTTCCTCGGCTCAAATTTCCTAACAAGGAACCCTAGGTAAGTGTCCGCCTCCGAATTTGATGAAACTTATATATGTTATAGAGGAGTCAAAACTAAGGGACACGTATTTTTTATTATCGGCTAATACGTGGATTTTGGGGGCAAAACTATCCTCTGAAGTAGGCCACTTCTCGGGTTATTTTGTCGTTTGCGGATATAAAGAAAATAGTCATCGTAAGTTTTTTCATTTGATTTTCTTGATGAGAAGAAAAGAAAAATAGAATGAAAAAAAAATTAGAAAATTAGAGTCGAGCAAATTCTATAGAAAATATACGGAAAGTATAAGAAAATCGAATTCTGTTGACTTTTTTTATTGAATATTTTCTATTGAACATGTCAATAGAATCAGCCAAAAACTAATAGAAAGTTTAATAGAAATTCAATAGAATTTTCTAACGAATTCGATAGGTTTTTCTATTAAATTTTTTCGTGCGTGAAATCGTGGTAAATTGCTCTATTAAAAAGTTTCGCAGCTTCCGCAGAAGAATATTGTATGGAAAAAATTGATAAAGGGTATTGATCAGTCAATATCAGTATCAATAAAGGATATTTTCTATTGACATTTCTCGGCTTTACCAGATTTTTTTGTGGCACGTAAAAATGTGAATTAATTTCCAGACAGAATCCCTGTTCCACTGGACTGAATATGATCAGGGTTTAGCTTTAGGTGCTTACTACTGGTTTCACTGGTTAACGCAATTGCCTGGTGGCCTATTAGCGCGTAAGTATGGAACAAAAATGGTCTTTGGAATGGGAAATCTGGCAACTGCAGTTCTCGGTTTACTCATTCCATTTGCAACTCAATATCATCTTTATGGATTGGTGGCCATCCGTGCTTTGCAGGGATTGATTTCTGTAAGTTTCTTCTATTGAAATTATTTTCTGAAATCGAAGAATGACTGATGGATTGTTCTAGGGCGTCATATGGCCCTCCATGCACGACATGACCGCCAAATGGATTCCTCCGATGGAGCGGAGCAAATTTGTCAGCGCTTATCTAGGTGATTAACAATCGAAAATCATTGATTTTTAATGCGTTGATGATTTCGATGAATTCTTTATGCGATTAGGCAGTTCCGTGGGCGCTGCCATTACCTATCCCCTCTGTGCATTCATCATCGATTGGATGAATTGGAGAGCTGCTTTTTACATCACTTCTATCATCGGTATTATCTGGTGAGCAGAATTTAAATTCGTTGTTACGAGTGATGAAACGTTGAAGGATAGCATAGGGGTGATCAAGGCATAGTGAGGTGGCCGCACGTACGAAAAAATCGTACAGAAATTGTCTATACGGATTGCGTATAGCAATTCTATAGGATTTCCGTATATGATATTCGGATATTTCTATACGAATTATTTCTATACATAAATTTTACATAAATTTTTGTATTCATACGAAAGATGGCTAAACATTCCAGAGAAAAATGTAGAGAAATGTCGCAACTCCATCCCAAATGTTTCTATACATGTGGCAGTGGGTCGTATAGGATTAAACCTATAGAAATCGTATAGAAATAATTTGTAAAAAAATATCCGTATAGAAATATCCGAATATCATATACGATATTGTGCGGGGCATAGTGGGGTACATAAACAAAAGGCCAAAATTGAGAAATTCAAGGGGTTGGGAGAGGTCGATCAACGATCAATAAAAAGTTGAAAACAGCTAAAAAAAATTGAAGGACTCTGAAATTTTTTTCAATTCTTTCAAACACCGGGATGAGCCGCCATATTGAGTAGTTTTGATTAAAGCCCTACCGATTTCAGAGTTTTTCTGTCGTTCTTTACAGATTTATAGGTGAAAAACAAAGAAACAACATTTATAATTATTTTTAAATTTTTGGACAAACCTGTCCCTAACTGTAATACGTTGGAGACACAAGTTCATAATTTTAAAATGTGAATAGTGATTGCTAAAAAGCAATAAAAGTATAATCTAATTGTATTCCTCTGAGATAGTTATGCCACATTTTTCAGGTACCAGAAATATTTGATGAAAAAAATTGATCAGAGCAAGCGGAAAAATTGCTTTCGTCAAAGCATACTCTATACATTTTTGCTAACAAATTAGCAATTTGCGTGCGAATGTAATTTTTCTTGCTAAAAAATGACGATCATTTTACATCTCTACTCGCAATGCTCTGAGAAAAAAATTTATTCCTTCCAAGAAAATGTTATTGGTGATATCTTTTTCATACTCTTAGTAGAAGAAAATATCTCTTTTGGAACGTATTTCTCCAGGCCAGTCATTTCCAGGTGCTCCGAAATCAGTTCCAAGCGTGAGAATTATGGTGATCTATAAGAATATTCTTCTGCATATGACCTCGAAGAAACTCCAATAATAATTATTAACATTTGGAATTATTCCAATTTTCTTTACCTGAGAAAATCGCCAATTTGTAAAATCCGGAAGATATCGGAGAACATTTTGTCAAGGTCATATGTAGCATAATAATCAGATTGTTCAATATCAGTGTAATTTTTGAGGATAGACTTGGACTCTCTGAAAATGACTGTCCTGGAAAAATTCGTTCTGAAAAAATATTATCTTCTGACGAGAATATCAATCCTTGGCAGGAATAATTTTTTCTCTCAGTGTGGTATATGAAAATCCGAGGGGTCATTCATTTGGAAATCCGGTGAGACAGTGATTGCTGATTTCACGTGATTTCGGGGATATTTCGATGATTTCTTACAATCATTGATTTCATGTGATTGCTTGGGATTTTTTGGTGATTTCGCGATTTTAGACGATTTTAAATGATTTCAAATTTTCAATTTCATCTATTTGTGGCGGAGAGGGGAATGGAGTAAAAGGAAATAGAATCCGGAGAGAAAGAAATACTGCGTATTGTAAAGAATGGGTACATTTAATAAATAAATGACTGTTTATCAAAGAATTTGGGGCAAAAAGAGATACAAAACGGAATGACACGTTCGCGGACTAGGAACGAAGATAAAAGAATAACGAGAAAGAAAGAGACGATCGTACATGAAGGTGATTATGAGGGAGTAAAACGGCAAATACGCAACAACATTAATGCAAGAAGGCTCAAACATAAGAATTACGAGAGGGTAAATGTTGATGTTGTATTTTTGTTTTATTTTTTTGTCTTCTCCCGCAGACAGTGTCTTTATCGATAACACAATGTTTTGATACTTTTTGATATGAGGATTCCAGGAGGTCATACCAAAAAATACGCGTTTGTATTCAGCGATTAATTTTTTTTCTGCGAGATCAGTCGCGCGTGCTACGCACGCACCTTCTCATCTTCTCACGTAATGGCGCTTCGGTTTCAGTCTTACGGTGACAGTGATTCGAGATTTTCGAGATTAGTGATGCCGTCGAGACTAGACGAGAATTATTTCGGAAAGATCATCACGGTCTAAAAAACAGCGAAAGTTTAGGAATCGTCGTAATCTCGAAAGACATTGGGTTGGTGCATCTCGTCACGAACTTGGAAGAATCCAGCACGCCTGACTTTCAGTATTTTTGAAATGTTTGCCTCGATATCTGTCTCGTCTCGTCTCGTCTCGTGAACTTGAAAAACCGAAAATCTCGAGATCCAGGCAAGATAAATCCTCCCGGAATTGTGACGAGATCCACCGATCCAATGTCTTTCGAGATTGCGACGATTCCAAAACTTTCGATGTTTCTCCAGACCGTGATGATCTCATCAAAATAATTCTCGACTAGTCCCGACGGTATCACTATTCGAGATATAGCGAGATAGATTTCCTTTCTCCTGGTTACGATAGGATATGAAAAATAATACACGTCAATGGGCTTACGATGAATAATACACCACAAATAAGTGGAAATTTTTTTTTTCTCTTTTATGTATTCGAAAGGGTCTCATGACTTGCTGATTTCATGATTTCACAAATAAGTGGTGATTGATGACAGCGTGATTTTGGTAATGAATGCCCCCTCGGAAAAATCTCAAAAAGTATATTTTAAGACGCGCATAAACCCATACGATTCACACAAATTCGACAGGTATTGTTTCTGGTACTTTTTGGTCTACAATACCCCGAAGGAGCACCCGAGAATCAGTCTGGACGAGTGTTCCCACATCGTGGAGAGCCTAGGAGACACTCTGTCCAGTTCCCACACTTTATCTAAAGTTCCCTGGAGAGAATTGCTCCTCTCCGGTCCCGTCTGGATAGCGATTGTTGCCCATTGGGGTGGCGTTTGGGGGTTCCTCACGTTCATGACCCAAGCACCATCCTACTTCAATTTCGTCCATGGATGGAACATCAATGCAGTAAATGCCCATTCAATAATTTCTGTACCCAGGGGAAAAAAACATTTTTCATCACGCTGTGACGAAAAGTGAACTTTTCGGCACGCTCCGCGTGCCTAAAAGTCCAATTTTCGCCACATTGTGATGAAAAATATTGTAAAATAAAATAAATATACTATTTTGTGATAACTACCTGAAAAGTGCACTTTTCGAAATGGTTTAGTGTGCGTAAAGCGGTTGTTTTCCGCACGCCGTGCGTAAAGTTCACGAGCATGCGTAAAGCGAATTGTCGCGTATAATGCAAAGCTTGCGTAAAGTTAATTTCACTATCAAGTTGAAGTTCATGTTTTTCAAGTGAAATTGACTTTGCGCACGCTTTCGGACTTTACGCAGTCGTGCACAAACATAACCAATTTACCCCCACTACCCTTTCGAACAGTGAACTCGGCAGGTATCACAAAAAATAGGATGTGTTACACGTGCTTGTGAAAAAGTGGAACTTTACGCACTAGTAACACAATATACTATTCTCAAACAAATCTTTTGAACTGAAAAAATCGCCTGCTGAATATGATCAAACATGTAAAATCTAGTATTAACCCTCTAAAATGAAAATCGTAGCACAGTAGGACTCCTATAATTTCGACCCGACGGGGGAACGAATTCCGAGAAGTCGAAAATAGTCAGCCGAGCTCTCATTGGCCAAGCGAGCGTAGTGGGGAGGTCAGAGAGAGAATGCATTATGTTGCTCTCTGTCTTCGGCCGTCGGGTAACAGTGAATACATAACCCCATAGTACATTTTTCCCGGTAACACCCCTATTGATCACAGGACAATTGATCACGACAAAAAAACACAGGCTAAATTATCACAGGACATTTGATCACAGGAAAAATGATCACCAGATAATTAGATCAATAAGACAAAACTAATAAGACTATTGTACCTGCTCGCTCAGCAGACGTTGTGCAAGCAAGAACGTTGCACTGTCTGGATTTGTGATCCACACATCTCCAGGTGATAGTCTTCTTCTTCTTGACATTTTCACGAAGTTTGTTAAACAAATACCCCTCGTGAAGCAATAATTTCTGGCCCTTCTGGCTTAAAACAAAATGCAGAGGCATGACTTGTGATAAACGAATTTGTGATGACTTGTCCATGTGATAAAATAATTTGTGATAACTTGTCGATGTGATTAAATTTGTGATCATTTGTCCCGTGATCAAATGTACCTGTGATCAATAGTGGTGTAATCCATTTTTCCCTATGATTGAGGTTAGGGAAACATTCGGGAGCATAGGGCTATGCGCCCGGAAGATGATGGGACCATTCCGTAAACGGAAGGAGTGGGGACTGAAAGCGCGAGAGTGGGGACGCAGTGTCTCCGCCTGTTGAAAATAGCCGGCTCGAGATTACAGGATTCCTACTATAAAGCGTAGTAGGACGCTGGAGTGGGGACGCAGATATTCCGCTTTGGCAGCCATAGAGTGGGGATATTGACGTTCACCTTAGAGGGTTAACCATTTAAAATCTGTCCTGAGATGGAAAATTTTTGTCGCAACAATAGATTTAGCAGTTTCTAAAAAATTTAATCCTCTGTGCAAGCAGGAATATACTATTCTAGCAGTACTCCATCGTTATTCGGTACTTCCATACGTATTTAGATATTTAATTTTAGGTATTTAGGGAGAAAATATATCTTGATAAACTTCCCTCTATAACGGATATTTTCATCCTAGAAAGGCCCCGTCTCGTATGAATGATCCGCCTCCTGAGCCAAATATTTAGTTGTTATTGAAAACAGCAATCATTCATATTTGAGACTCCCAAATTCGAATCAAACTATTTGGTTTTTTAGTAATTTTCAACTAGCGATTTTTTTGGCGCAAACAGGAGTTGTTTGAGGACTGTTCGTTTTTCTCCCAGCGTGTAATGTTTCAACACGACCCAAAATTATTGGATTTTTTTCTTCAGACTGGCTTCCTATCTGGACTTCCCCACGTTCTTCGCATGATTTTCTCCTACCTGTACTCAATCCTGAGTGATTGGCTGTTGCGGACCAAGAAAATGTCCCACCAAAACGTCCGAAAACTCGCGAATTTTGTCACGACTGGAGGAGGAGCCATTTTCACTCTGGGATTGAGTTTTAGTGGATGTCAACCTATCCTCGCGATTGTCTTCATGATGGCGGGAACTGCGATTAACGGCGCTGTGTCGGCAGGAACGTTGGCGGTGTTTGTGGACCTCAGCCCTAATTTCGCGAGTGTTCTGCTGGGATTCTGTGGATTAGTAACTACTGCCGCTGGATTCATATCTCCTCTGATCGTCGGAATTCTCACGAATCACCGGGTAATTGATTACTTTTTTAATATTAAGATTAATAAAACCTCGGAGTGAAAAAAAAACTACTGAAATGTGAAGAGTATTTTCTACCATGAATGCTCCGTCAAGAGGAAATGGGAAAATCCGGGAGATGACTTGAAATTTTTTTTTGATTTTTTATAGAAATCGGATAAAATGAGTTTAGGGTGATGTGAAATAATTTTAAGAAATGTCTGAAAATCCGAGGAGGGAGTATCTTTAAGGATCCTTGCTGCAGAGGGAGGGAGTATCCACGCAAGATGGCGGCGTGAACCTGTCATCCACCTCGTGTTTTTAAACATTTCTTCAAATTATTTATCCTCTTCAGATCAATTCTAACTTATTTCATTCAATTCCTAAAAAATGAACAAATTTTTCAAGCTATCCTTCTCTTATGGCCCAGATTGGTCACTTCCGTTATTGTTGAATATGTGGACGTACAATCATCAAAAGAAGTTCGTAAAGAACGTGAAGTTGCATTCCATATGGAATTACACAGGAGGCAACTTCACACTGTTCACGAACTTATTTGGGCGATTGTACAGCATTGTCAGCGTGATACATTCAGAAAAAAATCATTTTTTTGAACCAAATAAATAAGTTCATTTAAATAATACGAAATAAAGTCTTTATTCAAATCAAGCAATTTCAAATAAACATTTTTAATTGATTCAAATGAACTATTTTTCTGCACGGAAAGAAATATTCAGTAAAAATTACGGAACTCACAATTCACTCCGCCGTATTACGTAATCAACTCAGAAAATTGAAGTGACGGTATCGTAATTTTTCACAGGAGATTCAGATAAAAATTACGGAACGCTCCGGAAAAATTCCGTGACAGTTCCATAAAATTTCCTACAAACACATTTCGCTCCAGAATTACGGAAAAGATACGTAATTTTTATTAAATATTTCTCTCCGTGTGGGTGTTCTTGTCTTCAAGACTTGAAAAAATCTCATTGTATGTTTATTCGTATCAATAATTTATCTACATTCCAGCAAACGATAGAACAGTGGCGTCTGGTGTTTATGATAGCAGCAGCAAATCTCACAATCAGCGCTATTGCTTACCAATGCTGGGGGACTGCTGAGGTGCAACCGTGGAATGAGTGTAATGAACCTTTGGGCGGGGGTTCCCCCAATGAACTGACCAGTTTGAAACCTTTGAAGAAAAAGAATGAATCTAATCAGACTGATAAAGAAACTGTATGATGACTTAGTGATTAGTTCCTGGGAATCTATTTTCGAGTTGAACTCGAACGTACGATTTCAATTCGAGAATAGGCTCCCAGATGTTTCCAGTTTAGGTGAAATTATTTGACAGATCTTCCTAGTTTCGTTATCGACGGCAGGGAGCTACATGACGATTGACTTGAATAAAAGAACTAATTTGACTGTGAAATACGAGAAAACATTTCCATGAGACGTTAGTATACCCAGAAGAAGATCCAGTCCTCACGCAGATCGTTACGTACGAAAAGGTTTCACAGGAAAACTTGGTGAATTTGTTAGAAAATTCAATTCCATTTTTGTTGAAGTTTCTATTAGTTTTCGGCCGGTTCTATTGAAGAATTTCGCAGCTCATTGTTGCGTTTTTTTCAATTGAAATATCTAATAAACAATATCTTATCGAAAAATTCAATAGATTTCGATTTTTTTATACAACTTATTTTATTGAGATATTTTCTATAGAAATTCCCCGGCACATTTTTTTACCTTTTGACGTGGATATGGTTTTGTTATGAAGGATCATTTTAGGAAAAATCACTCTTTCACCAGCGCCATCTGTCCGAATTTTAGAAAATTCGAGAAAATTCTCCGGTGTTCTAGACAATTTGAGAAAGCTCCCGGGATTTTTCCAAAATAATCCTGAATCCTCTTGAAAATTTGAATGAAGACGAGGCCCTTGCATCCTGGAGCAGTCAACGTAGAAATTTCTGGAAAATTCTCAAACTTTCTTGAGAATTCAAGAGATTTAGTGAGTTTTGGGAAGATACAAGGAAGGGTTTCCCATATTGGAAAAAAATCGGTAAGTCCCTGCAGACTTACCATAGCTGCATAATAAATAACACATTCTTCACATTTCCTCAACAATAGTATATCCAGTACAACTGTACAGATTTTATCGAGCAATAATCAGTCGTCAATAATTATTAGTCAACAAATAATCATATGAACATCATAATTAGGAGAATTTTTAGTTGAAAAAAAAAAGTTTATAGTCATTTTCGGCTGAGTTACAGTTATTTGTTTATTGCGCGGTGTTCGCATCGGTGCGCGCCGCGGTAAACAAATGTTCACATCTCGAGAACTATTAGTCGTAGAGACCTGAGTCAAAAATCTGTTTATTCTCTATAAAATTGCCTAACCTTTTTCCACTGCATGTCTCGATAACTTTTCTATAGTTTTTCAGATATTTTAAACCAATGTAAATTTCTCTTCAATATCACTTTTTGAAATTTTATTTCGTAATTTAAGAGAGCAAAATTTATGCAGAATCTTTTTTATAGAGCAGAGTGAGATTTCCAAGAAAGCTGGCCATTTCTGTTCGATTCTGAAATATCTATCAAGAATTGATCTGCAAGGGAATTCGATTAATCAATTCGTGTAATGCTAATTCCAGTGAATAATCCTGGCGCCCGCGCTACGAAATGCCATCGGAAATTAAGACATCTTTTTGCTGATTTCTATTGTAAATTCAGTAGCCTTTCCGCATTTTTTTCAGAAAAAAATACTTGACATGGAAGAATCAATAGATTTTTATTTTCTATAAAATATATCCTCTTGAAAATGACTATTATTTCGGAGGATATCTATCATCAATTATGCCCACTGTGATCGCCGATCCCACTAAAAAGTCATTTATATATTTTATAATTCTTCATTTTTTTCAATGAACCATCATTGACAAGTTTATATCTAGCTGGTGCGTCTAACCGTATGAGGTCATGTACACACAATGGAGAATAAATGACCGAAAGATTAATAAATGAGAAAAAACAAATTTACAAAAACAGAATAGTTTTGCGAATGTACAAAATTCCATGTTATTTGGCCTTCCATTTTTAATAATCAGTTATGTTCTATTTTTTATCGATTATTGCTCATTGTGGCTCATTAATCATAAAATGCGTCGCTAGATATGTCGTTTTTCCGTGGAGGTAACTCAGCCCCACGGACCCCGCTATTCAGGACCCCAATTTTCCTTTTAAAGTAGCTCTACCCCTACGGCTGGACTCGTTGAGTGCTTTTGAAAAAAAAAGATTCTGAAAATAATTTTTTTGATGTCTAAATTACTCAAATAATTTGTAAAGGACATAAGCATAAGAATTATTTCATTATTAATTATTTTCAAGAAAAGTATGAATAAATAGATTTTCAATTGACTAGCTTGGAAAAATTAGTGGCAACACTGTAGGATAATGTGACGGGTGAGAGAGGTCCCGCCAAGTGACAGCTGAACGAGCCGTCGTTGCCACGTCTACTCCTATACACAGTCTCCCACGATTCTGGTTGGAAATTGTTAATAATAAAAAAACTAAACGATAAATCGTTATCTAACAGGTGCCAATATTTTTTATTATTTTTTTCTCGTTTTTAGGGAAAAAAATTAGATTTTAATCTTTGTTTTAACCGGAGCTGTGTTAAATTTAGCGATTTTAGCACATAAGACCCTGTGTTAAGTAATGAATTTTCAACATTTTCATTTATAAAAACTTGAACGACAATTAAATGAGCAAAAAAATTACGATTCCGAATCACACAGAGTTTTTCGGCGATTTGTTGTAGTTTTTAAAGATCTTTGAATTGAAAGATAACCTCCTAAGGGTAGAGCTACTTTAATGAAGTGAATACTGCCATCACTCGATTATTGGCAGCAATAATTGTGACCGATGGCGGCTAAGAGGAATTAATTCCCTGCGCTACCGATACTGTTTGACCGACGAAACGTTCGGTGTACAGTTGTGATTTTGTACAGATGTTATTTTGGACAGTTGGTTTCTGTACAGTTGTTATATCTCATTTCTCACTAGGCCCTGTACAATCGTCAAAAGAAGTTCGTAAAGAACATGAAGTTGGATCCTGTATAAGTCTATATGGGATGCAACTTCACGTTCTTTACGAACTTCTTTAGTCTTCTTCTTCAGTCGTGGAAATGTACAGATGTGATGAAAGTACTCTTCCCACAGGAAGAAGTAGGGGACCAATCGTGATCGTGAACTCGATCGATGGCGTTGGTCTTACACCCGACAGTCGATGGCGCTGGCCCAGCCTCGGACCTGGTACGTGACTCGAACAATGGGCCTGACATGTGGTGTCGAGTGAGCGAGAGAAAATACTCGATTTTTACTCGAGGAAAAATAAACTGTCTCTAGGAATAGGATTTTTTCGTACTGATTTTCACTTTTCCTCGTCCGGGGATTGGCATTGACCCTTCCCCAAACTCATAAAACTGAAAATCACTATGGAAAAATATCGTTCACGACTATTGCAATGGGCTTTTTTTACTCGCGTGGTTGGCCAGTCCTCGCCTTCGGCTCAGATGCCAATTCCACGCGAGTTAAAAACCCCATGGCACTCGCCCTGAAATATACTATTTTGACTTTCACGATTCGAAGTTGAGTTCTAATTGCACTGGAAACTTTATAAGAAAAAATTAATACAAAAGGGCTTTATTTTCGGGTGGTCCAAACTACGCTGAGGAATTTCTAGTTTTATGACTTGTTTCCTGTTTACGCAAGTTTCTAATGCACTTTCTAAAAGTCTGTATCTTCCTATATACCGTCAGTGTGGGGGTTATGGAACACTTTACGAGTAGAATCCACGGTGAACGCTGTGATACATGATTTTATCTATAATTTTAGGATTTTAACTTTTGCAACAGCTAAAACAATATCTCTCCTTCAATTGAAACATTTTTTCATATTTATGGGGTCAATAGATTAATTAATATTCAAGAAAAGGTGACGCCCGGCAAATGCTTCACTTATGGAACCCCTGAAAACAAAATGTCCCCCTTATGGAACCCTCAAAGGTACCAGTTGTGGAACAGGGAGATTCATATGAGGTTATAGATTTCTCTAGGCTTGGAAGTTGATATAAATACTTTATTCCAACAAAGTAATGTAATGAGAAGAACAAATATTTCAAGAGACGTTCGAAGAGAATTTATGAGAGGTTAGTTTTTTGACAGGCGGGGGGTTCGCTAACTGCCTCAAGACCGTGTTGTGGTGTCTCAATAACGGAACCTCATTCTCTTCAATTGAATTAATCATTTTTCTAATTTTTTTCTATTGAATCATCAAGAATAATTCATCTAATGTCACTACAAACACTTTTTAATTCACCAAATACTTACATTTTGGGAGAAAAGTCTCATTGAACACGGCGATGCACTTGCCACGCGAGTGAAACCCAACAACTCAATTCACACATACGAGAGGGAGTCACTCGCTCGCCACTTTTAACGGATTTATTTAAAATGGTTTTCATTGACTCACCTCGACCAGACCTAATCTTAGGGAAAGATAAGAGACCATCCTACCATCGAGACGGAATTCCCTATAGTTTTAACACGGTTGGGACTTTATTTTCTTAATAAATGCTTCAAAGTGTTCCAGTACCCCCACACTGACGGTATTAGCTCGTAAGAATTTATTTAATGAAAATTTGAATCTTAGCGGTTCTATTTAGTGAGAAATATGGCGGTCAGAGGGGCCCTACGTCGCTACTAGGGGCATGCGTTTAGCCTCTCTATCTTCATAGCTAACTTCGTGGCGCGTGAAATTGAAAATTCATCGAGAAACACCAAGAAATAATTTCGCGAAGCGGTAATTCAAAGGCTTGTTATATTTGTTTTCCTCTGAACGAATGTGAAGAAAATACAGTTGTTTTATAGTGAGCACAATATTATGAAAGCAATGGCTCATCACTACGTCGTGACTGCTCATAAACCGACGGCTGTAACTGCCTGTGTCACCGGTAATGAAAAAACTCTATTTTGCAGAAAATAACCTTAATCTTGACGATTTTTTTAACGCTTCTGGATTAAAAAATGAATGACATTGTCCTTATTTTTAGGTAATTTCACATCTCCCACGGATCTCAATCTCATTTTGGCCAAAAACACGAGGTTAGAAATTTATTTGGTTACTCCGGAGGGCTTGAGACCATTGAAGGAGGTTGGAATTTATGGAAAAATCGCTGTGATCAAATTTTTTAGGCCACCAGTGAGTACTTGTTTAAAACTAATGAATAATACTAATCACTAAGAGGTCTTTGGCATGGGAAACATTGAGAATGAGTGGTAATGATCGAGAATTTTGTTTGTCGTGATGATTATCCCATCGTTTACTTCGTACTGTTGGAGTGAACGAGATTACCAGATTATCAAGAGCTCTTTGTTCATGGAATCGGAGTGTATCATAAATCATTTTATACAATTACAGATGTTCTGGATGAATTTCCAGTAGAGGTGTTGAAAGTAATGAGTGAATTTTTATATTTTTCATGATTGTTCATTCAACCCAAGAATCAGTGATTTCAGGAGAATATACCGAAATACTTTCGTAGCTGATAAAGTTTTAATAAGAACCCAGGAAACAATTTTTACGGATTCCATCTAAAAGTCCCCAGCAAGACCGCTAAATATCCGGAAATTTACCGGTAAATTGTGGGCTGGAAATGTCTTTTGACATTTCATTTTAGCATCATTGGTCATAGCAAGATGGAATATCATGTTTATGCGAAATGTGAAAAATTAGATTCTCATGTTCCCCACAATTTTAGAAAGCTTTCAAATTTAACGTCATATTTTCAATAATAGAATTTATTAATTAGCGAACATGTGAGTGAATAATAATCACTAAGGGGTCTTTGGCATGGAAAACATTGCGAATGAGTGGTAATGATCGAAAATTTTGTTTGTCGTGATGATTATCCCATCGTTTACTTCGTACTGTTGGAGTGAACGAGATTACCAGATTATCAAGAGCTCTTTGTTCATGGAATCGGAGTTTATCATCAATCATTCTATACAATTACAGATGTTCTGGATGAATCTCCAGTAGAGGTGTTGAAAGTAATGAGTAAATTTTTATATTTTTCATGATTGTTTGTTTCTTCATCCAAAAAATAAGTGATTTCAGGAGAATATGCCAGAAGACTTTTGTAGCTGATAAAGTTTTAATAAAATGTCTTTCGACATTTCATTTTAGCATCATTGGTCATAGCAAGATGGAATATCATGTTTATGCGAAATGTGAAAAATTATATTCTCACGTTCCCCACAATTTTAGAAAGCTTTCAAATTTAACGTCATATTTTCAATAATAGAATTTATTAATTAGCGAACGTGCGAGATCTCTCGAATTCACAGGGATTCCTGAGAAAAACAATAGTGAAACAAGCAGGGGTGCGAGCCTATTCGACAGAAGGCATGTGATCGTTACTTTTTGCGTCCTTAGTCTCTTTCTTTTTGTATTTCTACCAATTCCATTGGTAGTAAACTTCCAAATGAATCCGTAGCAATTCCCAATCCTTGTGACAGGCGTACAACCGTAACCACATGACACCGAGTGTCTACAGGAAAATATTCACCCTTTTAATGAAAAAGATTTATACAAAAGGTTTAATATCTCCGAAACTGCTTGGCCGGTTGCGCCTATCCAAAATACCAACCTTCAGTATTGTAAGAGCTATAATCATACCAAATGTCAACTTGCTATCCCCATTTATTCTCAAGTTATCGTGCGTACAAGAATGAAAAAAATTTAAAAACGAAAAAACGGCAATCTATTCCGCCTAACGTGTGCTTTCTTCAGGATTATCCTATCATATAATATATTATAATGTATTATATATAATATAGTATAGTATATATGGTACGCTATAATATAATTAGAATTTTTTTTTTAATAATACCTTTCTTTTTAAGAATTTTGTTATAATAAATAACATTCAATAGATTGGTCACAAAATTACATTAAAGTAAATAACATAAATTTTTTTTCTAAAACTTTTCGGAAATTCACAAAACCTTAGAACAAATGCAGGAATGCAGGAAAATGATTGCACTATCATGAAACTTCGTGAGTCAGTCAATAATGACAAAACGCAAAAACGGTATATTATTTCGTGTCAATCTGATCAATAATTTGCCAGAAATATGAAAAAAACGTGAATTTAACCCTAGTCTGGTCACCTGACGGAAAAATGCGACTTTAATCACCTTCGCGGGAGAGTGCCGCCGTGTTATTTTGCTCCAGCGTTGCCGAATCCACTCTACACTTCCCGGGCGCGTTTAGCGAGTTCCCAGCAACGTCGCGCAACAGGCAATTTCATTTAACACGGGAAAAAATTGTTCACCTGTTGCAAATAATTTTTTTTCTCCCAGAATTAAGGATACAATATTGAAAAAACAAATACTAGAATTTTCCAGATACTTCAATTGACGAATTCAATTTTTCTCAAATTTTTCCGGTCAACCAGTCAATGGCAAGGTGAATAAAACGACGTGTTGCGATAATTCCCTCACATGGTGACCAGTCTAGGGTACATTTTTTTCTCTCTAGAGTTGGATAATGACGAATTTAAACTAATACTTGAATCAATCTCTTTCCAGCACGAAAAGAAGGATCTCCTTTTTCTCCTTACCACGCGATACAATGCCATGATCTTAGAATGTTCCGGAGAAGGTGAAGAAATCGAAATAATCACCAAAGCTCACGGAAACGTAGCTGACCGAATAGGAAAGCCTTCAGAGACCGGAATAAAAGCAGTGATCGACCCAAAAGCAAGAGTCATCGGTCTCCGGCTGTACGATGGTCTCTTCAAGATCATTCCATTGGACAAAGACAATCCCGAGTTGAAGGCCTCCTCAATTAGAATGGACGAACAGCAAGTGCAAGATGTGAACTTTCTTCACGGTTGTGCAAATCCCACATTGATAATAATCCATCAGGATATCAATGGACGTCATGTAAAGACCCACGAAATCTCTCTGAGGGATAAGGAGTTCGTAAAGACTCTTTGGAAACAGGATAATGTCGAGAGGGAGTCCATGATGGTAATCCCAGTGCCATCACCAATCTGCGGAGCAATCATCATCGGCCAGGAGAGCATTCTCTATCATGATGGAACTACTTACGTGGCTGTTGTTCCTCCCATTATCAAATACAGTACAATTACCTGTTATGCTAAGGTTAACATTTTTTAACAAAATTAATTTCACTTTGTGAGAAGCTTCTTCAGAAGGAATTAACTATTTAAGGGGAGACTACTATGAGTTTTAAAAGTCGTGGGTTATTGGAGTGAGACTTTTCATACGTTGAAAATAGATTTATAAATATGAAAACGAATGATTAGTGCAAAAAAAAATTTTTTTTTCATTGTTCGTTTGCTCGAAAACGCTTAAAATGCTAAAAACAGCCCAGGGCCTCCAATTTTTGAGCTACAAAAGATTTTTTTTTTCAAAATTGTCGGAAAAATGTGCGGAACAACAATTACGAGCCAGTTTTTTGGAATTCGACTTCTACATAGCTAATTTCGTTTTGGTTAAAATCAAAATTTGCGCCATTCATGTAAAATAGAAAAATTATCCTTAAAATATTTCAAATGTATTCTTGATTCTTTCAGAAACATTTTTCGGGATATTTTACATCAGTGATGCAATTTTTTATTAAAACAAGCAGGGTTGTAAGCCTTTTTGGAAGAAGCCATGTGATATCTACTTTTTTTTCTGCCAATTCCATTGATAATAAGCTTCCGAATGTTTGTTATTATGACTTTTTAAGTCATATAGAGACGAAAATCATTGATAAAATGACAATGTGTAATTTTTTAGAAAAAAAAGATTTTTGGATAAATTGCTCTATGCCTGGATGTACTGAATCGATTGACACAATATTTTATACATAACTGTGGGCTCATAATACAAATTAGTACCCAGAATCTCAGATGTCTAGACTAAGCTTGAAGCGTATTATGGACACCACGTTAACTTTAAAATGAAAAAAATTAGAAAAATGCTGATGGGTGGGTACACATATTTTGATTGATCTTGATAGAAGATATCGTGACAAATGTTTTGAGAAAAAAAAGTGAATCGGCCCAGTATTTTAAGAGATATTGAGCATAACAGTTTTTCACAAAAAGTTGAATATCTTCTAAACTAATTATCCGATTCAGCTCATGAACAATACAGTTCTGTAATATCGTAAGAGCTACAATCCTACCAAATTTCAACTTCCTATCTTGAATTTTCAGCGAGTTATCGTTTCCACAACGATTTCCTAGTAAAAATGAAAAATGCCGATTATTACTAGACTGACCCCAGTGACGTAGCAATATTTTGACTTGATTCGATAGATATTATCGTAAGGAATACTTTCCCGTCAAAAAACTTCGATTCGGTCACGTAGTTTATGAGATATTAAGGAAAAAAGATTTTTGAGAAATTGCTATATCTCAGAAACTACTGGGCCGATTAAGCTGAACTTGCGCCCACAAATGCTCCAAAGTAATACCAATTATCTGACAAAAATTCAGATTTTTAGCGCAAACTTTAGTCCTTTTTTCGGGGGAATTTATAAAAAATTTCCGAAAAATCGGCATACACATTCTGACATAGATACATCCATTTTCTAAAAACATCATATTTTCACGGTTCATGACATTCTACATCATTTCCAAGCAAAATTACGAGATCGTAAAAATCATCGATTACAAGGCTTCCATTCGGAAGCAAAAATAACGAAATTAGCTGTTGATGGTACCATTCCTCCTCCGAACGAATTTTCAAACTCTCTTTGTCTCAATAGGTAGACGCCCAGGGTCTCCGCTACCTCCTGGGTGACATGGCGGGCCACCTCTTCATGCTCTTCCTCGAACAAGAGAAGAAGCTCGACGGCACTTTAGTGGTAAAAGATCTGAAGGTCGAACTTCTCGGAGAAGTCAGTATTCCCGAGTGCATAACTTACCTCGACAACGGTGTGATCTTCGTGGGAAGCCGCCTGGGAGATTCCCAACTGATAAAACTGATCACAAAGGCTGACGAAAACGGCTCCTACTGCGTTCCCATGGAGACCTTCACCAACCTCGCTCCAATTGTCGACATGGCAGTTGTCGATCTAGAGCGTCAAGGTCAAGGCCAAATGGTAACGTGCTCCGGTGGCTTCAAGGAGGGCTCCCTCCGCATCATACGAAATGGAATTGGCATCCAGGAGCACGCCAGCATAGACCTGCCAGGTATAAAGGGTATGTGGGCCCTGAAAGTCGGTAACAAGAGCTTCGATAACACTTTGGTCGTCTCCTTCGTCGGCCAGACGCGAATTCTAACCCTGAATGGTGAAGAAGTTGAGGAAACTGAGATCCCGGGTTTCGTGGCAGACGAACAGACCTTTCACACCGGCAATGTCAGCGACGATCTCCTGATTCAAATCACCCCGACATCAGTAAGAATAATTTCCCATGAGGCTAAATCAGTGGTTTCAGAGTGGGAGCCAGACAACAAACGCACCATCTCGGTTGTCACTTGCAATGGCAGACAAGTCCTCTGCGCCACTGGCAACGATCTATTCTACATTGAAATCATCCAAGACAAGATTGTTCCCAAAGGATTCATCACTCTGCAACACGAAGTCGCTTGCCTGGACATTTCACCTCTGGACGGCTGCACAGAGGCGAAGATCGTGGCTGTGGGACTGTGGACGGACATTTCGATAAGGATTTTGACTCTCCCAAGTCTTGAAGAGATCAACAAAGAGTTATTGGGAGGTGAAATCATCCCCAGGTCAATCTTGATGACTTGCTTCGAAGGGAATACTTATTTACTGTGCGCTCTAGGCGATGGCTCCATGTACTACTTCTCACTGCTGAAGGATAATGGTCTGTTGTCTGATAAGAAGAAGGTGACACTGGGAACTCAACCGACAGTATTGAGGACCTTCAGGTCTCTGTCGACTACCAATGTCTTCGCATGCTCCGATCGACCAACTGTCATATACTCATCCAATCATAAATTAGTCTTTAGTAATGTGAATTTGAAGGAAGTCAATCACATGTGCTCGCTCAATGCTGAGTCCTATCCGGATAGTTTAGCCCTGGCGACAGATTCGACAGTGACAATTGGCACGATTGATGAGATTCAGAAACTTCATATTAGAACTGTACCTTTGGGAGAATCTCCGAGGAGAATAGCTTATCAGGAGTCCTCGCAGACTTTCGGAGTCATCACGATGCGAGTAGACGTTCAAGAGAGCAGTGGAGTCAGCATCGTTCGCCCCTCTGCCTCCACGCAAGCAACATCGACCTCGAGTTCCTCCCATGTGGCGCCACACAACAAGCCCGGACACACAGCCTCCAGTGAAATTGGCCAGGAAGTCGAGATCCATAATCTCTTGATCATTGATCAACACACCTTCGAAGTACTTCATGCTCACACGTTGATGCCCAACGAGTACGCATTGTCCCTAATTTCGACGAAACTCGGGGAAGATCCCACATCGTACTTCGTCGTTGGAACTGCATTGGTGAATCCTGATGAATCAGAACCGAAAATGGGGAGGATTTTACTGTATCAATGGAACGATGGAAAGTTCAGCCAAATTGCAGAGAAGGAGATCAAAGGGGCTTGTTATTCTCTCGTTGAATTCAATGGTAAACTACTGGCTAGTATCAACAGCACAGTGAGACTGTTTGAGTGGACGGCTGAGAAGGAATTGAGGCTTGAGTGCAGTCACTTCAACAACATCATCGCACTCTTTCTCAAGACTAAGGGGGATTTTGTTTTGGTTGGAGATTTGATGAGATCGTTCACTCTTCTGCAGTATAAGACGATGGAGGGAAGTTTTGAGGAAATCGCGAGGGATTACAATCCCAACTGGATGACTGCCATTGAAATTCTAGATGATGACACCTTCTTGGGCGCCGAGAACTGCTTCAATCTGTTTGTCTGTCAGAAGGACAGTGCAGCTACGAATGAAGAGGAGAGACAGCAGATGCAGGCGGTGGGGCAGTTTCATCTGGGGGATATGGTGAATGTTTTCAGGCATGGGTCCTTGGTGATGCAGCATCTTGGGGAGAGTAGCACGCCCACTCAGGGGTGCGTTCTCTTTGGGACTGTTGGGGGGGCTATCGGACTGGTCACGCAAATTCCTTCCGGTTTTTATGAGTTTTTGCGAAATTTGGAGGACAGATTGACTTCGGTTATCAAGAGTGTGGGGAAGATTGAGCATCATTTCTGGAGGAGCTTCAATACGGAGTTGAAGGTGGAGCAGTGTGAAGGCTTCATTGATGGAGATCTAATTGAGAGCTTTTTGGATTTGAATCATGAGAAGATGGCGGAGGTGGCGATGGGACTCACGGTGAGTTTTGTATGGATTGTTTTAGGGTTTGGGTGAGGGAGGTGTGCAGGAACACCGGGCCATTCAGAGTTGGACAAGTAAAATATCATCGGTATTTTATCAAGTTTTTTACATGTGAATAAGCAGGGCTTTTTTTATTTCTACCAATTCCGTTGGTAATAGCTTCCGAGTGGATTCGTAACGGAGACCCCCTCCCCCGTCGGTCTTGTGACGGAGGGGGAGGGGTTTAAAATATCCGAAAAACGCGTGACGTAATATTTGAATGCTCCCTTTACAGGGATTCGAAGGTATTTCAAAAGTTGAGTGGATAGGGAGCTCTCTTGAGCCTACACTGAGAGAAAAACAAACACGTTGTCAAACAAGTCTTGTTTGGGCCAACAAAATCGCTAGTTGATAATTGCCAAAAAAGAATTTGTTCGGTTCGAATTTGAAAGTCTCAAACATGAGTAATTGTTCTGCTTTCGACAGCAACGAAATATTTGGCTCAAGAGGCGGATAATTCACACCAGGTGGTGCCTTTTCAGGATGAAAATATCTCGTATAGAGGAAAATTTATCAACAAATATTTTATCCCTAAGTTACGAGATTGCTATCATATCGTTATTATTGTTTCATTTAAGGGTTCATTTGTTGTCTGTGATTATTTGACAGTCGAAACGAAAAACTACTATCCCTTGTTTCGCATAAAACAAAAATTTTTCGGGAGCAAAATACGTATGGGAGTATCGAATAACGAAGGAGTAGTGCTAGAAATGACATTTCTTGCGTGTTCAGAGAATGCAATTTTTTTTGAACTACTAAATCTATTTTTGCGACAAAAATTTTTCATTCCGGCGCACTCTCTGCATGTTTGACCCAAAAAATCCTTTTTTGATAATTTTCAAAAAACTATTTTCTTGGCACAAGTAAGACTTTGAGAACTTTGTCGTTTTTCTCTCAGTGTATCTTTCAACCTAAGATAGGCGAATCTTATCTCGATTCCGAAAAATATTCCAAAATTTGGTTCAAAGTGACATTTACTTACACCATTCCACCAATTCTCCACTGAATTCAATTGCAACGAATAATAAGATTGATTGAAAATTTTTTAATTAAAAATTCCATTTATCTACAGAAATGTGAACCAATCCTACAAATTTCGACTAATCTCTACGTTTTGTACATCCGTTTTATGATTTGGTTTTACAAAAAAAAATATAAACACTCTCTATTATCCATTGACAATTAAGGGTGCCAAGTGAATTTGAAAAAAGATTTAAAAAATTTTTTTTTTCCCTCCATCATTGGAGAAATATGTATTCATCCATCCGACGAAATTTCAAACCCGCAACCGGAACTAGACATCGAGAAAATAAATGCGGAAAATCCTCTATTTCGCGTGACGAACCTCGAGAAAGCATGGGATCAAATGGGTACGGCGGGTTGAAATATCTCTCTTATTCACCCCGGTACCCCATTGTTTTTTGTCGCCATCACATTGAACACATCATTCCCCATATCTTCAAATTTTTTCAAATTTTTCTTGATTTCCTAGGGGGTTGAAACGTTCAATTTAATCAAAACTCCATAAGAGGCCGTGTATAAGACTGATTTTGTTTATTTAATTTCTCGATATCCATAAGTTCTAAAATTTAAAAATTGTCACCGATGTTCACCATCTGTCTAATACTATTAATTAAAAAAATTATAACTTTGTTGGTGAATGTTAATTTTCAAGGTCATCGCCAAATTCACTCGGCACCCTTAATTTTCAGTTGAATTCACTCTGTTGCAGATTGATGACGGTAGTGGTATGAAAAAGGAGGCAACCGTGGATGATCTCGTAAAAGTCGTCGAAGACCTCACAAGGATACACTGAACACTTTATCAATCCTTCCCAGAAAGAATTTACCGAATAGATTTTGTTAATGTGCACTTGTTTGTGTCACTAGACACTGATTTTCTTGACAACAGTACCAAGGAACAACAGGAGCGAATGGCGTGTTCTCAACAATAAAAACCAAACAATTGGATATCAGTGTAATAATGGAAAAAAAAATGATTCCAGTGAATGGGCATGAGAATATCGATTTGCAACAATGTTGATCATTTGGCAGTACATTACATTATTACATTAGATTTATAGCTGTTTAAGGTGGACTGTATAAAATAAAAACAATTATGTAAATGCTCTCTGCAAAATCATTCATTCTTCCAATTATAATTTACTTCTTTTTTTATTCCTTAATGCTTTGCTGAATTGTGCATTCATTTTGAGTGCACAAGTGGCTGGGAAAAATGTCAAGAGTCACCTCTTTTTCTAGACAATTTAATTCTCCACAGAAAATGTCCCATTGAATTCAAACATAATAGACAACAAAAATTACAAAAATTATTCCACCCTAGCTTTTTTTTATTTTTTCTGAGGTAAAACAGCATCGACATTGGCAGCCGCTGCAGCATTACCAGTGGATCCAACAGCTTTGAGAGTCTCAGGATCAAAAATCCAATCTCTAATTGTCTCCACTCCCTGTCCAGTCATTCCACTGGCCTCAATAACAGTAATTTTCTGGTGAACTTCTCTCTTGAGCCGCGCAAAATGGATCATCAGTAGAGCTTCATTCCTCATCTGTCTGTAACTCAGATCCATCTTCCCCAGCACGAGTGCTATTTTAACATTATCCAGCTTGGGTTCCACCAGTAATGAGTAAAGTAAAACACCAGCTGCACTGATTTGACACAAATTGCTAGCATCAACGACATAAATAATTTTACTAATCCTATTGAAATAATTCTTCCACATGGGGGCCATGCTTCCACCAATCTCCTTCACCACCATATCAAAGTGTCCATCGTTACTGCGTACGGTAAAAAGATTTACTCCATTAGTGGGAACTGTTTGTGAGGCTTCATCGAGCTCACCGTCTTGCAATCTTTTCATCAACATTGTTTTGCCAGATTTAATGGGACCAATACACAGACACATTATTTATATTCTTTGCTATTGTTTTTTTTTTAATCAAAATATATTATAAAATTGATATTTTCGGGGGTTTGAGTTTTCACCGAGACGTCGGGTTATATACATCATTTTCATTGATCAAACACATCTCGCGTTACTAGCAACAACAGTGATACGATTAGTACATAATTTTACTTGTCTTTCTTGTATTTGGTGGATTCTTCTTCAATCCAGCCACGAATTTTTTTTAAGACCTCAAAAAAAAATGAAGAAAGTCTGTGCTTTAATACTCATTAAAAGTACTCGCTTGAATTTTTTCAGATGTTTTTAAACACCCGTGATGGAAATAAGGGGATATGAACAAATTTCGAAAAAATAGATATCGGGAGAAGTTGACCTCCGAGAAAAAAAAGTTTGGAACAAAAAAATTAGGTTTTTATCGGAATTTTTAAAATAATTTTTTTATTATAGAAAAAAGGGGTGTAGAGAGTTTAAACGCTAGAATTAGCTTAAAAGACAATTTTTGCGCGTTTCGTCATTTGTGTTATTCTTTAAAAAAATTGAGGTAATACGGGACGGGCGTAATACTCGGATCTTGGCTAAATCGTTGTTGTCACCCAAAGGCATAAAAAAATCTCAATTTTTTTCCTCTAATTCAATAGTGAAGTGGTCAACGGAGATAATTCGACTTATCCCCCAGTTGATTTTTTGAGGAATATTTCCGAATCTGAATTTTTTCATTAGATGTGAAAAAAACAAGAATGTTTTTGACACCTCATAAAAAATAATCCACCGTTTTGCAAACAAGGTTTATTATTTACTTATAAGAGGAAATGTTTGAAAAAATATCAATATTTTGCGAAATTTAATTTAGATACTGATTGGGTATGAATGTTTTGGAATTTTTTCCATGCAATTTAGTTGAAAAATTTAAAAACTGAAAATATCCAAAAGTACAGCGTAGCCCGGCCGAAGGGCAGAGCTACTTTAAAAAATCTAAAAAAATTCAACGAGAGTATTTTTGATGAGTATTAAACCACTGATTTTTTTCAATTTTTTGGAGGCCTTGAAAAAAATAGGTGGCCGGATTGAAGAAGAATCCATCATTTGCAGAATTGTTTCAGGGACCACAAGCAGAGAAATGAATTTTCAATACTGGGTGGATAATTCAGTAGTGTAAGTTCTCTTGGCATTGAAAAAGTCACCAGTTTCAAAGATATTTACGAAAATATCCAACTTCCGAGAGATGATATAGTCAAATATATCAAGACACTTTTTCGTCGACAATGTTATTTTCTAAAGAAAGAACAAACTATTAGATTTATTTAAAAAATTGACTGTGGGATTTTTCTGAGAACTAATTTTCTTCATCACTTCACTACAGAATCTATTTCCCAGTAAGTATAGGATATAAAATTAGGAAAGTACGAACACGGCTCGAGCGCAGCTATATATGTTGAGAAAAGTGAGGAATTTTTGAGAAATCCCCACGCCTTTTTGACGGAAGCAAAAAATATGACCCTCAGGTTACTTTATCATTTTCTCAATTGGAAAATAGGGCAAATTATAATGCAATTCTGTGAGTTGGCTTCCCATGGCGTGAGTAATCCTATCCAACCACCTCGTAAGGATCAAATTTTTTTCCTTAAAATCCCCACTTTTCTCAATATATATAGCTGAGCTCGAGCCGCGTTAACAAAAATAATTCAATGTATGTGGCGAATAATTTTAATCCCTTTCAATGTAAATTTTCTATAATTTTGACAATTTTTCATAAAAAAAATTATACTAATAGTTATTCCCATTCGTATTTTTCGCTAGTGGACCCTTAGTTCTAAGCATGTTCATGTACTTTTGTCTTAAGTTTATTTTCAACACATTATACACTAAATAAACATGCTGAACATGAAACAGAAATAGCGGTACATTTGGCACTATAATAAATAGATAAACTCCTATTTATTACCTCCATCTTTTTCTTTTCCTCTCAGAGGGGAAAAATCATTGAACGAAACAATACTGTACTAATATATCGATTTTTTTGAACTTATAAACCAACATTTTTACGACTATTAGAGAACAATGGTTTTTACATTTCATGGTGTTTTTCAGCATTGTTGACTTATCTTTGTACAAAAAAAAAAAAAAAATAAGACGTATGTGCAATATTTATACTATCATACACTTTTCACGATTTGTTCTGTGTCAGGCAGACGCATATCAACTTTTAGATTTCTGCATTCAATTTCTGAGTCTTTATACGTTTGACTAGACTTTCTAGGCACTTAAATTTATGATCTCTGAGCATTTGCTAGGTTCTCTCAAGGAGAATTGTACGAACTGAAGGAGGCATACGCCATGCGTGCAATTGTCGGTCTTTACTCCCAGCAATGATCTGTAATTTTTATTAAAATTTAACATTAATTGTCGTTGATTCCTCATTTTTTATAATCTTTCAGGTTTATCGGTGAAATTGAATTTTCTCAATAGAGAGGGCTTTCAAGAGAACCAGAATATAATGTTGGTAGTTTCATTAGAAAAATAGATTTCATGACATTGTAAAATTGCAGATTGAAAGCGAATCGCTTCACTATTTAATAGTGGCCCGGTTGATATACTTACAGTCTCGTCGATGATTTCCATACTCAGCAACATATTTCCAGGGCCTGGGATGCTGCAAATCAACTTTGGTTCCTGAGGAAAAAATGAAGGACACAGTGATTAATAACCTCTGGAAAATGTGGATTCAGAGACGAATCGAAGTATCTATTCCCCAAGTAACTGTCTCAGCACTGAATGGGTCTTTTGACATGATATTTGTCGGTACGTTACTTTGTGCCGCCGATACACTTTGGGGCTGATTTGTTTTCGCCCATATGAAAAAACTTCTTTAACAATTGAACCACACACGGTCATGAAATCAAAATGAATTCTACAAAATTTGCAACTCTTGAAAGGGTCAGCGTGTGCAAATTTGTAAGTTGATATTGTTTCGTGACTGTGATAAAATTTTTAATAATGTAAATACTTGTAAATTAATAGTATTCCGTGACTTGAAATATCTACACTGAGAGAAAAACAAACACGTTGTCAAACAAATCTTGTTTGGGCCAACAAAATCGCTAGTTGAAAATTGCCAAAAAAGAATTTTTTTTTTAACTACTAAATCTATTTTTGCGACAAAAAGTTTTCATTCCGGCGCACTCTCTGCATATTTGGCACAAAAAAATCCTCTTTTGATAATTTTCCAAAAACTATCTTCTTGGCACAAGTAAGACTTGTTTGAGAACTTTGTCGTTTTTCTCTCAATGTATTGTGGTGGATGAATGTCGAATTTGATAGAGAAAAAAATTAATGCAATATTCTGTTGAAACTTTTAACCAATTGCACCCATGAGAAAATACATGAGTGTATAAGTATGGGTGTATAGAAAGTATAGTATATAAAAAATATATGAAAAGCAGAAAAATCGATCATTTGAAATAATAATTATTTTCAGTAAAATATATGAATGTCAAGAAAAAAAATGTATTTGTTAGAGAAAAATATTAATGCAGTAGTTTGTCGAAACTTTTACACAGTTGCGTCCATGACAAAATACATGAGTGTATAAATATAGGTTTACAGAAAGTACAGTATATAAAAAAATACGGAATTGCTCCTTATTCAATTAACGATTCGAAAAATGTATGTAATTCTTTAAACAGTCATACCTTGGTATCAAAAACGTAAATATTCCCGTCATAACAGCCCGCAAACAGTAATTGCTGATAAAGCCTCATACAGACAATACCAACACCAGCTGTGTACTGCGTCACCTGCTCTCCACTCTGAAACACAAAAAAAAATCAGATTCCCATTGATAGCAGTCGCATAGTTATCAAGTAAACACTAATTCCTCTAATGAGTTGTTTTTCTCTTTGCTACACCCAGAAAAGTGTTTTTTTGAATCAAGTAAAAAACTTTATTAGAAATTTTTTACTTCTTTCAAGAATATTTTTTACAAATTCTGGGTATAATAAAAAAAAAATCTAGACCCGGTTGCACCAGCTGCGGGTATCGAAAACGTCAGATTAAAAAAAAGTAAATTTGGATGTTCGGTGGATTATTTTACCCGGGAGAGTGTCTCAAATTTATCCCAGGCACAAAAAATAAAATTTAATCCCAATGTTAATTCAAATGGGGCTACAGGATAAATAAAAAATTATTCTTCGTGTCAAATATTGAAAAATTATGACCCCGACGATATAATTGACCCCAAGGAAAAATTTTACCCTGGGGTTTATTTGGATAACAGGGCTTGGTGCAACTGGGCCATAGTTCTGTAAAAAAAAACAATTTATTTATTTCAAATAAACAGTTTTCTTATTTTAAGAAAATCACATTTTCATGTATTATGTGGAAGAATTTCAAAAGTGTATTTTCACAGTATTTATGAGCTATGAAGAAAAAGTGGGTATGAATCTAATACAGGAAACGTGCAATCTGAGCAACTTAAGCTCTATAGAATCATTCCGATTCAATTTTTATTGCACTTGTCACTGCAATATATCGTCTCCCTGATAGTGAAACCATGAAACCGAAATTCCCCCTATTCCCGTCCCCTAAATGTCTTACGTTATGTATGTACAGCAACTAATAATTATTGCATGTTTTTCATGCAGTCTTTTGCGAGTTTATTACCATCTAAAAACGATAATAAATTATTAGTATCAAATAAATAGTTATTTAATTCAAAAAGAAAATTTATTTGATTCAAATAAAGAAATTTTCTTAATATAACAAAACTGTTTATTTGCTGTAAATAAAGAATTTATTTGGATCAAATAAAGTTTTCTTAATAGTAAAAAAATAATTATTTATTACTTCATTTGACTCGAATAAATCATTTTTGTGGGCGTACTCACAATGAAATCGAATACAGGAATGGAAGTGCTGCTCGTTCCACAGTAGACGAGATTTCTGTCCCTCATAAGGCTGTAAACCGTATGAGTTCGCTGTCCAGCTATTGTCCTGAGGAAAAGACCACTCTGGGCATCTCGAATAGTAATTGGTTGGTTGCGAGAGGCAACGATCAGGATTTTTCGTGGGCCCTCAGTCGACGCTCGCAAAGCGAGCACTGGCTTATCAGAAAAATCTAATTTGTCTTCCCTCAAACTTCCGGTCTGCAAAAAAAATATAGAAATAGTAATAATTTAATGAATTCTATTGCGAATGTGAACAGTGAAATGAATTCCAGGGAAGCTCATCCGCAGATGATTTTGCCAACATCTAATGAACATTTTTTGAATTACCAAACATTTCTCCAGATATTTTTTTATCAACGTTCTAGTAATTAAAAATGAATGAAATTTGTTTCCATTGAAATTTTTTTTTAATGAATAAAGTGGATGATTAAGGCCCGGGTGTACTATATTTCGAATGTTATCTGGATTTTTTTAATCTTTCGTAAGCCAAAATTGTCAATTGAGGGGTACATCATGTAGAAATTCCCAAAAATTATGAGAGAATGATAAAAAAAATAGAAAAAATTCTCAACTTTTTCAAAGAGCGTTTTTAATTGAGATTCAGAATGAGTTGAAAAAAGTGGAAATTACAAATATCTGACTCGCTGTGGCAAATTATATATTAGCTGTCATTTTCCATGGTGGATAACAAAACACTAACTCCTCGTGGGAAGTGGCGGCTAGGTATCTCAATTTTCACAACAGTGGTATGTAGTGATCTGCCATTTTTATGTGATAAAAGTGTGGTTAAAAAATTCTCCAAAATATTACAACTTTTTTCAAAGAAATTTTTTCGTAATAAATGTCTCTGTGCAGTGTGGGAAAAGATTTACGAAATCAGTCTTCCCCCTGCATGATATTGGGGGACAGGCCGCCATTTGTCACCGTAAATCAGATACATTTTTCAATTTCTCGTTATTCAACTTATTCTGAAGCTTCAAATATCCTCGTGATGCCATTCTCATTTGTTTGTGTGTACACAAACATAACTAAATGAGTTTATTTGAAACATTTTATCTTTTAAGTTTCAAGAATTATTTTCACAAAATTTCCTGAGGTAAATAATTTGAAAATTAGCAGAATTTAAATAATTGAAGTTGATTTTTTTTCATTTTTTGAATCTTAGTTTTGAGGCTTTCGCGACCATTTCATGAATACGATTCTATGAAACACGAATAAGCGAATCATAATTGTCCAAATTATTTAGGTCAGAGGAAAATAGAATAATTCTACTTTCTTAATATTGCGTTTACTAACGTTTTCTTCGAACAAAGTTGATTAGAATTAATAGCTAGAATTAAGAGATTATCTCACATTTTTGAAGTTAAGAATAGGAGAATCTGAATGCAGATTATCTCACATTTTTACAACTTATTTTGAATATAAATTAAAAATGCTTTTTGAAAAAATTAAGAATTTCTTCTACTTTTTTCTTATTATTTATTCATAATTTTTCAAAACTTCTGCACGATGCAGAACTCAATTGACAACTTCAGATGACGAAAGATGAAAAAAAAACATCGAGATAACGTTCGAAAGATAGTACACCCGGGCCTTAATTAGACAATTACCTTGATGTCATAACGTGAAATATGGCCCGATTTAGTTCCAATGAAGATACTTCCCCAGGCTTCATCCATGCATTGAATGGGACTCCCAACTGTGACTTTAGGACGATTCAGTATCCCGCCCTGGAGAAAATTGTGAAACAAATTAATACTGAGTTATGAGTTACAGAGATACAGAAAATTCTACAATTACCATGACATCGTAACAACGTAAACTAGCGTCAAGTGACCCAGAAAAAAGGAACCACTTTTTGCTCTCTGTAATCCCTGGGATTTCATGTACGTAAAGGCACGTAACAGCGGCTTCATGTCCCTTGTAAATGTTCAATATTCCATTTGATTTTTGACTGTATCTGTAGATTGCGCCGTCTTCACTAGCTGCCAGGAAAGAATCGCCAAATACCTGAAAACATCGATTATCACTGAAGAATTAGATAAATGCAGTAGTGAAGTGGTTAACGGAGATAAGTCGACTTATCTCCCAGTTGAGTTTTTCAGGAATATTTCCGAATCTAAGGGAGATAGCGAAATTTTCGCAATCACATTCGTTGTAGCACTCAATCGGCTCCACAAAAAATGTTATAACAAACATTTTGCTATGCCTCTTAGATTACGAGATATTGATTGAAAACTGGTCAATAGTCAAAATTGACTTATCTCCTTTTACCACTTCGCTACTGAATTCAAGCTTCAACAAGATTTATTCAATTTGAAAATTTATTATTAATTGCCCAATTAGGAACAACACAACAGATTGTTTTAGTTATTTCTTGACTTCATCAACTGTAAAAAATATTACTTATATTAAACAGTGTAAAATCTGATGATGACTCAACTTATTTCATTCCCCTAATTACAAAAATTCTTTTTGTAAAAATGCCGAAAGGCATTTCTACTTTAAGGAGAGACTACTATGAGGTTTAAAAGTCATGGGCCTTTGGAATTAGATTTCTCATACATTGAAGATCGATTATATATGTTTAAAAACGAATAATTAGTGCAAAACACTAATTTTTTATTGTTCGTTTACCCCGTAAACGCTCAAAATGTTAAAAATAGTCCAGACCTTCCAATTTTTGAGGTATAGAGGTTTTGTTTGTCAAAATTTTTGGAAAAATATGTGCAATAACAATTACGAATTAGTTTTTTTCAATTCGACTCCTAGGCAGTTAATTTCGTTATTTTAATAAAAAAAATTGCACCGTTCATGTAAAATAGCCCCAAAAATATTTCTGAAAGAATTGCTAACATATTTTTAATATTTTAAGGCTCGGGTGGATTATCTTTCGAACGTAATCTTGGTTGTTTCTTTTAATTTGATAATCTGAAATGCTCTGTGAAATCGAATGGAAATTGTGATATGTTTTAGATTATGAAGATGGAAAAACAATCGAGATAACGTTCGAAAGAAAGCCGGGCCTTAAGGATAATTATAACTGCTTAGTTGATCCAAAAATCCTTATAATAGGGGAGGTTGGGGTAAAACGAACACTTTTGAATTTTTTAAAAATGTTAATGAGGGGTTGAAATTTTAATGAAATTTAATAATGTTTTTTTTCAATACAAAGAACAATTCTTTCCCTTTGTGACGAGCCTAAACTGAGCTCAATTGATAAATTTGTTTCTGAGTTACGAACAATTAAAAAAAAGTCTAAAGTGTCCATTTTACCCCACCCTCCTCTGCTACAGACATTTATCATGAATAGTAGATTAAATATCTAAAATCAATGATTGTAAGAAGTGTAAATATTTAGATTAAGTTAATAGAACATCACTGATGGTGTAAATAAATCTTGTAGATTTAATCACTTTAAACAATTAAAAAAAAACGGAATATTCATGTTACTAAGTCAGTAAATACCTTCAAAAGCATTAAATTCCCCGAAAAAAGTCCAAAAAACATCATTGTTCCTTTCAAGCTTTCCCACAAAAAAAAGAGCCAATGATTTTTCTAATCAATTTCTTCAAGCTTCTCTTACAAAATGTAAAAAAAAATTACCAATCCCCCAAAGCAACTCCACTCATTTCACTCACCTTAATATCGAGAATGGGTCCCTTGTGTGCACTGTACCTCATCCTCTCCCTCTCATCATCATCCCCTTTACCCTCACCATCGCCGGGCTCTTGATTATTCCCTTTCAGCTCTCCCTCCTTCTCACTACTCTTCACTTCTTTCTCCACCACTTCATCCCCACCATTACCACAGCCTTCCTCAGTGCTACTGTCCGGTGTCGTGATGGGTTCCTCCTTGATATCAATTACCTCAACATCCCCTTCACTCACCCCCTCCCTTCCTTTCCTTCCCAACACCTCAGTCTCTTCAATTTCCCCCAATTCCGCCTGCTCCTCCCTCCTGTCCTTCGCCAATTCATCGACCCTAGGGGACACTGGGAATCCCAGACAGACCGACTTGTCCGACATTTTATCCTCCTCAGGATCGACTCCATCCTCAATCAATTCAACCGCCGATGAACTGCCGACGTTATCGTCAATCTCGACCACAATCATCGACTGATAATCATCCTCACTCCTGCTCTTCTCATCACTCAAAACCATACATTTAGGCGGTGTCCAAGGATTTATCCTAGATATCCCGAGTCGTCTAAACGTTTGAGGATGAGCTTCAGGTCGTAAAGTCAACAAATACTTGCAGTCAATCAATTCAACTCGGCAATTCATCATTTCTTCTCGACTCCTCTCCACGAATTGTCGTTTTCTTTTGTGTCTACTCAGGTGAGGCTCAGTTCTGGAGGTGAAAGACTTCCTTCGACTGCGTATTGAGCTCGTAGAGCTTCCGGAGCGCGGTCGCTTCTTCACTTTGTCAATCTCCGGTGATGAATCTCGTGAACTTGATCGCAGAGCTCTTTTAGATCTGGATCTACTTCGAGAGGAGGATTTGTTGCTTCTCCTGTTGCTCAGCTTTTTACTTCTCCTAGATGTGCCCTTTCGTCTTATGGAAATGTCCTCGTCCTCGTCGTCACCTTCAATTGGAGACTCATCTCCCACTCGCGAGGGAATTCTGGGTTTTTCCTTCTCATCTTTCTTGGATTTTTCCATTTCTAATGGGATTACTTTATCGGCCTCCTTTGAAGTCGATTTTTTGTCTGAATCTTTTGCATTTGATTTTGATTTCACTGGCTTTTCTGGTCTCGATGGTTTAATATCAGTTTGCTTTGATTTTGGAATCTTTTCCGATTCCAAAATCCCTTTGACTTCGTCCTCAGATTCCTCGACGATTGGTTTGGAGGTTTGCGACGTTTTCTTGTCCTTCTGCAGACCTTTCGAGGAGGTGGAACTGGAAGTGTCTGACCAATCGTCCAATATTGCGGCTTTCAAGGTTGAGGTTTTCAAATCTGATGGTCCCTCCGGTTTTTTAGGCTCTTGAGGCTCTTTCTCTTTCTCTTTTTCATCACTAGAGTCTTCAAGACGTTTGGAGGGCGTCTTAACGTGGGTCCTGACATCGGCGGGGCCAGTCGACTCTTCTTGCTTTGGAACATCTTCGTCGGATGAATCAGAGTCAATGAGATTCAATTTTGTCTCAATTTTCTTTTGGGCTTTCGCCTCAATTTTCGATTCTTGAGATTTCTTTGGATCTTCCTTAACTTTTTTCTTGACGTCCTCTGGCACTTTCTCAGGGGTTTTTTCGGTTTTCTCCTGTTTTTTTGTCACTCCGGGCTTTTGAACATTGGTAATTCGATTTTTAGCGACAGCATCTATAACTTCCAGAACATGTTTCTTACTTTTAGAATCTTCTGGGGCTTCAGAAGTCGTCAATTTCTTTCCGTGAGTGTTGGACTTTCTCTGAGAATGTTTCTTCTTGGATGAAATTGATTTGGGGAAGTCGATGTTGTCGTCGTCAGCAGTGGTTTCTTTCGATTTCTTCGAGTCTTGCTTCTTCTTCATTCCGGCTTCTCGCTTCATACTCTCTTCCAGCAAGGCCAAACCCGTCGCCTTCTTCTGATCACTTGCAGCTCGATCAACAGAATCCAGAGTACTGTCGTCAGAATAAAGAAGACTCTGGCCCTCTGGAGCTCCTTTACTCAATTTCTTCCTCTTCCTCTTCTTCTTCTCGTCAGACCTTGCATTCACCTCCGAACTCTCGTTAGTCTCCACATGAGAAGAAACATTTTTATGTTTCGCCGAAGACTTCTCAAGACTCTTCGATCGACTCTCGCGACCTCTTTCCTCGCTGACATTCGAAGATTTCGCTTTTGGAACCGATGGTTTAGGCTTGAAGTCACGAGCAATCAATTGCGACAGCTTCACAGGTTTCCTCACTGGCTCCTCCAGAGTTTTTGACTTTTTGTCTTTTTTGCTGTTTGAATCTTCGGAGGCTTTGGAGACGGAAGAGTCCGCTGGGCCTTCTCTCCTCGCCTCCTTGGGTTTGATGACTTCAGTATCGTCTTTACTGTGGCCTCGCTTCTTCGCTTTGTGAGGAATTTTGTCCTCCCAATTTGGTAAACGTTTCTCCTCATTTTTCGAATTTTTCTGGGGCTTGACAGTGTCGTTAGGAGTCACATCCGAAGGCACGCATTTACTCGATGAAGTGTCAGACGTATTGGACTGTTCATTTTCTAACACGTCAGGCAATCGAGACACAATGACTTTTGGTGTCTTCGTAACTATTGATTTCTCCTCTGGATCGTCCGATTTGGCTTTCGGTTTTTCTTCGATCACTGACGACTGTTCAGGGACGTCAGCCTGAGGGATCGGCCACTCATCGTTCTGTAACATCTGGTAGAGTGTCATCTTCTCGTTCATGAGATTCTGAATGGCGATGTCAATCTCCCTCATCCTCGCCATCACCCCAATCTTCGTTGTTGGCTGAGAGACCACAACGATATTTGATTTTATCGCCTCTTCCACTCGTTTCTCAGTAATCTTTGACTTCTTCTTGTCGTGATGCTTGTGCTTCTTTCGTTCACGAGTTGATGTTGATAATTTGTTGAGCTTCTTCAGGGGATCGACGTCCTTTTGCTTCTTTGCATGACGATCCTTCGATTTTTCGAGGGCTGAGTCCTTCGATTTGTCTTTCTCCTCGGGTTTCGCGGTCTCTGGAGGTGGTGAGGGTCCTGATGGAGTGGGTAACGGCTCCGAGGGTGTAGGGGAAGGTCTCGAAGAAGATGGTGAATCGATATCTACCCTGTTATCAAGATTCTCCGAGAGTTGAGTTGATTTCGACTTCTCATCCTGTTGATTCACTGTTTTCTGTGATTTTTCTTCCTCGATGACCTCCTCTCCCTCTTTAATTCCCGAAGATGTTTCAGTTTTAGTGACCGCAGAGGAATCATCGATTCTCGATGAATTTGGCAGTTGATTGTCAGTGGATTGAGAAGTAGGAGATTCCTCTGTTACCAAAGAGTTCAGCGAATGTTCAACATCTTCAGGAGCTAGAATCTGCATTTGGGGCTCTACCTCTAGCTCAGGCATTCGAACAAATTCATCGGCTGTTGGAATACTCGCGTCGAAACTGTCAAGTGCCTGATGTCCTCCAGGTGCTTTAGCATCTTTTTCCTCAGCTTCTTGCAGAGCTTTAATATCTTCCTCCGCCTCCTCAAGGGTTTTATCATCGCCCTCAGTAATTTTGACAGTTCCTCCAGCTTCCTCAAGTGTTTGGATATTTTCAACTTCCACCAGAGTTTTAGTAATATTTTCAGTTACTTTAGGAGTGTCTTCCACTTCTCGATGGCTCTCAGCAGATTCTCCATCCAATTTCGTACTTTGATCACCCTCTCCAACGATTTTAACACCTTCCCCAGTGATATTCACAGTGCCGTCACCCTCCTCTCCTTGCTCAGGCGTCTTGACTTCCTCCTCAGTCTCCCTAATCATCCCCTGAAGAATCAAAGAAGGCAGTCTATCAGGAGAAGCCTTCCTCCCCACTTCCATCAGCTCCCTCACCACAATCGCCACCTGATTCGCCTGATCCAAATCCTCGTCGTTATCCAGTCCCCCCACGAGTTCATCATCTGGGGTGAATGAAGTTCTCAAAGGTAGTGAGGAGTCATTAATCATATCAATAGGTGAAGTTTCCGCCAGCTGATTCTCATAGATCGAGCCCTCAATGTCATTCTCACATAGAATTCCAAATTCATCAGTAGCTTCTCCCTCATTCGTTGGAGAATTATTAGTTGTGGCGAAGGCTATTGGATCGTCTAGCAGAGAATTCCTCGGAGTGTCCACCACCAGAGCTCTGTCATGGAGGACAACATTCTTCCTTGCTTCCTCCGTTGATATTTCAGCTTCTAACTGCCAATTTGTGTGAGACTCAGCGAAGGAGGCTTCTTCCTCCTTTGAATCTGGAATGTTTTGGAGATTGTGGAGGTCCTCTGGACCTAAATGATCAGGATCGACCGTCCAGGTGGCTTCGTCAGCCCTCAGGGAAGCTAAATCGTTCCTCTCATTGAGATCAACGCCTTTCAAATTTTCTATCGATGAGGTTTGGGGTTCTCGAGGTGAATTCAGTGATTCTGGAGGCAGAGCCTCTTCCTGGAGACTCTGAAGGGCTGGAGGAACCTCTAGAGGGGATATTGAGGGTGCAGATGCATCATGAACTCCGAGAGAATCACCTGGAGCTTCGATCAGGGAGTCGTTTAGAGCTTCCAACCGATTCTCTGTCTCTTCCTGTGCTGTGTAGTCTTGAGGGTTTGCAGTAATCCCTGATGAGGCTGGATGAACCTTATCCGTATCTTGTAAACCCTTTGGGACATTTGTGGAAAGCTGCAACTCGTTGTTCAGTTGTGCTGGAGCTTCCAGGAGCTCCAGAGACTTGATTCCCTCATTTTTGAGAAGCTCAGGCGTCACATCGAGCTGTGAAATTATGTCTGAAGGATTGCTTGTCGTCACTGGTAATATTTGTTTCTCTGATGGGTCGTAAGTACTCAGTGGATCCTCAAATGGAGACTTCAACGGTTCTGATGGGTTTGTGGATGAAAGCTCGGACGTTGCAGCTTCTTCAGGGGTTGATGTGGTCTCAACAACTCCTGTCAATCTTTCTGAGGATAATTCAGCTTCTTTTTCGTCAAACTCACCATCAATCGTCATTTTTAATACTGAATCCACGTTATCTGGTGCTTTTACAAACTCTGGAGCACCCGTATCTCCAGCTTCTTCAGATATTCCCTCTTGTTGAAGATTCGAGTTTTGAATTTTGGGGTCGGGGAGACCCTCCACTGGAACTACGTCTGGCAGACCATCGCTGCTAACTCTGTTACACAGTCGAAAGTGAATATTGAATTTATTACGTCTCTTCAGTGAAATTTTTCCTTTCTTAGCGGACTTTTCCTGTTCGATTGTTCCAGATTGCTTCGCAGATTTCTGTGGCTGTGAGGACTTTTCCTGTTCCACTATTCCAGATTTCTCCACAGATTTCTGTGGCTGTGAGGACTTTTCCTGTTCCACTATTCCAGATTTCTCCACAGATTTCTGTGGCTGTGAGGACTTTTCCTGTTCCACTATTCCAGATTTCTCCACAGATTTCTGTGGCTGTGAGGACTTTTCCTGTTCCACTATTCCAGATTTCTCCACAGATTTCTGTGGCTGTGAGGACTTTTCCTGTTCCACTATTTCAGATTTCGCCACAGATTTCTGTGGCTGTGAGGACTTTTCCTGTTCCACTAGTTCAGATTTCTTCACAGATTTCTGTGGCTGTGAGGACTTTTCTTGTTCCACTATTCCAGATTTCTCCATAGATTTCTGTGGCTGTGAGGACTTTTTCTGTTCCACTATTCCAGATTTCTCCACAGATTTCTGTGGCTGTGAGGACTTTTCCTGTTCCACTATTCCAGATTTCTCCACAGATTTCTGTGGCTGTGAGGACTTTTCCTGTTCCACTAGTTCAGATTTCTTCACAGATTTCTGTGGCTGTGAGGACTTTTCTTGTTCCACTATTCCAGATTTCTCCATAGATTTCTGTGGCTGTGAGGACTTTTTCTGTTCCACTATTCCAGATTTCTCCACAGATTTCTGTGGCTGTGAGGACTTTTCCTGTTCCACTATTTCAGATTTCGCCACAGATTTCTGTGGCTGTGAGGACTTTTCCTGTTCCACTAGTTCAGATTTCTTCACAGATTTCTGTGGCTGTGAGGACTTTTCTTGTTCCACTATTCCAGATTTCTCCATAGATTTCTGTGGCTGTGAGGACTTTTTCTGTTCCACTATTCCAGATTTCTCCACAGATTTCTGTGGCTGTGAGGACTTTTCCTGTTCCACTATTCCGGATTTCTCCACAGATTTCTGTGGCTGTGAGGACTTTTCCTGTTCCACTATTTCAGATTTCTTCACAGATTTTTGTGGCTGTGAAGACTTTTCCTGTTCCACTATTTCAGATTTCTTCATAGATTTTTGTGGCTGTGAAGACTTTTCCTGTTCTACTATTTCAGATTGCTTCACAGATTTCTGTGGCTGTGAAGACTTTTCCTGTTCCAGTATTTCAGATTTCTTCACAGATTTTTGTGGCTGTGAAGACTTTTCCTGTTCCACTATTTCAGATTTCTTCACAGATTTCTGTGGCTGTGAAGACTTTTCCTGTTCCACTATTCCAGATTTCTCCACAGATTTCTGTGGCTGTGAGGAGGTATTCCCCTCTGTAGCTGGTGAAGATACATTGTGCTCTCTTTTCGAAATTTCACCAGAATTTATTCGACGTTTAGAGCTCAGTGGTCCGGGTGGAATCGATCGACCAGTGTTAGCGTTGATCTTAGCTTCGGTGGGAGGTGAAACTTTTCCTTTGAGCACATCCGATTGATCGATGACTTTCTCCTTAGAACTGGGAATTTGGGCAGATTTCTGCATCGTCTTCACTTTATCCCTCTGTTTGTCCCCGAGTTTTGCCTCTTCAGAAGGCAAATAATTCTTGGTCACAGTTTCTTTAACGAGAACTGGTGGAGAAGGGGCGGCAGAAGCGACAGGATCATTGAGAGACGTGGAACCACCAGAGACTTGATTAATTTCAGATCTCTCCTGGATCTTCTCATCAGGAACAATTTTCTCCAGCAGAGGTGGAAGTTTCCCCTCAGCTCGCAATTTTCTCACCAACGCCCTCTCCTGATACGCTTTAAAGTCCAGTTTCTTCGGTCTAGAACCGCCCTTCGCCCCTTCAGCCTCGCTGGTCCCTGAAGAAATTTGCTGAGGACTTTCCTGAGGTCTGTTCATCCTCAGAGAAATGGCATTATCAAGAACGAATGGAGCTAAACTAATTGCTGTGTCCTCCACGAGTTTATTCCTTTGAAGAAAAGTAAATCTGGCACTTTCTACAGGTTCAGACACAGTCAGAGGTGATCTACTCTCAACTCTATCTAAACTCTTCCCAAGGCCTTCAGCACTCGACTGCAATGGTCCCCAAACCGAAGAGACAGGAGGGGAAGCTGGTTTAGTCGGGCTAACAGTTTCGACCTTCACAGTAACAGTAGGATCGAAACTTTCAGTCTCCAATCCAGCATTTTTCCCCAGCAATTCGGCCATAGGCCTCACCTGGTGTGGAGGTGTAGAGAGTCCCTTCCTCTCCAGACTCTTCTTGAAGGCCTCAGCACCCCCCGGTCTCTCAAAAGTCTTCTTCACCACCTCCGGCATCTGCTTGAGCTGTGCTTTCGTCTTCAGGAATGGATTTGGATTTTGAGAGTTGCTAGAGCTCAAACTCGTGGGGGATGAGTGAGCTGGTGAGTGTTTAGAAGGTGATGCGATCGTTGGAGATGGATTGCTGGCACCGGAGGCTAAATTAGTGACTGATAACTTGGGCTGATGGGTCGGTTTGGCTCCCAGAATCGAGGGGGAACGGATTGTTGGAGCTTTAGGGTCTTCCTGATGCGTCAGGGCAGCTTTAGCCATCGCACTTTTCGGCCCAACAAGTGGTCTCTTACGTTGAACTTGAGGAGATGCCATCTGCTTTCGCCTGTCCACCTTCTCCTCCTCCTCAGGTTCTTTCTTAATTTGGTGCTCAGCGAGAAGGGGCAACGAACGATCTTGAGAAGTCTCCTCATCTCCAGAGTAGTAATTCCTCTTCTTCTTCTTCTTTCGATTCTTGTGATGCTTATCCTTTCGACGTTTTACTCTCCTGTCCTTTTTCTTTGATCTTGAGGCTTTGTGCGCTCGCTTCTCCTTGCGTTTTCGTTCAATCTCAGCTGTCACCTCGTCCCTAATCTCCTCATTGAGACTCTTCTTCTTGGCCATTTTCTCTCGTTCCTTTATGAAACGCAACATCCGAGAGACGTCGATGCTGGGCTCGTCAGAGCTATTGTCAGAGCTACCCGAGGAGGATGCACTGTCGTATTCATCACTGGTAATATCCTCATTTGAATGTTCACCGTAATTATTTTGCAAACGAGGAGAGTAAGTGTGAGTCCTCAAAAATGGATCCTGATCTCTTTCTCCATTAATCTGATCGGTGAATTTTTTACTGTTTTTCGAATTCATTATTTTGTAGGGATTGTCGTGAGAAGAGTGAGAGGACTCTCCATACCTTGCATCATACTCTTCCTTGGTTAAATTACGGAAAAAATCTAGATCACTGGAGCCCTTGCGAGACCTCATGATCCTCTGATCATCGCTCTTTGACGCTGCTTTAGCCTTAGCAATGCCAGTATTGAATATTCTATCAACTCTATCCACAATTGGTGTTTCAATTCTCGAAATAATGGAATTAGTAGCATAATTATTTCCATAATTGTGAGTGAATGCTGATGTTTGTTTGGCATTTTGTGTCGCTGTTTTTGTTGTCATCCTCGCTCTGTTGATTCCAGCAGTAAAAATATCATCCAACTCGTCCATTATTAATGCACCAGCTTCAGTGGGTACTGATATTTGCGACGATAAACTTGAATCTGGTGAATGAAACTGATGATTTAGCTGATTTGGCTGATTATTATCAGTGAATGTTGGATTTTTGCAACGTTTACCCCTACGTGCATTAACTGTAGAGTCACTGCTAGTTGCCAAGCTCTTTGTTGTGTCTTTACTCACTCGTTTATCGATCTTACCCAACTTGAATGTATCGCCAGTGGAAATAACAGGTGCGTTGATCCCTAACGTTTGCGACGACTCGCTCTGGCGTAACTCATCGATCTTAGGTGTATTTGTTGTCTCTTGGTTGGATAAAGTGGTTTCAACAGTGTTATCCTCTTGTGGAAGTACATCGAGCTGAAGTACTTCATTCAATTGGTGGATAAAATTCGTCGGCAGATCGGAGATATCAACAGTTGCTGCTGGATCCAGTATTTGTTTCAACTGATGTATGAAGTCCTCTTTATCGTAAACATTGTCCTTACTCTTGATTTTCTCGTCCTCCGTATTTCTCATCTCCAGGGAGAGTGAGGATTTCTTCTCCTTCACCAAGTGCTGCATTGCGATGTCAAATTTACGAAGATTCGAGTTGTTTATCATATTTTTAATATCGTTCTTCGACATCTTGAGGAAACGACCGATGACACGGTCCTTCCAGCTCGCCTCCTGTGGTTTTTTGGATGAGGTCGAGGGAGTCGGCAGCGTCTCTGATGGCTCGGGAGTGTGGGAGGGACGAGATGTGCTCGATGAAGGACTGGAGAATAAGTTCAGTGTGTCGAATTGAGAGGATCTGAGGAGGTCCATCAGATCCAAGGTGGGAAGCTGCTTTTTTGGATGATTTTCCGGTTTTTCAACGACTTTTTCCATTTTTTTCTCCAATTTCTCGGCTCTCTTAGTAGATTCGGCTTGACCTGCTGCTGGTTTTACGTCAGGTTCAACCACTGGTACTGGTGACACGACTTGCTCTCTCCAGTCATTTGATTGCTCCAATTTTTTCGATGGGAGACTCAGGTTAAATGTCACTTTAGGGCGATCCTCTTTTGTTGGAGACATGATTTCCTTCTTTATCATTACTGGGGGAGTTGTGGTGATGGTCCGAGGTGGGGGGGTTGTACTGATGGTTTGTGGAGGAGTGATGGATGGTGATGGAGGATGGGGAATGGAAGGGGCTGAAGCAGCAGCTGGAGCAGCCGTGGAGTCACCAAGAACTGAAGATACCGAGGGAAATTCGGGGGATTCGACCTCTTGACTCGTCTCTTTTTTCTTCTTCTTCTTCTTCGATTTAGATTTCTTTTGAATCTCTTCCTCAGCCGGCGGCACTGGCAGAGGTGGAAGTGGTGGCGGCAAATCAGGAAGTGTTGGAAAATTATCAAAACCATTTTCACACTCTTTTTCGAAATTAATGTCGTCAGTTTCGCCCATTCCCATGAGTTCCTGGGCAAATTCCATGGCTTTTCTCAACTCCCTGAAGGCGTCGTCCTCGTTGGCAGCGGGGGGTGGATTCTCGGGCATTGGAATTTGATTCAAATTGGGATTTAATCCGGCATTCAAATTACTGTTAAGGGGAGGTGGAGGGCCCAATGGAGTGGGATAATCCAACGGAGGAATGACTGGGGGATAGTTCATGGGGACGAATGGCGTCATGGAGCTGTAACCAGGTCCCATACCGTAATCCACTGGTGGTAGATTCATCATCGGGGGCATCGAGTAGCCTCCAGGACACATGACATTGTAATCCGGCATTAAATTGCCAATTTGCAGCTCTTTGTTCTTCTTCCGTGGATCAAAAACTGGCGGCGGCTGGAGAATATCGAACTCCGCTGGTTGCGGCGCTCTGTTTGCTGGTAATGGAGGTGGAGTGAATCGTTTATCCAACGGATTCTTGATGTTGACGGTGATTTTTTGGGGAAAATTCAAGTTGCGCGGCGATTTATGGAGGCTCGTGGATTCTCTGGATTCAGTTGTTGGAGAGTTAGCGTTGGGGAGAGACTCGGGGGTGAACTCGACAGGGCACACTCGAGGTTTGTTTCTGTTAACATCGCTTCTCGATTTATTTGAGATTTTTCGATCGACAAAGTCGTCGGGGGAGGGCTCTCTGCGTTGAGGAAGTTCAAACGGATGAGGAGAAGCTCTTTCCACTGGGGATGGATGCATCGATGAGAGATTGGAACTCTGGAGATCGTCGTTTGGTTTTGCAGGCTCTGGGGATTTTTCGTCGTTTCTCGGGGCTTCGCCGACGTCTTCTGGATCTGGAGGTGCGTCTGAAGGGTTTGGACAATCCTCTGATACATTTTCGTCAGTAATCCCGTCGTTATTTGAGGGGATATTGAAGTCATCGTTGAAGTTATTGAGTTCAATTGATTTCAGGAAACACTCGTCGTTCGTGAAATCTCCTTCGTCCTCGGGGAGATTCTCCTGTGCATTAATCTGAGGATCAGGATTGCTGTTCTCAGGCAAATCCAGGGGTATCTCCTCAGAGTCGTGGATGGTTATTTCACTGAATGTTTTCACGCTCTTGGCAACGTCGATGATCTCGCAGTCGGGATCATTCTCGTTGATGTTCGTGGACTTCTGTCCAGAGTCCACGTCGACTCTTCCAATGTCCTTGAGGTCACTAGTGGTGAGGGCGATCTCAGGGGGTCCGTGCATCAGTTCAGGTATTCCCTTGAGTGTTCCCTCATCCCCTGGCTCAGGTCCAGGAATGTTGAAGTCGTCGTCCCAGAGGTTCATGTCCTCAGTGGAGGTTCCATCGTTGCACAGGAGCTTGCGCTTCAGTTCGTCAACTGCGTCTGTTATTTTTTGTCTGCGTTCCTCCTCGGAGCCTAGGGGAGGGGGTCCAGGATCCTCGGGCTTCTCGTTCTGCGGTGGAAAATCTCGATAGGGAAATCTCCATCTGCAGTCTTGATTGGGATATTGATTCTGGCTTCCTCTGCCATTCGGGGATCTGAAGTTCGGGGCTGTGCCTCGGGGAAAGGAGCCTCGGGTGCCGCGGGCAGGGTAGTTGGACCCCCCTCGGAATTGATGCCTCAAATTTCCCTGAAAACGTCCACGACTCTGCCAGGTTTGAGGCGCGTTGTGGGGGTTGTGTTGGTAGAAGGACTGGGGGTTTGGAGGGGGCCACGTGTCCATTTGTGGGCGGTCATTTCGACGTGGAGGGTTGAAGGAACCTCGGGAGAAGCCGCGAGTATTGCTCTGGCGAGGACCATCCCCCTGGTTGCCGGCGTGTGACCCCTCGAAACGCCCCTGTGGTACGAAGCCTCGTTCTCGGAAGCCACTACTACTCATCGCACCTTTATCTGAGGTGAGCACATTTGATCCAATGTAAGTGGGGGGATCATCACCAGCGGGCTGCGGGGGTGATTGTCAATGCTGTCTGGAGCATTTTTTCGTGGCCGCTTGAGGGATAGCGACAGGGGTTTAGGGCAAACTTCGCGGGAGGGGAGTGTTGGGGTGCTTGGCAATAGATCTGGAACAGAAAACATTTGTTATTGGTTTTTCCATGCTTTTGGAGAGGGTTTGGGGAGGTGATGGGAATAAAATAGAATATTGGACAGTTCTCGGGATGTCTTGGGAACTGGGGGCATAGGGTGTCCTGTGAAACCGGGAAGTTTCAACAAAATTCCCGGACTTTTTCTGGTTAAATTGAGGAAATTCCCGTGAAATTATGTTTGGCTGGCGGAAAGAACCATCAAGTGAATTTTCGTTGTCATTTTCTATTTTCATATTGAAAATTTTTGTTGGATCATAATTTCGAGACAATTCAGATGTTTTTTCAGTGTTCGTCAGACTTCAAAGAATGAAATTGAGTGTTCGTTTTTCATTGCTAGAATGGATTGAAAAAAAATTGAATCTTTTAGATTTAGTCTTTGATTGGCGAAATTATCTTTGATTGGTGAAAAGAGCTATCAAGTGAATTTTCGTTGTCATTTTCTATTTTCATATTGAAAATTTTTGTTGGATCATAATTTTGAGACAATTCAGATTTTTTTTCAATGTTCGTCAGACTTCAAAGAATAAAATTGAGTGTTCGTTTTTCATTGCTAGAATGGATTGAGAAGAAATGGAATCTTTTAGATTTAGTCTTTGATTGGCGAAATTATCTTTGATTGGTGAAAAGAGCTATCAAGTGAATTTTCGTTGTCATTTTCTATTTTCATATTGAAAATTTTTGTTGGATCATAATTTTGAGACAATTCAGATTTTTTTTCAATGTTCGTCAGACTTCAAAGAATAAAATTGAGTGTTCGTTTTTCATTGCTAGAATGGATTGAGAAGAAATGGAATCTTTTACATTTAGTCTTTGATTGGCGAAATTATCTTTGATTGGTGAAAAGAGCCATCAAGTGAATTGTCATCCAAGAGCCATCAAGTGAATATTTTCCTTGGATCGTAATTTTCAGCCAATTCAGATTTTTTTTCAATGTTCGTCAGACTTCAAAGAATAAAATTGAGTGTTTACTCAAGCCCAATGAATGAATGAATGAATGAAAATTGAGTGTTCGTTTTTAATTGCATAGAATGAATTGAGAAAAAATTGAATCTTTTAGATTTAGTCCATCTGCTCCACTCGATTTTTTAGACATTATACAAGAACAAACAAAAAAGAGTGCTTTGAAAGAAAAATTTTTTTCATAGGCTATTGTCCGTAATTTATGACGTAAAATGGGTACTTAATTTCATTTTCTAGAGTCTAACGAAAATTGTGGAATACAAAAATCTACATCAGATGGAAATTGCGCAATAAAGGAAGTATGGCTAGGGGAATTTTCAAAGACTTTTCAATTTTAGCGAGGTGTCCCCTTAAGAGGTGATCGCTTTGTCAACTTTTCAACAAAAATACGTCCAGCGAAAAATTTTTCTAGAAAATTAGGATGCTAACATCTCTCTAGCGAACCAGGCTGAAACTCTCAGTGTTTTTGCAGTTTGTATATTGTGGTGGAAATATTTGAAAAAATATTGAATGTTCGTATATTTGTGGTGAATATTTTTCAAATATTTCCACCAAATCTTGATTTTCGAGAATTCCTTTCAAACGTAGACTGCTGAATTTAGAATTTTCTATAGAAAATCCGCAAAAACAGTGGGTTCTCAGTCTCATCCCACGGGAAGATGTTAACATCCCACTTTTCTAAGTAAGTTTGAGATCAAATTCCAGGACAACGTTTTTTGTCAACAGAAGGATTCCCAAAAATTTAGTTACTTGGAGAAAACAAGCTTCAAATTTTTTAATTCCAGAAAGTTGTCGTAATTTCCTGACTTTTCCCTGACATTTCCAGACCAATCAAATCCCTGACAATTCCCGGTTTTCCAGATTTCCCTGACGGCTGGACACCCTGAATACATGAAGGAGGAATGTCAAGAGATCTTCCACCTGGGACATTAAATATTGTCTGCACGAAAGGTCTCTTGATGGATTCCCTCAATCTCTTATATTTGAAGATGTGTGCTCTAAAATTCTGAAATATAAAAGATTTTTTTCACAAGTTTTTTTTCACAAGTTTTCGTCAAAAGGGGGTGTGAATAAAAATGAGGGGTTTGAGAAGATAATTTGAATAACTAGTCTTTTCTGAGATGCTTACGTGAAAGCACTGCTAAACTTTTTAATGTACACAGAGAGAAAAACAAACACGTGGTCAACCAAGTCTTGTTTAGGCCAACAAAATCGCTAGTTGAAAATTGCCAAAAAAGAATTTGTTCGGTTCGAATTTGAAAGTCTCAAACATGAATAATTGTTCTGCTTTCGACAGCAACGAAATATTTGGCTCGAGAGGCGGATAATTCACACCAGACGGTGCCTTTTCAGGATGAAAATATCTCATATAGAGGAAAATTTATCAACAAATATTTTATCCCTAAGTTACAAGATTGCTATCATATAATTATTATTGTTTCATTTAAGGGTTCATTTCTTGTCTGTGATTATTAGACAGCCGAAACGAAAAACTACTATCCCTTGTTTCGCATAAAACAAAGATTTTTCGGGAGCAAAATACGTATGGGAGTATCGAATAACGAAGGAGTAGTGCTAGAAATTCCATTTCTTGCGTGTAAAGAGAATGCAATTTTTTTCAACTACTCAATCTATTTTTGCGACAAAAATTTTTCACTCCGGCGCACTCTCTGCATGTTTGGCACAAAAAAATCCTTTTCTGATAATTTTCAAAAAACCATTTTCTCGGCACAAGTAAGACTTGTCTGAGAACTTTGTCATTTTTCTCTCAGGGTATCATTCCTTGAGATTTCTGATACTATGAATTATGCAGGAATGAATTATTTATAAGGCAGGACTCTAGATACATTCCTCCAATCCTCAATTTTTTCAGACATTTGCGAAGTGCGTAATTGTTTACAAATATTTTGTATTCAAATAATTGACCCTGTTGTCAGATGAGATTTTGATAAACGAAAAACGACAATCAAATTCTTGTCATAAATCAGGGACGTTCCGATCCACGTGCGAATCCCCACTAGGGCTAATTCATTTCAAGCTGAGAATTAAACAATGACAAGATTGAAAAACCATTTTAACAGCTCATAAAATTATCTGCAGTAAAGGTCTCTCAGTGAATTTCTCTGCAAATGAACTTTGGAATTAGTGAGGTAATTGAAAATTGAAAATTTTCCGACAATTCCAGTACGCAGTCCAGCCAATTATCTACAAGGATTACATGGATTCATATATACGACAAAATAACCTTAAAAATAATGTCGCCACCATTTCTGAATTTCGCAATTCTTTGAAACCCAGACATTTGGCATCCCATTAGAGTATCATTAAAAAAATCGTGCAACAAATCCCTCTGAACCCCCTCATTCCAAAGGTCTTAGCAAAATTACCCTGATATTCACTCCACCCCATACTTATCATTAATCAAATTAAAAAACGATAAATAATGTTGACTCCTATTACCTCTTGATAACAAAGTGAAAGAGTTCGAGTCAGTCTCCGCTGAAAATAACGTCTCACACTCTTCAAGTTATCGCACTCTTCGATTTTCTAATCCACTGTTCCACAGCTAAATGGATATATACACGGTAAAGAAACAAAATAATTCATGCACTACTCTTGCCCTGATCGGTCTATTATCACTCTCGATATGCATCACCAAATAGAACTCAATGGATTTCTCCTGAATAAAGTCATGAATAAAAAAAAAAATGATCAAGTGTCCGAGCAGATGAGAGCAAGCACCCAGTCCTACCGTGCCTTATCGTCCCAAGACCAAATTGTTCTGAACGAGTCACACTAACCTAAAAACTCGACCAAACAGCGAATAATCCCACTAGCATTATTCGTTCCTCAATATGAGCACTCAATGAATTTTTTAACCCCTCAAAAGTCTTCGACGTAATAACTCGCTTAGCTTCCGTTATGTTTACTCTCGTTAGGCAGCGCAACGGAATGTCTACGGAGTAATAGCAATGAGGGTGATTATAATCGAACTGTGGTGGCTTTTGCGTCGATTGGACTCCCTCGGTATTTGCACTCTCTCGAGGCTATATATTATTTCAACCAATTTCTCGTACGAATGAGAATATGATGATTATGTTTACCACGATTCTAAAGAGAGAGGTTGGGTTTTTTTAGTTTCTTTAAAATGGAATCGACTTCTTCTTTCCGTTGCAATTGTCGCTTACCACTGCCAGGTGTCACCACATATTTGCTAGTTCGCATAGACCCCTAGTAGCGACGTAGGGTCCCTATGACCACCATATGAACCCAAGCAACACAGTTCTGGAGGGTCCCCAAGTAGCACAGTTCTGGAGGGTATATGCAAGTATACCAAAAAGGCTGTCTAATGTCTGTCCAAAAAGGTAACTTGTGTCTAGAAGTTATCTAGAAGTTAGATAAAAGTTATCGTATGACTGCAAGATACCTTTTGGACGGACATTAGTCAGCCCTTTTGGTATACTTTCAGATATCTTTCGCAAGGTTTGCTACTTGGGTCTGTTGGTCAGTTACTGTCGCTGAACTCTATCCCGATTCTCTGATTGGTCAAATCAGAGATGTAATGTACTGTTCAAAATTTTGTACTGAAATTCCCGTTAAGAGTCTTGGAAAGTTCTAAGAAGTAACATTTCCACTGAAAGTTCAAGGAATTTTGTCATTGAAAATTGATAATTTCACGGAAAAATCCATGAAAACTGTAAATTTCAGTTTCATTATTCCGGGAAAATTAATGAAAAATCAGGAAAATTTAGAGATCTCTCCTTAAATTCCAGATTCGTCTGAATTTTCAGGGCATTCCTTTAAAAATTCCTGGAATTCCAAGAATTTTAAACTAATTCCTAGAAAAGTTCAGGGAATTCGGCAGTTAATATTCATTTTCACTTGAAAATTCATGTAAATTGTGAAATTTTCGTCTTCCTACGGCTAAAAAAATGGGACTTTACTTGAATTTTCAGAGGAACACGAAATTCCATTTACTTTTTCTCCTTCCCAACGGTCATTTGGCAGTCAAATAATTGGAGTTTTTCGGCCAATTCACGAACTAATGGTACTCGGTGCCCACCGACTTTTCAATAAATCAAACAAGGATAGGATGGATCTAACTATCTTCGTTCAATGCCTTTGATAAATGAAGAGGCTAACGCCCTGCTGCCATCTGTTTCAATTTTGCAAAAACTCCCTAGTTGAGGCCTTTGAAATTTTATACAAATTTTTGATATTGGAGGGATTATCTGTGTCTTAAGGATAATCGGGCGAGGAGGAAATGTCGGAGGTGAGGCGGAGGGGTTTCTATTGTTTTCCTGCAGAAAACCAATCACTGAACAAAAAAATTTCCCATTCGGATTCAAAATTCAGGCAATATTAGGGAGTATCTCCAGTTAAAAATTATTTTTGGAGCTAATCAAATTTATTTGTATCTGGTCCACGCATAGAATGATTTTCAGATTGTTTTTTTTTAAATAAATGAAAAAATATTATTCCATGCGAAAAAGTGGCAACATCGTCGGTAGTATTTTTTTTTTCAACAGGAGCTGGTACCACTGGCTCGAAGGAGCTCCAATCACAACGCTTCATCGCTCTCACAAGAGACGTTTAAATTGACCGCGCTACCCCCACCCGATCGGTACTTGAGATGCTGCTCGTTTGGGCTGCGTGCGCAGAAATTTCATTTTTCAGTACTTTTTTCGCTATTATTAATAAACAATGTTCCTAGGCGACAATCTTTTTCACTCAAAAAATCGTTGATCACATGTTCTAAATGTGTCTAAAGTTTCATAACTTTGGCTGCTTTTTTTCTTTGAGTTTTGCAGTTTTTTTTGTAATTTCCATAAGATCACGGGTTAACTGAGCACTTTTTCAAAAATTCATAATAAATTAACCATGTTCCCCAGCAGTCTGAAACTTTGCACTTGCCTTTTCCATCATTTAAAGAATACGTAAAAAATAAAAGAGAAAAATGGCTGCTTTTTTTCTAACCCTCCGGGCACGCCCGATTATCCTTAAATAATTCTTTTTCATCACGCTGTGACGAAAAGTGAACTTTTCCGCCACATCGTGATGAAGAATATTGTTCGTAACTCATGAAAAAAAGTTTTTTAGCTCGTGGGATTATATCACTCGCCTTCGGCTCGCCAAAAACCTCCCACTCGCCAAAAAACACTTTTTTGCACTCGTTACGAAATATACTAATATTGATATGAGGAATAAAAAATTACAAATTTAATTACCACCCCAAGCAGCACAGTGCTGGAGGGTATCTGCAAGTATACCAAAAAGGCTGTCTAATGTCTGTCCAAAAAGGTAACTTGTGTCTAGAAGTTACCTAGAAGTTAACTAAAAGTTATCGTATGACTGCAAGATACCTTTTGGACGGACATTAGTCAGCCTTTTTGGTATACTTTCAGATATCTTTCGCAAGGTTTGCTACTTGGGACCGTGAACTCTAATGGAAAAATTCCAATTTCTTGTCTATGATTGAATGCATTTCAAAATACAGGTATCAGGAGCTAGGATTTATATATGTACAATCGTCAAAAAAAGTTTTAGGAGTAACTAGACGTGATTGGCACAAGCTTGGGCCCACTTGGGCCAAATAACGTCTAGTTACTCCTTGAACGTTTTTCGACGATTGTATGTACAATCCAATTCGCGATCGCAACGTAGATGTGGGAGCCACCAAGTAGTCTCTAAACTAACTACTCTTGGGGGGCAACCAATGAGATCTCTCGAAGGCGACCAATGATGGAGCTCAAACAATGAGATCATGGATTCTCTTTAATCTCATTGGTTGCCCGCCAATAGTAGTTAGTGGAGAAACCACTTGATGGCTCCTACTTCTACGTGATCGCGAATAGAATAGATAAAGAAAAGATACGGATTTTTTTTAAGAGGAGCGGGACATTAAAACGATGTTGCTGTGGATTTATTTTGGTTTACTCAACCGCACGAGTGCATGATTGTGCCAGTGTGATGAGTTCGAATGGATTGGAATTGTTCAAAAAACCGTGAGTCAACCAACATTAATTATCTTCCATTATTTATTTATGAGAGACTAGAGTTCAAGCCGAACTGGTCAATATCTCGTGGGATGAGGTTAGGGCGGGGAGATTAGCGTCAACGGCGTCAATTCTGGTCGGATAAACAATGAGAGTTCAACAATAGAAATGTATATTTCAATTGTTCAAAATCAATTTGTTTATTTCGCTATGAATTTAAAGTTCGATTATTTGTTGTTCTTCATTTGTATTGATTTTTAAAAAATCTTTGTATTGTATTGTTTTATTTGTTCAGGTATCCATACCCTCAGGGCATGAGGTGCCAGAAGTGTCTGGAGATGGGACATTGGAGTTATGAATGTAAAGAAAAACGAAAGGATCTTCACAAATCATCGAGACCGGTTCAGTTGAAGAAAGCACGGAAGGATATTGTTTCAGGAAATTTGTAAGATTTGTTGATTAATTAATAACCATTGACAATAATCAATAATTATTTAAAAAAAAACAAATACGATTGTACAAAATCCATTTCTTTACTTCACTATGAGTTTAAAGTTCGATTATTTGTTGTTGTTAATTTGTATTGAAGACTTTTGTTCATTTTTTATCTTTGCATTCTTTTATTTGTTCAGGAATCCATACCCTCAGGGCATGAGGTGTCAGAAGTGTCTGGAGATGGGACATTGGAGTTATGAATGCAAAGGAAAACGAAAGTATCTTCACAGATCGTCGAGAACGGTTCAGTTGAAGAAAGCACTGAAGAATATTGAATCAGGAAATTTGTAAGATTTGTTGATTAATTAATCAATCATTGATAAAAATCAATAATTATTTTTAAACTAGCTGAAAAATTAGCCCGATTGTTGAGAATTACGACGGAGGAATACTCGAACCTAAAGCATTGAATGAAATATTTATTTCAAGTTTTTAATCATGAAAAGAGGAGAATTAATAGAAAAACATGAAGAAAATGATATTTGAATGTTAAGAAAATGCAGAAAGTCAAGAACTGTATGGAAAATAGTGGAAATTTTTCTTTTCAAAATTCAAATTTCACAAAATTGTTTCATTGGGCAATATAGACACCTGATAAATCCGTATGATAAACAAAAAAAAAATTTAATTAAAAAAAAATTTTTAATTTACAAATTAAAAACAAAAAAATAAAATAATACAAAAAATTTAAAATATTATATAAAATAATAATATTATATAATATTATTTTAAATATTTAGTTTTTTAGTTTTTTTTTTATAAATTTGATTTTTAAATTCTAAATGGACTGAAAATTTTTTCAATAATCGAATTTTTTAAAATTGCTTCTTGACAAAGTCCACAACCGAAAAATTATTCAAGAGTTGGGTTAAATTGACACCCAAAAAAGTTGGCCCTATTCAACTTTCAATCACGAAAATTTTTAACAGACATTTTCCAATAGAATCGTGCCGGTATCTTTTTATAGAGAGAAAATAGAGTTAGAAGAAATATTAACAAATAAACTTCAACTCTATCAAATTTTGCATTGAAGTTTGAAATCTAGAGTAGCTTTGGATTTCTTGTTTTACTATTGAAATAACTTTGACATTATTTATTGTTTTCAATGAACAATTGCACCTCTTACACAACTCACTTTTTGTCCATTTGCGAAATTTGTAAGATGGCGACTTTCGTACTCACAAAGAAAATCACCATAAAACAATGGGCAGAGTGTAAGATAAATGAGCAAAGAAAAATTTAGTTTACCATCTGTCACAACAATAGTCGAAACCGAGTTTTTGTTTCAACTTGAAAATCGTAGTCATGACTAGTGTTTCAGACATTGAATAACATTGTTGAAACATAAAAAATTAAGAAAGAAATCAAATGCCCATTTTACCCCGTTTTTGCTTTACCTTACAACTCTTACGACGCAGTCTTATGACAATGTGTTCGTTTTTATAATCTTCAAATGAAGTCAAAACAGTAGATTTGATCCAATTCAACTCATTATTTAAATCTGGTGTCCATATTGCCCCACCCTCCCCCACAATCGTTACTTGAAATTGTAAAAATGTCATTAACCGATTCCAGAGAGCCTAAGAAAACAGAAAAATCTCTCCCGAAAAAATCAAAAAGAACAAACTCAGGGTCATCAAGTAGTTCGAGTGACTCAGATTCCTCCAGCAGTGACAGTGACAGCAGCACTTCGAACTCGAGTTCAGACAGTGACTCAAATTCGAGTTCAAGCGGTGAGAGCTCCTCGAGCTCGTCCAGCAGCTCTAGCAGTTCCTCTAGCAGCTCCTCCTCGAGCAGTGACTCAGAACCATCAAAGAAACGTCGCAAAAAGCAGAAACGCAGATCGTAATCCTATCGATAAATCTCACGAGCACTATTTTTCATATTTCATATGACTGTTTGTAAATACAACTGAACAAAACAACTCATTACCGCAAAATGAATATTTTATGTATAGAATAAAGAGAAAGACAATTTTGTGATTGAAATTATTCAAGGACAAGTGATTTTTTTCTACGTTAATTGAACGATTCGAGGGAACTATTAATGAACCATCAATTATTATTATATAATAGTATTTCATCTCTTATGTTGATCGAAGCGTGCATTATACGCAGAGACAGGCATAATCATAAATTATAATTGACATTAATTTCATAAATACCTAATCAATAGAACTTGACAATTTTCAATTATTAATCAACAATTAAATTTTTTAATTCTGAATTATTTTACCCACCAATAATTGAATTCAGAAGATTGACGATTATTTGAATAATCTTTAATGCTGTTCAGGAAATTTCCAATTATTTACTTAATTGTTATTTGAAATTTTAAATTGTCAATTATTTTAATATTTTCTAAATTCTAAAGATTAATTATTTTTTAAGGAAAAATTCTCTTAATATTACTAAAATAATGATTGATGCCGATCTCTGATTATACGAATCAATTTGGGGACATGTGAAAAATCGCCGGAGGTGGGGTTTGAACCCATGACCCTTAGGTTTCCAGTCAGAGCCTTCACACACATGGCTATCCACTTGGTATTATTATTACATAATAATAATCCCTCCAAAAATATACACTCCCACTTCTCAGCCTTTTACGGCCACTACTGCAATTCTACTAATTACTCGAAATAAAACAGAAGATCCAAAAACCTCCATTTGTGCCAACGTTTCGGACACACAAGGTGTCCTTCATCAGGGCAATAATTTATGCTTATCAATCCATCAGTCGTTCGTGGATCTTAACCAGAAATAAACCAAAAGAAAACACAAACTGACAGGCGACAACAGCCTATCAGTGCCCTCCATAACCATAGCTATGCCGTCCTATATGAGGAGGATGATAACCCGATAAAATTTTTAGTCTTCAATTCTCAATTTCTGTCATTTATTCTATTTAGTCTATCAAAAGACAAGGATAGAAATCGAATTTATGGGTATTCTTCCATTATTCGAAAAAATATATCGCTTTTAAAACTTTCCGGAGACATTGAAAAATTGAGTTTTTCCATTTTTTTTTCTCGTTAAAAGTGGATGATAAAATTCCAAAACATTCCGCCTATATTCGAAAAAAACAGTGATTCCAAGTTTCCACCACCAAATGAAGAGAAACAAGTTTCTAACCGATCATCCCTTTTTAAAAATTTTCAGTCCAATTCGTGATTTTTGCTATTCAATGGCATTCATTACATTCATCATTCTATCAAAAGACAAGGATAGAAATCGAATTTATGGGTATTCTTCCATTATTCGAAAAAATATATCGCTTTTAAAACTTTCCGGAGACATTGAAAAATTGAGTTTTTCCATTTTTTTTCTCGTTAAAAGTGGATGATAAAATTGCAAAACATTCCGCCTCTATTCGAAAAAAACAGTGATTCCAAGTTTCCACCAACAAAATGAAGAAAAACAAGTTTCTAATCGATCATCCCTTTTTAAAAATTTTCAGTCTCCAATTTGTGATTTTTGCTATTCAATGGCATTCATTACATTCATCATTCTATCAAAAGATAAGGATAGAAATCAAATTGATGGGTATTCTTTCATTATTCGAAAAAATATTTGATGGGGTTATTCGGGGTAGGACCGTAAAAGGCGCAGTTTCACAGTTGCCAAAAATATTTATATCAAGAATAAGAATGAATCAAATTAACTTAATATAATCCTCAAGACGGAAAAGGCGAAAAAATAAAACAAAATAATATACAGTATAAACAAATCTAGTGACCAAATTCCAAAAAATCGAGTAGTAGTGTAGTGAAATTAGATCGCTAGATAATACATAATGAATGAATACATAATAAATAAGCATAATTGCCAACATGATCGTTCTCGACTTCTACAGACGAATCAAATCATTCTGGCCAATTTATGTAAGAAAAAAATTTATTAAAAAAGGCTCCAAACTATTCACAAGCATTATCATCATCATCATCTTAAATATCCCCTGAAATCACTCCTCAGCATCAGGAAGTGTCTGCACAATGACCTTTCTCCTCGAATCATAAACAAAGTTATTGTTCTTGAAAACAGGGCTCTCGTAAAACGGTTGCAAGTTATGAATATCGATTCTCTTAGCTTTGTCGGCGAGATCTTTCTCAGGGACTTCGATAGTGGTCACCCTGGTTCCCCTCACAGCCTTCTGGAACGCCAGAGTATCCAGTGTGATCTGTCTCAGGATATAATACAACAGCTCACTGTGATCCTTCTTGAAAGTCAGATACTTCTGGAAGGTCTGCCTCATGCTCTTCATAACCGAGTACTTCTGGGTGTCGACGAAGCTCTCCAGCGCCATCCTTATCGCCAGATTGACATCATCCTCTCGGACATAGTCTCGGAGGTGCATCTTAGCACTTGCCTCGGACATCCTGATGATGCTCTCGATGTGTCTGACTGTGATGGGAAGACTTCCAGTGGCCAAACTCTCCTGCCTCAACTGGGAATACAATTTGGCGACCTTATCCTGGTCAACGTTCGTCAGCTTGGGATGAATGTTCTGCTTTGCGTACACGATGTACTTCTTCAGAAGGTCCTGGGGGATGGAGATGTCCTCGACTGCAGTGTTGTCGAGGAGTTCCTCAGGGAGATTCCTCTCTTCATTGGTGGGGTGGTTCTTGATGTGGGAGTTGACGACGAATTTGGCTAGGTGTCTATCCTGCATTGGGTCTACTTCGTCCTTGACGATACAGAGGATGTCGAATCTGGAGACGATCGGCTCCGAGAGGTCCACGTTCTCGGAGAAGGTCATGCTGGCGTCGTATCTGTGGACATATTCAAAATAATTACCAGAAAAACCGTAATATTTAAACCTCTTTGCTAAGATTGCCTGAACACGGGACAATTGTTGAAGTTAAATTAGTTGAATAAAAATTTAATTACGAACAGACTCACATTTCTTCAAATGAATCGAAGTGTGGCCTGGCTCTATTATCCGCCGAATAGAGCGCAGAGTTGGTTCTCATTAATGCCTATCTGACAAAATTTTAGATTTTTTTAAATTATTTTAGTCCTTTAATTCTTCAATTGACCACCAGTCGTCGAACTTCGTATTTTTACGTTTCAGACCGTTCCACATAATTTCCGAGCAAAATTAGAGAATCGGAAAATAGAACGATTTCAATGCTTCCATTGAGGGAGCAAAAATTAATTTTCCGATGGCCTAATTGAGATAATTGGAAAAATCCTAAATTTTACGGAGTGGAATCTAACGAACCTTTTGAAAAAAAGAAGTTTAAAGCGGGTGAAAATTGTTATGCGAGGAGCATTTGAAATTCAAAAACTTTTTTGCTTGATGTGCGGGGTAAAATGGGGTCCAAAATCTTCCGTACTTTTTTTATGTACCCCATGATATATGAAAAGTCGGTAGACAGCTATCTTCATAAATCGAAAATTTTCAAATTTTACCTCGGTACCCACTTAATAAAACCAATTTTTATAATTTTCACTGTTGATTGTGATGAAAATTGAAATGAATTATTCGGAAAACTACCCATTTTGGTCACAAAAATGGTTAATTTCCCTCAATTTTTAACGCAAGATTTCATTCATTTTTGCTTCCGAATGGAAGCATTGGAATCGTTCAAATTCAAGTTTTGGATTTTTAGTATTATATCGGACCATTATGATACAAAAATTCTGAAAATGCAATTGTTCGCTAATGAATGGCTGGAAGTAAATCTTTTTTTTTCAAATGTAGATATTGTTGAGCCCTATCAATCGCCATTAATTAAACTTTAATTCATCGATTAGTTTTTTTACGGCCCGGGTGAACTATCTTTCGAACGTTATCTCGATGTTTTTTTTCATCTTTCGTCATCTGAAATCGTCAATTAAGTCCTGCATCATGCACAAGTTTTGAAAAATTATCAATGAATAATTTAAAAGAAGGAGAAAAAATTCTCAATTTTTTCAAAGAGCATTTTTAATTTATATTCAGAATAAGTTGAATAACAAGAACTTAAAAAATGTATCTGATTTACGGTGACAAATGGCGGCCTGTCACCCAATATCATGCAGGGGGAAGACTGATTTCGTAAATCTTTTCCCACACTGCACAGAGACATTTATTACGGAAAAGGCTCTTTGAAAAAAGTTGTAATATTTTGGAGAATTTTTTAATCACACTTTTATCACATAAGAATGGCAGATGACTACATACCACTGTTTTGAAAATTGAGATACCTAGCTGCCACTTCCCATGAGGAATTAATGTTTTATTCACCATGGAAAATGACAGCTAATAGATAATTTGCCGCAGCGAATCATATATTTGTAATTACCACTTTTTTCAAATCATTCTGAATCTCAATTAAAAACGCTCTTTGAAAAAATTCAGAATTTTTTCTATTTTTTTTATCATTCTATCATAATTTTTGGGAATTTCTACATGATGTCCCACTCAATTGACAATTTTGGATTACGAAAGATGAAAAAAAATTCAGGGCAGGTAGTTTAGGATATTCGTGTAGATCCACATTACCCTCGCCGAGAAAATTCCGGACATAGATTGTTACATGTCAATTCGAAATAGAGGTTCTCCATACCTTCCCCCAATCGGATTAGAAGCCGCAATGACCGAACACCTGGCATGCAGGGACGTAACGATCCCAGCCTTAGAAATCGAAATACTCTGTTGCTCCATCGCCTCATGAATGGACGTCCTATCCTGATCATTCATCTTATCGAACTCATCAATCAAGCAAATCCCATGATCAGCGAGCACCAAAGCCCCAGCCTCGAGAGTCCACTCCCTGGTAGCCGGTGATTTCCTCACATAAGCCGTCAACCCAACAGCCGACGCCCCCTGGCCCGTCGTAAACACTGCCCTCGGCGCAATCTTCTCCGTGTACTTGAGAAACTGCGACTTGGCGGTACCCGGGTCTCCGCACAAAAGCACATTGATATCCCCTCGAATCTTGTGTTTCCCCCCGGGGTTCTTCGACTCCCCTCCGAAAATGGCAAGAGCAAGTGCTCTCTTAATGTACTCATGACCATAAACCGATGGTGCGATGCTCGCAATGATCCTCTCGACAATTCTGTGGTCCTTCGAGAGCTTCAGAATGCTCGAGATGTCCTCTTCAGTGAGAGAATCAACAATCTCCTTCGAATCCTTGACGAAAACGTGATTCGCCAATAATACAGTAGAGAAAACCGGGAATCCCTGTTCAGTATTGAGAGATCCATCATAAGAGTTTGTGTAGATCGCAGTGAGATCAATCTCATCCCCAGGTTTGCATCGATCGCAAAGGTCAGCTAGCAGAATACAATCCTTGCTTCGGGGTATTCTACCCGCTGGGATTCTCCCCGGTGACTCTTGCACAGTAATTTTCTGGTAGTTCCTGTAGATCGTCTGCTCCATGTTCACCATGAAGGGCCCCACACTCTGGCACTCGGGGCAAGATCCAGGTTTGACCTCCGTATTCTGGTTCTGGACGAATGGCCCCAAGACGTATCCACACTTGGTACAATCGTACTTGACGACAGACAGCTGTGGGAGGACACCAGTGGTCGCTGTGACAACCCCAAGAGTTCTGACAAGCTGATTCAAGTGGAGTTTCCTGAAGGTTCTGAGCTCCTCGATCAGTGGGAGCTCGGAGATTCTCACGTGAATCTCAGAGGTCACACGCTCGTAACTTGGAAAGATGGTCAGGACGAGCTCCTTAGCCACTGCGTCGAAGATGTCGAGCATTTGGAAGGGCGCCTCTGGCAGGAAGTACGCGAGGACGTGCTCCTTGCTAGCGAGGACTGGGAATTCTACCACGAAAGACGACTGATTGCTCTCGCACATGTGACGGATTCGCTCCTTGTACATGCAGTGGCCTTTGGCGTCTGTGTAGGTACGGAGGAAGTTCTTGAAGCGATTTGTGATTTCCGTTCTTGGACCCAGCATCATCACCCATTCCTTCACACTGTGGCCTTTGGTGTCCTCCAGGTTCTCGATGGACTCGATCATCTCGGAGTCCTCGACTTCACCGGTTGCTGCCTTCTCTGCTCGTCTGCGTTTTGTTGCCTGGGTGTCGTCCTCGTCGGAGTCTTCGTAGAGGAGGTCGCGGTCATCGCGAAAGATCCCCGCGGCACGATCACGCTTGCGCATGGCGGCCTCCGCGGCTGCTCGGTCACCCTGGGAGAGCTCGGAGTACTCGTCGTCGTCCATCAGGGCGCGGTCGTAACGGTCGAGGGCCGGCATGGGGCGATAGTCCGCCTCCATGTTGTCGCCGAACAGCTCCTCGCCGTCGGCTTCCTCATCGTTGACTATGTCTTCTTGGGACATTGCGTCGTCACCGAGGAGGTCACCCTCGTCCTCGAAGGGCTCGTCTATCTCGGGGGCCGGGGACGTGGGAGCGTCTTGGCGACTGCGGGGAGGAGGCGAACTTGGCTCACTCTAGGACACGTAATTTTTTCGTTAGGGGATGATCGGCGCTTTTGATTTTTTAGAACAGGGAATTTCGGAGTTTTTATTTATTTTATTATTTATTATTTATTTTTATTCATTTTTTAGAACAGGGAATGTGCGATTTCTCAAGGTCTTTGTTTCTTATGGAAATGCCTTCTGTAAGGCTATGCATTCTAGAGAATGAAAATAAATTGAAAGTTGAGGGTGGTTTTGGTCTTGACACAGCTGCAAAATTTAGGAAAGGTATTCTTACACCGTTTCAATCGTTTTGCTGGATAAATATCTCTGGATTGACTGAAGTCGAAGAGTTTTTATCTTGTAGTCCAAAAGAAGAATTGCAGGAATGGTTTTCTATGGAATTTCTGTTCTCCTCAACGTTTTTGGCTGATTCTGTTGACATGTTCAATAGAAAACATTCAAGAGAAAAAGTCAACAGAACTCGATTTTTCTATATAACTTATTCTTTTCATATATTTTCTATGGACTTTGCTCGACTCAAATTTTCCAAGTTTTTTTCATTCTATTTTTCTTTTCTTCTCATCAAGGAAATCAAACGAAAAAACTTGGAAAATTTGAGCCGAGGAAACTTTATAGAAAATATCTCAATAGAATAAGTTATATGGAAAAATTGAATTCTATTGACTTTTTCTACTGAATATTTTCTATTGAACATTTCGATAGAATTGGCCAAAAACTAATAAAAATTCAATAGAATTTTCTAACGAATTCCATAGGTTTTTCCATTAAATTTTTTTGTCCGTGTAAATGAGCAAAGAAAAATTTGGTTTACCATTCCTCACAAGAATAGTCAAAAATGAGTTTTTGTTTCAATTTGAAAATCGTAGTCGTGACTAGTGTTTCAGAAATTGAATAACATTGTGGAAACATAAACAATTGAGGAAGAAATCGAAGTGTCTATTTTACCCCGTCTTTGCTTCACCTTACAACTCCTACGACACAGTCTTAGGACAATGTGTTGGTTTTATAAACTTCAAATGAAGTCGGAACAGTAGATTAAATCCAATTCATCTCATTATTTAAATCCGCTGTCCATATTGCCCCACCCTCCCCTAATTGTAAAAATAATTAGGGGAGGGTAAGGTAAAACTGACACTCGATTTTTTTTTGAAATAGGGGAGGTTGGGGTAAACCGGACCCTTTTGACTTTTTTAAAAATGTTAATGAGGGGTTGAAATGTTGATGAAATTTGATAATTTTTTTCTCAATACAAAAAACAATTCTTTCCCTTTGTGGCGAGCCTAACCTGAACTCAATTGATAAATTTGTTTCTGAATTATGCACAATTACAAAAAAGTCCAGTGTCCATTTTACCCCGCCCTTCCCTACTCATGACGTGTTGAATTGTTCATGAAATGGAATAATTTTATTTTTCAATTGAAAAACAACGATTTCTTTTTGTGATGAGCTTTGATTGAGTTCAATTGATAAATATGTTTCTGAGTCATGAATACTTTTTAAAAAGTCAAAAGTGTCCATTCTACCCTACCCTCCCCTATAAAAGTTAGCTCTCACCATTGTTCCTGCGTTTCTCGTGGAGATTCTCGACACAAACCAACAACTCAACTCTTCAAATGTCAATTATTGACTCTCTATGATTAAATTATCATCACAAACCGAAGGCACTCGTTTTTTCATGGACATTCAACTACTTTTAACACTAAATAATTACAATTCTACACTTTTTGTCATGGAGAAATCACCAAAAACGAGCGCTAAAGAAATAACAAACAACTCTCCAGTGGCTCCAGTATTTTGGCGGCAATAAACATAACCTCATTCGTAAAAGGCGCGAAAGCGTTAATATTTCAAGGCGCATCCACAAAATGGGCATGAGAATAAGTTTTGGCGGGAAATTGCAGTTCAAAAATTTTGCAAAAATAAAAATACAAACTTGACGAAAAAAAAATATTGCAGTCATTGTTTTTAGTAAGAAAAAGATCTAAAAATTATTTTACTATGAACAATTATCTTTATTGAATATATATCAGTGTTTTTTATTAATTAATTCGTGTCTCCAACGGACACCCAGCTCTCCCTTTACATTTACATTTGATAAAAAATTACATTATCATTATGATTTCGATGAGTCTTCTGAAGTTTAAAAAAAAATGTTGCAGTCAATTTTCTGTTGTTTACGGTTTTTTATTTAATTATAGGAACTGTAAAAAATTATCGCAAGTATTCGTTTAATGAAGAATCAAAGTGCACATTAGAGACACAAACACTTGTGTTTTTATCCTCTCTATGATTTATTTAATCCAGCAATTTGTTTCTTATCGTCTTTACTTACAGTTAAACTTATCTGATATATTCGTCCGAGTAAAACCATCGATATTAGTACGTTAACTACGATCGCTCATCTAGACTAATTTATTTCAATTTTTTTTTTCATTTTTTCACGTTTTATTTAGTTTTAATTCTTGGGCCTTATCCTAGGCATTACTTATATTTATTTTTCAAATTGATGCTACTAGAAAATTAATCATTTATAGGTCGTAAAGCAGTTGAATATTTCAGTTTTTTTCCTTTCAGAGTATTTGAAATTCTTAATCTATTTTTTTCTTTTATTTTAGTTTGAGAATAAGAAAATTATAGTTACTCACAACCGCAAACAGCAAATCGGTGGTTGAATTGAGGATTCATTGTGTATTTGGCACAGAAAAAATTCTAAATAATTTTTTCATGATGGAAAGTTGAATAATTATAAACACAAATTTGAATTCATGATTTAATCGAGAGAATTCGCATCCATAAATTCAAATTTCTGTTGTTTTTTTACTGTTTGCCATTTTTATAATTTTTTTTCTCTCTTCGAATGCAATTGATGATTGAAAATTTTGAAAATTTAATTATTACAATGAAAATTTTTCGATTGTTTTCATCAGTTTTAGATAAAAAAACTTTAGTTCAACTTTTAATTGAAAAGTTTTCCTGTTATTTGAATAATCATCACTTGAAGAATAGAAATTACTTTGTGTAAAAACGAAAGTAATTAATCAATTAATTAATTAATTGATTCATCGAAATGGTGGAGATGTCGAACAAATTTCATTCAGTTCATTTTTTGAATATCTCGGGAACTAGAGGATTTGAGGGAGAATATGCCAGTAGACCTCTTGGTGGAGAAAGATATTCCCCACAAAGAATGTTTCCGACATTTCCTGTTAAGAGGAGACTACTATGAGTTTTAAAAGTCGTGGGTTATTGGAGTGAGACTTTTCATACGTTAAAGATCGATTATATAGATCTAAAAACGAATAATTAGTACTAAAAAAAAAAAGTTTTTATTGTTCGTTTGCCCGAAAACGCTTAAAATGCCTAAAACAGTCCAGAGCCTCCAATTTTTAAGCTACGAAGGATTTTTTTTTTCAAAATTTTCGGAAAAATATGTGGAATAACAATTACGAGATAGTTTTTCTTAATTCGCCTCTTACATGGCTAAATTTGCTTTTTTGTATTTTTTTACACAAATAGTGAATTTTTTTATATGAAAAAACCGAAATCAGCTGTGTAGGAGTCGAATTCCAAAAAACTGGCTCGTAATTGTTGTTCCACACATTTTTCCGAAAATTTAAAAAAAAAAACACCTTTTGTAGCTCAGAAATTGGAGGCCCTGGTCTGTTTTTAGCATTTTAAGCGTTTTCGGGCAAACGAACAATAAAAAAATTTTTTTTTGCACTAATTATTCGTTTTGCGATCTATATAATCGATCTTCAACGTGTGAAAAATCTAGTAGTCTCCCCTTAAATACACTCGTTCCCCAGATATTCGCGGATGAAAAAAATGTGAAATTCTTCAATTTTCATCTTCTGACTTTCACTCCTCTATAATTAATCAATCGGTCAATTAATCAATTCCTGTGAGTACTCTGTCGACATCGAGGCAGTGATTGAACTCGTATACAGAAATAATCCCAACAGATCCTCAAACCCTCAACAAATCCCAAAAGGTCGATTAATAAACACCAGATCCATGATTATCGGATTAAATAACTTATAAATGTTTTATTCGTTTTCTCGTGTTTTTTCTTTTACTTTAGAAACTTATCTCACTAATTCGAATATTCATTAAATATTAATAATGGTATACATCGAAAAATTGGGAGCGGACCACTGGCTTTGAGCATTTAATCCATTTTATTATTTTACTGTTTTCTCCTCAGACATAAATTCAATGAAAAAATAGAAAAAAAATGAGAATAAAAAATATAGGGAAGAGTGATAGCACGAAGGGTTGACGAACGTGAAATAATTTGACACAGAGAGACGAAGAGCCATCGATTATCGACGCAAATCTTGTATGGGGATGATGTGAATGATTTTCAAATGGGGATGAAGAGTCAATCGAGCGGGCGAATCGCTGATCTCCGTGCGACAAAGTATTTCACACTGTCTCTACATAAATTGGAATAATTCGAGGGAATGTCTGACGACTTGATGATTTTTTCACTCTCCCGAAAGGTGAGAGACGTCGAGAATGGGTGAATTTAGCATTTGATGAATTCACTGATAAATTACCATTATCTCGGAGATGACGGGCTTTCGAAAGAAATGTCAAAGGAATTTTTTGCAGGGGATGAAATTCCCTACAAAAATGTCTGATGGCATTTTCCTCTGAAACCACTGGCTATCGAGATAAATCGACTTTACGTGAAAAATCGAGTACCTTTTCAAGTGTTTGTTAATTATCTAATCATCTCAACAATGCGTGATTTTCAGGAGAAAATATCAAGACAGTTTTTTTAACAAGGCGAAATTTCTCACAAAAAATGTCCCATGACACTTGCTTCTAGAACCCCTCGTCATTCGGACAATTTCATGTTTCGTTTGGTAAAATTTGTAAAATCGAGTTTGATGTAATGTTTTGTTGATTATCTCAGTAATAAGTGGATTTAGGAGAAAATGTTATGGAAACTTTTCCAAGCTGATGAAATTTCCTCCAAAAATCGCTCATCAAACTTTCCCCAAATCCCTCCCTTTCCGAGATAACTCAACGTGCAAGAAAACGTGATGAATGACGAAAACGAAAATGTCACCTCGTTGAACAGAGTTTATTTTAACCAGCAAAAACCGTTTTCCCCGACATTCGATGAACCACTGGGGGCAAAATGGATTACTCGGTGGTATTTGGAATCGACTATTTTCCTGGCTTTTAAACGAGGCTTTCACGTTCCAGATATTCATGAGAATGTACGATAGCACTGGGACACTGACATTACATCAACAATTACAGAACAATGAGAGTAAAGTGACAATCGGGGCTGAAAAAATACAATAATCCACCGCCCTCTAAGCGCCTAAACCTTACATACAAATAGAAATTCCTAAACGCTCACTTATGATTAATCTCCATCCAGGGTTGAGATTTTATTAAAAAATGAGTGGAATACTGCAGTGAAGTGGTGAAGAGTAAAAGGTTGAATTAATTTTTTTGTCAATGCGATTTATCCCAGTAACCATTTACTCTACGAGAAAATGTTATTAGATATTTTTTGCAGAGAGAAAATTGAATAATTGAATCAACTATTTCAATTAAAAGCAGAAATTGTTTGTCAATCAGAATAAAATTCATTTTTTACAGAGCATTAAATTCCCCGTGAAAATATCTTACGACGTTTAGTCGTAGCTCCACTCATTACCGAGATAATATTCGTCAAACCGTAGTAGTTACATTTCACCCCATCACAAGTAAATGAATCATGAAGTTATTTCCATCAATTATTTTAGTAAAAAAATTATTTGATTATGATCAATAAATCATTAAAATTATCGTGACTATTTTGACGTATGGACTCTCCGTGGACGGTCGCTGGCGACTTGGCTGTTTTTTTTTTCTGACTAATTATCACGTATTAAATAGAAAGCATCGACAGAGACGAAAAAAGATTGACGATTAAAAAAATAAAGCCCCTGCACTGCCTATTTGTCCAATGATTCGTTCTATATTAAATGTTCGTGGCTCTGTTATAATAATTATAAAATCACAGTTAATTTTGGAGACAGAAAATAATACAACAGACTTCAATCAAAAAGACTAAACGTAAATTTTTGAGGATTTGTTGTTAAATTTTTATTATTCGTTGAGGGATTTCGTTTTCAAGCGAAGGCCTAAGCAACGTTAGATGATAATCTTGTTAGTGAGGTTTAAGTACAGGTGAACAGATGGCATTGATAATTCATTGATTAATGATGAGTTTACGCTTTTGGCTGCTGGTTCCTTGTTTTTATTTTTTGATTCTCGGTGGACGAGTTAGGATTGCTTCTTCAGTCTTGAGTATCCGCGAGAAGTGAATGATTGAAGTATTATAATTGAGTATTATTGATTGATGATTAGTTAATTAATTAGTGAAGTTGAGATAGGGGGGAAAAGAACTCGGAAATATCATTGAGTTTTTTTTTTCAGAATATCTTCAGAGAGGAAGGGTTTCGAGAAAAAGGGCACGAGACATTCTTTGTAGAGAATGTCATTTTTTTAAAATAATGAAGACCAGAGACATACAAAAAACATCACGAAACCTGTTTTGCAGAGAATGAGAATGCCCACAAAAAATCTCCTCCCATTTGTCTCCAAACGCACTAGTTCCCGAGATATTTCCGCAGCAAACTGTTCAAAAAAAAATCCCCTCTTTAATCACCCCTTTGAAAATAATAGAAAATCCTAAACCATAAAAATTCGCACGAAAAACCAAATTTGGCACAGTTAAACAAAACCACCAGTCCCACCAACCAAAAAAAAAAACCGAACCAATACCCAAGAACCTTTGGAGGACCTCCAGTACACCATTCCTTACATTTTTCACTCCTTCACCTTTAAATATTAAGTATTGAATTGAGGGTTTGGATGGGTAATGTGTTCACGGGTTATGCATGAGGACATCTTTCTCAATTACTCAATTACTTTGTCACTTTGTTTTAATATTAAAAATCGAAGGGTTAAATTGTCGTCGTTTCATCTCAATTAATTAGGACGTCGCAGCAACAACGGCAACTGGTGGGACAACCTCAGGCTCAGCAGCCCCATCCACAATGCTCTCGACGACCTTCTTCACCTTAATGCTGTCCTTATCCTCCGAACTCTCTCCATTCTTCGTGGTTTCGTTACTGTCATTACTATTTCTGTGGGACTCGTCAGTCTCAGAGTTGCCATTAACTTTTTTCTCCTCGCTCTTCTCCTTCTTCTCCTCCTCCTCCTTCTTCTCCTTCTTCTCCTCCTCCACCTCTTTCACATCCTTCTCCTTAACTTCCTTGACTTCCTTGGCTTCCTTATCCTCCTTGGGTACCTCCTTCTCAGGCTCCTTGACTTCCTCCTTCTTACCATTGACCTCAGCCTTCACAACTTTTGTCTCTTCTATCGAAACCTCGACCTTGGATTCACCGTTCTGCTTGACTTCCTCTCCATTCTCCTTCTCCACTTTCTCCTCTCCTTTCACCTCCTGAGGTGCATCCTGAGGCTTGTCAGTCTTATCCTGAACCTTCTCAGGATTCTCCACAGCCTTCTCCACCACTTTCTCCTCTTCTTTCGTCTCCACAGGCTTGACCTCCTTGGATTCCTCGGGCTCTGGTTTTTTCACCTCAGCCTCTGGTTTTTTCACCTCAGCCTCTGGTTTTTTCACCTCAGGCTCGGCTTTCTTAACTTCAGGCTCAGGTTTAGCTTCCTCTGGCTTCTCCTCAGGTTTCTCCGGGAGATTTGGCTCTGCTGGGGTCTTGGACTCGACCTCTGGGGTCGTCTTCTCAGATGCAACTTTCTCCTCCTCTTTTGGCTGTGACTCGGATTTCTCGACTTCCATTTTCTCAGGTTCCTCGGGCTTTGGGGACTCTGAGGCTTTCTCAGGGGCTGGAGATTTCTCTGGGGACTTTTCTGGGGCCTTTGTGGCCTCTGGGGCCTCTGGAGTCGCAACAGGGGCTTTGGTGGTGTCTGGCTCAGGGGTTGCTTTCAATTCTTTAGGTTTTGTCTCGGTTTCTGGAGCTTTTTCACTTACATCTGTCATCTCTACGTCCTCAGGCTCAGCCTCAGGTTTTTTTTCAGTTTCAGTTTTTTTTTCTGTCTCAGTTTGTTTTTCTGTTTCAGGTTTTTTCTCTGTCTCGGGTTTTTCTTCATCTTTTTTCGGGACTGGCTCCTCCACTTTCTGGCGTTTTATGGGGGTCTGGAAGGTAATGTCCAGGAAGGATTGGACAGTGGGGTATGTGCTCTTCTCCTCGACGGTGAGGGGTGTGTTTCCTTCGCGGATTACTAGGACTGAGGAGAGGCCTGCCTCCACTGCTGCCTTTGCTTCGTTCGGAATGTCGGTGAGAAAGAGGACATCGGAGGGGGTCGCAGACAGCTTGGAGAGGATCGTTTTGTAGCTGGAGGCTTCCTGTTTGGGGCCAACTTCGGTGTCGAAGTGGTCGGCGATGTGGGGGAGGAGATCTCCGTGCGTACTGTGGGCGAAGAGCAGCTTCTGGGCTTCCACTGAGCCACTCGAGTACACGTAGATCTTCTTGGTGGAGGCCCAGGACTCCAGGGCCTTTGGAACGTCGTCGTAGACGCTGGAAGAAAAATTTTGGGGTTAGAGTGTTGATGAATTTGGAAAATAGGTCTGAATAATCGAAATTACATAGGGGAGGGTAGGGTAAAATGGACACTTCTGACTTTTTTTAAAATATTCATGACGTTTTGAATTGTTCATGAAATGGAATAATTTCATTTTTCAATTGAAAGAGGATTCCTCTTTGTGATGAGCTTAGACTGAGCTCAATTGATAAATCGGTTTCCGAGTTATGAATATTTTTTAAAAAGTCAAAAGTGTCCATTTTAACCCACCCTCCCCTAATAATAATCCGATAAAATTTAAGTCTCCAATTCTGTGATTTATTCTAGTCATTCTATGAACAGACAAGGAGAGAAATCGAATTTATGGGTATTCTTGCAATATTATTCGAAAAAATATATCGATTTTAGAACTTTCCGGAGACATTGAAAAAAATTTTTTTTTTATTTCTTCCTGCCTACGTTTTTTGCGGTTTTTCCACTTCTTCTATTCGAAGAAAAGCAGTGATTCCATGTTTTCACCGACACAAATGAAGAAAAACAAATTTTCTCCATTTTCTAGTCGATCATCCTTTTTTAAAAAATTTCAGTCTTCAATTTGTGATTTTTGCAATTCATTGCGATTTAGGTAATTCTATTCATTCTATCAAAAGACAAGAATAGAAATCGCATTTATGGGTATTCTTTCATTATTCGAAAAAAAATCGATTTCAAAACTTTCCGGAGACATTGAAAAATTATTTTTTTTATTTCTTCCCGCCTACGTTTTTTGCGGTTTTTTCAATTCTTCTCGTTAAAATTAGATCATAAAATTTCAAACATTTGCCTTCCGCCCATATTCGAAGAAAAAACAGTCATTCCATGTTTTCACCGACACAAATGAAGAAAAATAAATTTTCTCCATTTTCTAGTCGATCATCCTTTTTTAAAAATTTTCAGGCTTCAATTTGTGATTTTTGCAATTCATTGCGATTTAGGTATTTCTATTCATTCTATCAAAAAACAAGAATAGAAATCGAATTTATTGGTATTCTTTCATTATTCGAAAAAAAAATTGATTTGAAAACTGTCTTGAAATTGAGAGATATTAAAGGAAAGAATAACCACGTTTGTTAATTTGTCATAGGTCCGATCTTTTGCTAAATATTTTGGCTTCGTCAGGCTCTGGAAAGAGGTATGAAATTTCCTCTTTGGTTGCGCTATCCTCTCCAGAAATTAAAGAAGCTAAAATATTTGGTGAAATGTCGTACCTATGAGAAATTAGCAAAAGTGGTTATTTTTTTTCTCCAAAATCCCTTGATTTTATACCTATAATAACTGTTGGAGATGTCTATTTCATTTTTAAATATTTGGTGTTTCACTCTACACTGAGAGAAAAACAAACACGTTGTTAAACAAGTCTTGTTTGGGCCAACAAAATCGCTAGTTGAAAATTGCCAAAAAAGAATTTGTTTGCTTCGAATTTGAAAGTCTCAAACATGAATAATTGTTCTGCTTTCGACAGCAACGAAATATTTGGCTCAAGAGGTGGATAATTCACACCAGACTGTGCCTTTTCAGGATGAAAATATCTCATATAGAGGAAAATTTATCAACAAATATTTTATCCCTACGTTACAAGATTGCTATCATATCATTATTATTGTTTCATTTAAGGGTTCATTTCTGGTCTGTGATTATTAGACAACCGAAACGAAAAACTACTATCTCTTGTTCCGCATAAAACAACGATTTTTTGGGAACAAAATACGTATGGGAGTATCGAATAACGAAGGAGTAGTGCTAGAAATGACATTTTTTGCGTGTACAGAGAATGCAATTTTTTTTTAACTACTAAATCTATTTTTGCGACAAAAAATTTCATTCCGGCGCACTCTCTGCATGTTTGGCAAAAAAAAAAATACTTTTTTGATAATTTTCAAAAAACTATTTTCTTGCCACAAGTAAGACTTGTTTGAGAACTTAGTCGTTTTTCTCTCAGAGTATTGAAATGAAAAACGACACAGCATTTAGTACTGTATTGCAGTGTTCAACTCTGTTGATGAATATGAAATCGAAAAAGAACTGTTTTTCACGATAAAAACTTCAATTACTCATATTAAGTGTTAATATTGAGCAATGAAAGTTAATATTTAAATGGTTTTGTCTTTTCCACGTAATTAGGTGTAGAGCTATTTCAAGAAATTTCATCATTCATAGCCATGAAAATTTTAAATTGTAATTCCAATAGGCTCTCTAGAGCTAAACACGAATTTATGAAAATCGAAAATAAGATATGGAATGTTTCATCACTAAAAAATAAGGTTTGAAATAGTTATTTCAACGTGATTACTCTACGCAACTGAGGAATAGTTCTTTACTTTCCTGTTCCCAAAACCGAAACGAAAGAGATATTTGATATTATATTCTATCAGAATGAAAAATAAAATAGTATTTCCTATTTGCTTTCGATATTCGTTCATCTTAATGAATGTGAAATAGATTTTTTTTCTACGACAAAACTATCAACCACTCAACATATTTTATTGTATTTTCTTCATCTAATTATTATTATATTATTCTAGCCAGTTCTGATGTCCATTCGTTTTTTTTCAATAATTCTCATTATGAATGATTGCATTCAATTAATAAGATTTAAAAAACAATGGATGAATGCACAGGGAGGTTTCGATATTGACTTGGATTGCAGTTCCTCCTGAGAATTGAACATTCAACTAAATGATATTTTTTAATAAATTGCGTGGAAATAAAATTAATATTATAAAATCTGCATATTTAAGTTTTTAGTTTTGAAATGGTCACGATATTTTTTTTCTTCAGAGAGAAAACTCTCTTTGTGGAAAACTACTTGGGGAAATCTAGGGAAAGGGACTGAATGCAATTTTTTTAGGTGAACAAAAAATTGAGTTTGTGAAATTGAGGAACCAGTCACGTTTTTAGGATGAACTCGGCGAATTTTTGAAACTTACTGGCCCTTGACTGCACCAGACTTGTAGGCCTCTCGCCACATGTGACCTTGAAGCTGCTTGAGAGCACTGGTCTTGCGATCATTGTCCATTTGCCAGAGAACATTCTTCACGAGTGTTTCCTTCTCCTCCTCGGGTGTCCCAGAAGTTATGGCAATCACTCCTTCAACCTTATCAGTCTCATCTTTTTTCGCCTTAAAATTGAAAACATGGGATTTAAAAAACATCCCGGACCTTTCAAACATGAATTTATGAGAAGGAACGTGCAAATTACTTTACGAAGATCTTTGCCAGAAGAAGGTTCAGAGAAAAATGTTAAGGATATGTTTGTTAAAAGTTTCAAAAATATCTCTGGCCATTTTTATTAAATTCATGCGTTTCAAAAATATTTACAGAATATATAATCCAAAATTGTCTAAAGTGTTATATTTATTCCCTGAATTTTGCAAATGTGTTTAGAAAGACGAGATTGAAGAAGAAAACTCAAAAGACAACTTTTGCAGACAATTTTATTGGCTACAATTTTTTTTTGACTTTTTTTCCTTAACTAATTCATTTGCGTAATGAACTGCAAATAATTTTTCTCTTCAACACTGTATTATTAAATAAATTATCCTCAAATCCCTAATTATCAACAAAATCAATTCCTTTAATTTCCCCTGAAGATGACAACTAAAAAATAATCAAATTACTTATTTGGAGCTGTCATTACTTCACAAAGATCTTTGCCAGAAGAAGGTTCAGAGAAAAATGTCGAAGACATGTTTGCTGAAAGTTTCAAAAATATCTCTGGCCATTTTTATTAAATTCCAACGTTTCAAAAATATTTACAGAATATATAATCCAAAATTGTCTAAAGTATTATATTTATTCCCTGAATTTTGCAAATGTGTTTAGAAAGACAAGATTGAGGAAGAAAACTCAAAAGACAACGTTTGTAGACAATTTTATTGGCTACAAATTTTCTTTGACTTTTATTCCTTAACTAATTCATTTGCGTAATGAACTGCAAATAATTTTTCTCTTCAACACTGTATTATTAAATAAATTATCCTCAAATCCCTAATTATCAACAAAATCAATTCCTTTAATTTCCCCTGAAGATGACAACTAAAAAATAATCAAATTACTTATTTGGAGCTGTCATAAGTGTAATCCTCAGAATTTTTCTTCAAGCATAACTTTAAAATTCCGAGAATTACAAAAACGTCTCTTTAATGTATTGTTGGGCCAGTAGGGAATTGGGTCCTCATTATTCATGCAGAGACCGGCGAGATTGACTGGATCTTTTCTGGGACAAAGGAATCGGTTAAGTCCCAGGTCAGAAACCTCAGCCAGCTGTTGCCCCCCACCGCTTTCCCCGCATTCACCAATTTCTCCATCCCCTCAGTGACCCAGGACCCATAGCCCACCCGTATTCCAAAAGAAAATTTTAGATATTCTCAAGACAATTGGCAACTGCCAGGTGTTCCCAGTCCCTCGTCAAACTGCCAACCAATTTTGGATCAATATTTTTGGCAATTCTGTACGGAGGACTTGGGGATTGTGCAGGAATTGGGTGAAATAAATTTTAGGGGAGCTGCTTACCTGCTCTTTGAGCTTCTCAAGGTCCTCTTTGAACTCGGCATTCTCCCAGTTCTTCTCGACGTAGTCCTTTAAATGCTCACGAACATAAGGAAACAGTGTCTCCTGAAAAAGAAAATTTAAAGGTACTATTTCACGAAACTCAAATGGAAATACCATTTCAAATGACTTATTATGGTGAAATGTTATTGGACATAGATATTTGATTCATTCCTTTTTCCAAAAATCAAATGAAATGATTATCCCCATTTTGTTGGACTACTCGACTATTTCGATGAAAAGTATTAAAATGGGGTTTTCATATTGAAAACCGATTTTTTTTCTATTTCAAATGATGAAATGCAATCGTTTCCGGAATTTTCATCAGATATTAAATAATTTTTTTTCTGGCTACTATTTTATTTGCAATATTTCCACGATTGAAAATGACAAGTGTGCCAAACTCTTTGAATTTTAGTTCGGCTGTCATGAGTGATGACTCTGAAATTCTAATTATTTTAGAGTGAAGGATATTCTCCACATACGCATGTTGAAAATGTCTATAAAACCAATGGATTGAGACAACAATGTGCTGTTTTTTTCGTTGAGAAATGATTTATAGGAGAAAGACCTGGAAATCTGAAGGAAATATTTATTTCGTTCATCGAACTGAAAAATCTCCAGAGAAATCATTAAAAATTCGGATTAATATTGACCTTTAAGATGATATACATTTGAGCCCTCAAAAATGATTTGTGTGTAAATTCGATAAAAATATGAGAAGCTCCTAGGGGAATTAACATGGGAGTGCCCGAAAATCTAGTGACTCTCAGGATGAAAAGGTTTATTAATTTGTTCCATACAGGTGACCTTTTAAATATCTCGGACACTAGTGGGTTTTTACAGAAAATTGTCAGATTTATTGAGGGAATAACTCTTGAAAACTTGTTCAGGAGTTTAATATGGACAATTTTCGTGAATATCTTTAGACTTGACAAATTTTGAGAAAAATGTAAAAAGAAAAACGATTTTCTATCAAAACGCCTTTCGGTAAATTATTGTGCAATGAACTGTTGCTATACTAGTTTCAAAATTCCGTACACATTCATATTTATGGAAAAGTTTATTTACTAAAAACATATCTCAATGAATTTGCCTAGATAACGTCTTCATTTCATGTGCATTTATTCAAAAATTCAGTACAGGCCGTTTTGCAAACATGTCTGGCACTTGGGAATTCACAGGAGAGTATCAATTTTTTTTTTTAAATAAAATTTTCCAGAAACAAATGTCTGAATAAATTCCTTCAAAAACCCCTTCCCCAAAAATATTAATCGAAACGCTAAAAACCTCTCCAATTTTTTTTCCAAACTTTAAAAAAACCAAAAGTTGCTCATTTTTTAAATAAAAATCAATGCCCATTTTTCCAACAAAAAAATCTCTCCACCAGTGTTTTACATATTTTATCTTCATTCCACGTACATTTCTTCCAAAATTCAGTACAGGCCGTTTCGGAAACATCTCGGACACGTGGGGATTCACAGGAGAGTGTCAAATTTTTTTTTAGAAACTAAATTTTCCACAGAAAATATATCTGAATAAATTCCTTCCAATCTCCTCCCCAAAAGAATTCATCGAAACGCCAAAAATCTCTTCAATTTTTTTCGAAACTTTGAAAAAACAAAAAGTTGCTCATTTTTTAAACAAAAATCAATGCCCATTTTTCAAACAAAAAAATGTCTCCACCAGTGTTTTACATATTTTATCTTCATTCCACGTACATTTCTTCAAAAATTCAGTACAGGCCGTTTCGGAAACATCTCTGACACGTGGGGATTCACAGGAGAGTGTCAAATTTTTTTTTAGAAACTAAATTTTCCACAGAAAATATATCTGAATAAATTCCTTCCAATCTCCTCCCCAAAAGAATTCATCGAAACGCCAAAAATCTCTTCAATTTTTTTCGAAACTTTGAAAAAACAAAAAGTTGCTCATTTTTTAAACAAAAATCAATGCCCATTTTTCAAACAAAAAAATGTCTCCACCAGTGTTTTACATATTTTATCTTCATTCCACGTACATTTCTTCAAAAATTCAGTACAGGCCGTTTCGGAAACATCTCTGACACGTGGGGATTCACAGGAGAGTGTCAAATTTTTTTTTAGAAACTAAATTTTCCACAGAAAATATATCTGAATAAATTCCTTCCAATCTCCTCCCCAAAAGAATTCATCGAAACGCCAAAAATCTCTTCAATTTTTTTCGAAACTTTGAAAAAACAAAAAGTTGCTCATTTTTTAAACAAAAATCAATGCCCATTTTTCAAACAAAAAAATGTCTCCACCAGTGTTTTACATATTTTATCTTATTTCACGTGCATTTCTTCAAAAATTCAGTACAGGCCGTTTCGCAAACATCTCTGGCACGTGGGGATTCACAGGAGTGTCAATTTTTTTTTTATAAACTAAATTATCCACAGAAAATATATCTGAATAAATTCCTTCAAATCTTCTCCCCCAAAAAAATCCATAGAAACGACAAAAATCTGTTCTTTAAAAAAACCAAAAGTTGCTCATTTCTTGAACAAAAATCTCTCCCCCAGTGTCTCTCATATTTCCTGTAACATTTTCTAAAGGGCCTTCGAAAACCGAAAGCCCAATCATCGAACTCTAAAACATTGATCCTCGGAATCAAAATGTGCTCCAAAATGCCATGTGCTCCCTTCCCACCCCTCAGTCCCCAAAAGGCCCTCAACTTCCAAAAACACGGGCTCGTCGTTTATTTACCGTACCCTCCCCCCTGGCCCACCGCCCAATGACCCGAGTAACCTTTCCCACCCCTCTCCCCTCGCCCCTAAAAACCTCAAAATCCCCCAGCCCCTTGAAACCTTGAAAATAGATTCTCGAAACCAAAAAAGCCCTCAAAGACTGCCGTCCCCATCCCCCATCCTAAAATCCTCCCCAACCATCTCATCAACAAACCCAGATCAATCCCGCTTCTACCCCGCCCTCGTCACCCCCCCCGACCCTCGCAACCCCTCAAAATCTCGCTCAAAATCGGCGAAAAATCTCGGAAACCTCTCGATCCCCAACCGCCACCTGGCCCAGGCCCTTGAAAAAACCGAAAAAAAAATCCCGAAATGCTCCCCTTCCCCCATCCCACCTTCGATCCTTCGCCTCACCGAACTGGTTTTTCGCCGGCGTTACCCAGCCCCTGCGAACGAGAACGAGCGCAATGGAAGACCGGACTAAAAAAAACTCGGAAAAAACGACGAGAACCCCCTCCCCCCGTCGAAAAAGCCGAAATCTCTCGGAAAAAAGCCCGGAAAAAGCCCCCAGAATCGTACTATCAGAGTAAATGACGTCAAAATCCTCGAGAAATAAAGGCAAACGGCCATGCTCTTTGTTACCTTCACGAAACTGATGCTAGTGGTCGTCCCCTCGATGTCAACGATAACGATATTTTCAGTGCGTTGTGCCTCCTCAATATCTTGACTGCGCTTCTCACCTGCCATTTTACCTCGACTCGTTAATTATCACTGGTAATTGTCAATTGTAACAGCTAAAAACAAATCGCATTGACGAGTTTTTTTTTCCCTTTTTTCTTTTGGTTTTTCACACGCGCGACGACGAGACGTTGACTCTCCTCTTATTTTCTTGGATGTCTGTGTCTCTGTGTAACCCCCGGTTTCGACGCCGGCGAGTTGGGTACCCCCACCACCCCGGCCGGCCAAAGACCGGTACCCGCCAGGGACGGGCGAAAAAGCCCCCATTTTCTCCATTTTTTTCCATTCACGTCCCCCGCATTTCTCGTCATTTCTTGGGGTTTGCTGATTATTCATTGCACTTCAGGGGGTGCGAGGGGGCTTGGGGGGGCCTGGGAGAGGGTTTTCGGCGGCGGTTTGGAGCGCGGAGGACCCCCGGGGGACGGGTGGTTGCGCCGGCACTGAGTCTCGTCACTCTGGAGACGAAATTCGTGAGATTGTGTGCGAAAAAGGCGATAGGGGATAGGGAGACTGCGTGTGTGTACGTGAGGCGGTGAGGTGGCACGACCAATGGGACTCGACCTCGATGGGGCAATGCACCCTCGCCAATCACGACGGTCACTACGCCGGGAACACTTTTTCGAGGGTTTTTCAGGGGTGAGGAAGAGCGGGCGGGGGATTTTGGATTTTGGCGATTTTTGACGGGCGGAAGGGGGACACAACGGCAGGGGGGGATTGGGGGGTGTTGGGGGGGCTGGGGAGGGGAGGACCACCCGGTGTGTGGTGTCCCTCCGCGAAAGTAGTTCCGGGTATATCATTTTTTGGGGGTTCGGGGGCTTGGAGGGGATTTTTTTGGAATTCGCGGGGGAGGGGGAGCGGGTTTTGGAAATGCTGACAGGGCGGGAAGGGGCATGCGCAAGGGGGGGAAACTGCGCGAATTTTTAAAGGTGGGATTTTACGTTTGGGATTGGGGGAGGGAATTTGGTTGAGGGGATTTATTCGAAAATCCAGTACAGGCCGTCTCGCAAATATCTCTGGCACGTGGGAAGTCACAGGAGAGGGTCAATTTTTTTTTTAATTAAATTTTCTACAGGAAAATGGATGAATAAATTCCTTCAAACCCATTCCTGGGAAATATTCATCGAAACGACTACAATCTGTGAAATTTTGTTTCCAAACTTTAAAGGTGGGATTTTAAGTTTGGGATTGGGGGAGGGAATTTGATTGAATGAATTACGAAGTAATTGGAAGATGTTTTACGAGATTGGAATTTTTCATTGTTCATTGTGGAGAAGTAGTATTCTTTGTTTTTATTATTCAATTTCTGAAACTTTAATCATGACTGCGATTTTCACATTGAAAAAAAACTCATTTTTTACTTTTGTCGTGAGGGGTTGTAAACTAAATTTTTTCTTTGCTCATTTATTCTTCCCTCCCCCCACTGTTTTATGGTAATTTCCTTTGTAAGTAAGAAAATAGTCATCTTACAAATTTCGTAAATGGACAAAAAGCCAGTTGTGTAGGGTGTGCAATTGTTCATTGAAAAAAATTAATAATTTCAAAGTTATTTCAATAGTAAAACAGGAAATCCAAAGCTACTCTATATTTCACACTTCAAGGCAAAATTTAATAGAGTTGAAGTTTATTTGTTAATATCTCTTCCAACTCGCATTTCTCTCTATAAAAAGATACCGCACGATTCTGTTGGAGAATGTCTGTTGAAAATTTTCTTGATTAAAAGTTGAATAAGGCCTGTGCATTTTACCCCACTTTTGAATAATTTTTTGATTGTGGGCTTTGCTAAGAAACAATTTTCAAAAGCTTGAATTTAAAAAAAAAAAATTCGCCAATTTTTTGAGTATCCATTTTACCTCAGATGTCCATATTGCCCCACCCTCCCCTATACACGAGTAATATTATCGAAAGGGTGAAATAATCAGTACGATTTTCATTTTCATTTATTTATGAATTATTCAATGCAAGTTGAAATCGTCCAGAAATTAATCCCCGTCCAGAAAGGGACCTCTTTACCCTACTCATTTATTCCTATTTTTGGAACTGAAGAGAAATTAAGTTGTATTTCCTATTTTACTCCGCTATTCAACTATTTTGATGAATATAAAACAGTAGAATTTGCATTTCACGTCGAAAATCTCATTTATTCGTGTTATGCGTAGTTCGGGGGAGACAACACGGGGGAAAAGATTTAATAGAAAAACCTATCGAATTCGTTAGAAAAGTCTATTGAATTTCTATTGAACTGTTCTATCAGTTTTTGGCCGATTCTATTGAAATGTTCAATAGAAAATATTCAGTAGAAAACTCAACAGAATTCAATTTCTCTATATAACTTATTCTATTGAGATTTTTTCTATAGAATTTCCTTGGCTCAAATTTTCTAAGTTTTTTCGTTTAATTTTCTTGATGAGAAGAAAAGAAAAATAGAATGGAAAAAACTTGGAAAATTTGAGGCGAGCAAATTCTATAGAAAATATATGAAAAGAATAAGTTACATAGAAAAACCGAATTCTGTTGACTCTTTCTATTGAATGTTTTCTATTGAACATGTCAATAGAATCAGCCAAAAACTAATAGAAAGTTTAATAGAAATTCAATAGAAATTTAAAAATTTTCTAACGAATTCGATAGGTTTTTCTATTAAATTGTTTCGTGCGTAAACTTGTCCCCCTGATTTGAATATTGCAATATTTCGAGGGATTTCACAGAATTTCATAAAATCGTCAGAAATCCTCGAAGAATTTCAAAGGATTGCAGAGAATTTCATAGCGAAATCTCAATAAAAGACAAGCGCATCTACATATGGAACTCAGCAATTACGCTTGTCGGTTCTTAACAAGATGGTCACTCCTTAATCGAGTGACTCAGTGATTTCCACAATCAGATGATTTCCTGTGATTTCCTGTTGATTTCTGTGATTTCTCGAATGATTTTTGTGATTTCTCAATCAGCATTAGAAATCATGATTTTTTTTGATTTCTTGTGATTTCCATGCTTTCTAGGAGATTTGAATGGTTTCTTGATTTCAAGAAATCCCTGGAGAAATTATGATTTCGGGACCAGAGTGGGGCATCTGTCGATAGCTATTGATTTCCTAACGAATTCGATAGGTTTTTCTATTAAATTTTTTCGTGCGTAAACTTGTCCCTCTGATTTGAATTTGCAATATTTCGAGGAGTTTCAAAGAATTTCATAAAATCGTCAGAAATCCTCGAAGAATTTCAAAGGATTGCAGAGAATTTCATAGCGAAATCTCAATAGAAGACAAGCGCATCTACATATGGAACTCATAGCAATTACGCTTGTCGGTTTTTAACGAGATGGTCACTCCTCAATCGAATGACTCAGTGATTTCCAGAATCAGATGATTTCCTGTGATTTCCTGTTGATTTCTGTAATTTCTCGAATGATTTTTGTGATTTCTCAATCAACATTAGAAATCATGATTTCTTTGATTTCTTGTGATTTCCATGATTTCTAGGAGATTTGAATGATGTCTTGATTTCAAGAAATCCCTGGAGAAATTATGATTTCGAGACCAGAGTGGGGCATCTGTCGATATCTATTGATTTTCTAACGAATTCGATAGGTTTTTCTATTAAATTTTTTCGTGCGTAAACTTGTCCCCCTGATTTGAATATTGCAATATTTCGAGGGATTTCAAAGAATTTCATAAAATCGTCAGAAATCCTCGAAGAATTTCAAAGGATTGTAGAGATCTTCATAGCGAAATCTCAATAAAAGACAAGTGCATCTACATATGGAACTCATAGCAATTACGCTTGTCGGTTCGTAACAAGATGGTCACTCCTCAATCGAGTGACTCAGTGATTTCCAGAATCAGATGATTTCCGATGGTTTCCGGTGATTTCCTGTTGATTTCTGTGATTTCTCGAATGATTTTTGTGATTTCTTAATCAGCATTAGAAATCATGATTTCTTTTGATTTCTTGTGATTTCCGTGATTCCTAGGAGATTTAAATGATTTCTTGATTTCAAGAAATCCCTGGAGAATTTAGATTTCGGGACCAGAGTGGGGCATCTGTCAATAATGGCAGTTTTCTATTGACGTTACAATACGTAAAGATGTCCACGTATGAAAAAATGCTATAAGATTTCCCATAGGATTTCCTATAGGAAGTCCTGTGGAGAATTCGAACATTTCTTATAGGATTTTACTGATAGGATTTCCCGTCGAATCTCGCACAGGATTTCCTATAGGATTCCCTATAGAGTTTCCTATTAGATTTATGATCCTAATCCTGACCCTTGTGACCGATTGGTTTTGAGTCTCAATTTTGCGTGTTACTTTCTATAGAAAGCCCTATAGTGAATTCTATAGGAAATCCTACAGAAAATCCTATAGGAAATCCCACTAGAAAAATCCTATAGGAAATGTTCGAATTTTCCATAGGATTTCCTATAGGAAATCTTATAGGATATCCTATAGGCAATCCTATAGAATTTTTTCATACGTGATCAAAAAGTTCATAGCGCCACATTTTGGGATAGGGTGATTTCGAATGCACCGATACCATAACAAAAATTGTCCAGTTGAAACTGCAAAATCAATTTAGATTTTACACTTATTGATGATTTCTAATGATTTCGGAAATCAACTGATTTCTTTCCGATTTCTACTGATTTCCGATTATTTCTAGAAATCTTTAGAAATCACCACCGAAAATGGAAATCATTTGAAAAATGATTAAAACATTGATTAAAATTGATTAAACCTTGACGATACCTTGGTTAAACCCTGATTAACCTCCGACTAAACTCCGACTAAACCATGATTAAGTCTCCATTAAATGCTTTTTAACCCTAGACTGGTCACCACGCGAGGGAATTGCCGCAACACGTCGTTTTATTCACCTTGCCATCGGCTGGTTGACCGGAAAAATTTGAGAAAAATTGAATTCGTCAATTGAAGTATCTGGAAAATTCTAGTATTTTTTTTCAATATTGTATCCTTAATTTTGGGAGAAAAAAAATTATTTCCAACAGGTGAACAATTTTTTCCCGCGTTAAATGAAATTGCCTGTTGCGCGACGTTGCTGGGAACTCGCTAAACGCACCCAGGAAGTGTAGAGTGGATTCGGCAACGCTGGAGCCTAAATAACACGGCGGCACGCTTCCGCGAAGGTGACTAAAGTCGTATTTTCCGTCAGTTGACCGACTAGGGTTAAGGTTATAATTTCATAGGAAATGATGCGATCGCCGCTATCTTTGAGCTCGACCGACATAATATCCAAGAGAATATTTTAAGCCATAATTGAAAAGATTTCGATGAGTATTTTTTGAATGATCGTTGATAAACTAAATTTGAAAAAAAGCTCACATACGTACATACATAGGGACATAATCTAAAAACAACTTATTCAAACTCCTGAGACCAAAATTAGTCATCGTCACACAACAAAATGGAAATTTCAGATTTGACGAATACATTGCTTCCGTTCGGAAGCAAAAACTCAAAAATCGTTCTATCGATATTGATCGAAATCTAATCAGCTGTGAGTTAAGATTGATCGATTGGGTCATTGACCGCACACATGTCGAAAATGGGCGAAAGTCGATGGGGAGATCTTGAAATGTCAACATTTGATAAAAAACGAAAATCATCGAAAAACGAAACGAAAAACATTAAGAACAATTACTCAACTAATTATTCAATCAGCAATCTTGAATTGAAATTTGATTTGTCATTTTAAGATCAGGAGGGATTATCTTTCGAACGTTATCTCGGTTGTTTTTCCATCTTCATAATCGAAAATATATCACAATTTACATTGAATTTTACATCACACACGAGTGCGTAAAAATTATGATTGTACAATCGGAAAAAGGTTTCCAAAGAACTTTTTTTATAAATATCAAAAATTAAATAAGTCCACTAGGGAGGAAATCGTAAGTGGATAATTTATCATGGCCATTATGGTTACTATGACAAATCACGATCTAACAGCCATTAGAAACCGTAAATTTTTAATTTGCAATTTCCACATCATCGGATTTATTTCACACTATTATGCAAAAATGCTCTTTGAAAATGTTCAGATTTTCTCAACGTTTTTTCATAATTTTTGGAGACTCCATGAAGGGACATCCAAACGAATTTTTTTAAGCCATCATTCAATCAATTCAGAACATTTTTTTTAGTTATCGTGGAACAACCGATTTTCGAAAAAAATCAAAAATTAAATAACTAATCGATGAATTAAATTTTAATTAATGGCGGTCGATAGGGTTCAATAATATCTACATTTGAAAAAAATGGATTCAATTCCATTCATTTATTAACCAACAATTGATGAGAAACTTTACCACACACATACATATGTATGAAAAGATTGAATAGAAAGCAGCGAATTCACTAGAAAATTCTATTGAAATTCTATAGGAATTCTATGCCGTTTCTATAGGATTTCTATTGAAAAATTCTATTTGTTTTTGCGCTAATTCTATTAGATGCTTGACAAGAAAACATCAATAGATTTCAAATTTCTGTTACATAACTTTTCTCTTGAGATTTATTCTATATTAGCATTATCGGGCACAAATTTTCTGAGTTTCTTCCGCTGGATTTTGTTTTGTTTTGCATTACAGAATCCGAGCGGAAAAAGCCTAGAAAATTGATGTCCAATTGGACAATTGGCTTAAGCCAGTGATAGGCATGTCAATCAATCATAATTACCGTTAAATTGTGAAGTTGTCAATTTTTAACATAAATCTTAAAAATTTTAAATATCAAAGGAACCATCAATTTGTACCTTTAAATTTCGAAATATTCTATCAACTAATAATTTCGGTAGGAAGATTGACGATTATTTGGATAATCGAAAATCAAATAGGGGAGGGTGGGGTAAACGGACAGTTTAGACTTTTTTAAAATTATTCATAACTCGGAAATAAATTGATCAATTGAGCTCAGTTTAGGCTCGTCACAAAGGGAAAGAATTATTCTTTGTATCGAATAAAAAATTATTAAGTTTTATCAACATTTCAACCCCTCATTAACAATTTAAAAAAAGTCAAAAGTGTCCGTTTTACCCCAACCTCCCCTACCTAAAGTTAAAATTAACTTGTTGACTAAAGAATTACGTTTCATTATTATCAAATATTTTATGAAATAGATATAATATAATTCTATAATTTTTTAAATTTGTTAAATATAGTCAAACTTTGAATAATATAAAGAGATAATCCTTTTTAATATTGTCAAAATTTAATATTATTGCTTATTCCTGGTCCAAGCATCCTTATAGAAAAAATCTCTAGAGAAAATTTCAAACAGAAATTAAAAATCTATTGATTTTTTCTTATCGAATGTCCAATAGAATCAGCGCAAAAAAACAAATAAAATTTTTGAATATAATTCCAATAGAAAACCTATAGAATTCCTATAGAATTCCAGTAGATTTTTCTAGCGAATTTTCTATTGAATTTCTATTGTCTAAAAATTAAATTTTCTGATTTTTTGGACCATAATAAGCCGATATGACATAAAAAATCTAAAACTAAAAATTTGAACGATTACAATACTTCCATTCAGAAGCAAAAAAGAAAATCAAATTGCTGAATCATGTAAATTCGTGGAGACACGCACGAAAAAATCTCATAGAAAAACCTATCGAATTCGTTAGACTGATTCTATTGACATGTTCAATAGAAAACATTCAATAGAAAAAGTCAACAGAATTCAGTTTTTCTATATAACTTATTCTTTTCATATATTTCCTATAGAATTTGCTCGACTCAAATTTTCCAAGTTTTTTTCATTCTATTTTTCTTTTCGTCTCATAAAGAAAATCAAACGAAAAAACTTAGAAAATTTGAGGCGAGGAAATTCTACAGAAAATATCTCAATAGAATAAGATATATAAAAAAATTGAATTCCATTGGCTTTTTCTACTGAATATTTTCTATTGAACATTTCAATAGGATCGGTCAAAAACTAATAGAACAGTTCAATAGAAATTCAATAGACTTTTATAACGAATTCGATAGGTTTTTCTACTAAATTTTTTCGTCCGTGTACTCAGTAAGGAATTATTTCCATGGAATCATCCGACATTTTAATTTGAATTAAATTTCAATCAATTCAATTCTTGTTATATGTTACAGAAACAATTGGGATTATTTAGTAAATCTCTTTGAAACTAGTGGATAAAATCGAAAAATGTTGAGAATTTCTTAGAGACTTTCCTGTCCTACAATGAAAATATTTTTGCAAAAGAATCCACATGCCTTGTTGAGATTTGTGACGTATTTATTGTTTGTTTTTCCATCATATCCATTTAAAGAAATTTGGAATAGAATTAATGTCTGAAGAATAGTTGGTTTACCTTCGATTAGCCTCGAGTTGACTCAAAGGAAATATACTGAATCAACTGTTTGGCTGCTATTCTTATGACTTTTTTCAACTGCTGTCACTTATCCTGTCAAGTATATAATTCTATAAGTTATATAAATAAGTTCTATATAACTTATTCATGTAACTTTTCATATATTTTCTATAGAATTTGCTCGACTCAAATTTTCCAAGTTTTTTTCATTCTATTTTTCTTTTCTTCTCATCAAGAAAATCAAACGAAAAACCTTAGAAAATTTCTGCCGAGAAAATTCTATAGAAAATATCTCAGTCGAATAAGTTATACAGAAAAATTGAATTCTATTGACTTTTTCTACTGAATATTTTCTATTGAACATTTCAATAGAATCGGCCAAAAACTAATAGAACAGTTGAATGAAAATTCAATAGAATTTTCTAACGAATTCGATAGGTTTTTCCGTTAAATTTTTTCGTCCGTGGAAATAAAATAAAAATCCTTCAAATGAAGGATTCTGCGATTCAAACAGCTACTCCCACCGTCTGCAGTCACGCCTGAAACGCATTGCACCTTCAAATTTAAAATTCTGCGCAATATATATCAACAGTTCGACCCTCCCCCTCACGCTAAAAAGATATTTCAACCGCTGCTCCCCTCGAAAACCCCCAAAACCGCAAAAAAGGTCTCCCTTCTTCTCATTTCCGAAAAACTTCCTCAATACCTCAAGGATAATCTTGAAGAATCAAAAACTTGGGAAACAAACCGCAAGGAATAATTTTAAAAAGTCTTATCACGTAGCAAATAGTTAAAACAAGAAAATTTCAATAATTTATTTATAAATAAAAAAGCATCGACCACTCACTAGAGCCCCATTGTCTCTCCTTTCCCCCAATAGTCTGGGGTCCCGTCGTGTCCCCAGAGTAAACACAATTCCATTCCTCTAAAAACAAAAGAGAAATCCCTTCCAAAATCCTCATCACAGCCCCTACATCCCCCACCCGACAAACCTTCCACTTGAAATTATTCCTTGGAATAATTTCATAAAAATGATTTCAAGTTCTGCGAAATCTCTCAAAGAAAATTATATCGAGTGTATAAATAGAAAAAAAAACTGAAGCAAAAGTAGAAGTCAACGGATAAATCCGCAAAAAGAAACGGAGAGAATAAAAATCGCCCAATCAGCGTCTGTCAGCTAGTCCTCTATTTATTATTGCTCGTTATCTTCGACGAGTGGAAGGAGAAAAGTTCGAGCCATCGGGGTGAATCAGCTGATGAGTGACAAGAGCCAAATGCTGAGGCATTGTTGGTTATGGCGACAAGCAGCTCGGACGGTTCTTGCACAGCACCAGCTGATTTTCAATTATCCTCGGAGCTGGAAGACGTGTCCAATCGTTTGAGTGTTAATTTGTTGAAGTGCCCACTTTGTCATAATAATAGACGAGTTTTTTACTGCAAACAGTGCGTTCAGAATGGAGATTTTGTGCATTCTACGTCTGTTTACTCTGAACGGTATGTTGAGATGTTGGTAATGGGGTGTTTATGAGTTTGTGATTGTTTTCATGTTTTTCATCGTTTTGGAGTTTTCGATTTTTTGCAGTGGGGGGCGAGGGTGACAGTAATGTTTAGGCGATTTCTTTAGCGAATTGATGAATTTTTTATGAATTTTTATTACGTATTTTTGTTTTATTTTATGATTGGTTTCAAGATGATTTTGAAGATTTCGAATTTTTGTTTTGCAAGAGGAAATCAGGGAGGGTGCAGATGACAGCGATATTTTGAGGATCTTTGAAGCTAGTGCTTGACTTTTTTATGGATTTCCATTATGTATTCTATGTCTGGTCATTCCGAAATATTCAGGAGTTTTTGATTGTTTTCATGTTTTTCATCGGTTTGGAGTTTTCGATTTTTTGCAGTGAGGGGCGAGGGTGACAGTAATGTTTAGGCGCTTTCTTGAGCGAATTGATGAATTTTTTATGAATTTTTATTACGTATTTTTGTTTTATTTTATGATTGGTTTCAAGATGATTTTGAAGATTTCGAATTTTTGTTTTGCAAGAGGAAATCAGGGAGGGTGCAGATGACAGCGATATTTTGAGGATCTTTGAACCATTTTTCGGGGATTGAAGGCAATGGATGAGATTTGTGATTAATGTTTAATTTTAAGTTTCTGATCATTTTGAAGAACATTTGTAAATTTTTTAATTACCCAAATTTAATTAATGACAGTTTCATGAATTTCGATTACGCATCATACTTTTGATCACTCTGTGAAGTTAATTTAGAATTTTAGTTTTCAATCTCCTGATGATTAAATTGAATTGAGTGAGTTGTTTTCATGTTTTCCATCGTTTTGAGGTTTTCAATTTTTTTGCAGTGAGGGGGGAGGGTGACAGTAATGTTTAGGCGATTTCTTGAGCGAATTGATGAATTTTTTATGGATGTTTTATTACGTATTTTTGTTTTATTTTATGATTGGTTTCAAGATGATTTTGAAGATTTCGAATTTTTGTTTTGCAAGAGGAAATCAGGAGGGTGCAGATGATAGCGATATTTTGAGGATTTTTGAACCATTTTTCGGGGATTGAAGGCAATGGATGAGATTTGTGATTAATGTTTAATTTTAAGTTTCTGATCATTTTGAAGAACATTTGTAAATTTTTTAATTACCCAAATTTAATTAATGACAGTTTCATGAATTTCGATTACGCATCATACTTTTGATCACTCTGTGAAGTTAATTTAGAATTTTAGTTTTCAATCTCCTGATGATTAAATTGAATTGAGTGAGTTGTTTTCATGTTTTCCATCGTTTTGAGGTTTTCAATTTTTTTGCAGTGAGGGGGGAGGGTGACAGTAATGTTTAGGCGATTTCTTGAGCGAATTGATGAATTTTTTATGGATGTTTTATTACGTATTTTTGTTTTATTTTATGATTGGTTTCAAGATGATTTTGAAGATTTCGAATTTTTGTTTTGCAAGAGGAAATCAGGAGGGTGCAGATGATAGCGATATTTTGAGGATTTTTGAACCATTTTTCGGGGATTGAAGGCAATGGATGAGATTTGTGATTAATGTTTAATTTTAAGTTTCTGATCATTTTGAAGAACATTTGTAAATTTTTTAATTACCCAAATTTAATTAATGACAGTTTCATGAATTTCGATTACGCATCATACTTTTGATCACTCTGTGAAGTTAATTTAGAATTTTAGTTTTCAATCTCCTGATGATTAAATTGAATTGAGTGAGTTGTTTTCATGTTTTCCATCGTTTTGAGGTTTTCAATTTTTTTGCAGTGAGGGGGGAGGGTGACAGTAATGTTTAGGCGATTTCTTGAGCGAATTGATGAATTTTTTATG